CTACCGTATTTCTCCCGTTGTTACATAACAGCCCTTGATCAGTAGATAAATAGATGTGTCCCGACTGCCCAAAGTGGAGTGCTGTTCCTCAGATTAAATTACGTGAAGAGGGGCCGGGGTCTGTCCACCGCTTCATGACTCTGATTTAGACCCTTATGTGGAGCTCGGCGGATCTGTGCGTGTCATAACAGCCAGCGGCCCGGTGAGAGGCGTCCAAATAGGCAGACAGGGGACGTTAGCATGCTCCCTCCGAGAAGAACACGCCGCACCCGCCATCTTCGGGTCTCCTCTGATAACCGCCGTTTATGAACTGGCTGGTGGAAATGGACAATTATTGATCATCGACTGTGTATAAATGGACCATGCTAACGCCGTAGCTCAGGGATCTCCAACCTGTGGCTTGGGATCTACCAGTAGCTCCCCAACCCCTTTCAGGTAGCTCACCAAAGATTTAGAATTTAGCCAATGACCTTGAATTAATACTTTTTGAGCCATTACATAAGTAATACAAGTATTGGGTTATACAGCATTATGGTATATGTACACTACCGTTCAAAAGTTTGGAGTCACCCAAGTGTTTTCCATGAAAAGTCACACTTATTCACCACCATACCTTTGTCAATGAATAGAAAATAGAGTCAAGTCAAGTCTAACAAGGTTAGAAATAATGATTTGTATTTGAAATAAGATTTGCTTTATGTCCAACTTTGCTTTTGTCAAAGAATCCTCCATTTGCAGCAATTACAACATTGCACCAAAAAACAGACATTTGCAGCTAGAATAGTCATTTACCACATAAGCAATGTATAGAGTGTATTTCTTTACAGTTAAGACTAGTTTAAAGTTATCTACAGCTTTTCCTTCAAAAATAAGGACATTTCAATGTGACCCCAAACTTTTGAACGGTAGTGTATGTGTTCTCCATTTTTTGTAGTAATTAAATAGATAATTAATACGACTGCAAAAAGGAGAAGCTCTCCGTCTCTTCGTTTGTGTAAAAGTAGCTCTTGGATTGAAAAAGGTTGGACACCCCTGCCGTAGCTCAATGACGCTCAATATGGAGTAGTTCCTTGAGAAATTTTGCTCCAACTTGCTTCTATTGATTTACATGGAAAAATAATCTCCTCTGGCAAAGTAACCGTTTTTGTCACTCTCATAATTTTGGGCTTATTAAATCCATGGTTTAGAGCTTTCTATGCCCCTGGTGTTTATACTTTGGCTCATAATAATACAAAGACAATATCAATCGCATGCCTTAATTGGCAGGGGAACGCCAGCTTGCCTTAGTAATCTTTTTTGAAACAATGCATAGCTAATGCCGTCGAAACAACTGCCCTTATAAGGAAATAGGCTGCAGCTAGCTTTATGCCTAAAACACCTTCTGCATTAAGGCTAACACGATGGTGTAGTTTTGTGACTCAAATATTTGGATAAAAGTTTAAAAAGCTGATTTTCGGAAATACACTCCAATTCCCATGATACCCTTGGTTGTAAAAAAAAAAACAAGGAACCAGTTCAGAAGATTTATCATAACAATGTCCTTATACCGCAGTAAAAAAATGGTCAATACATTTATTTTAAAATTTAGCTGGTGTGGATTATCAAAGTAAGAAAAGAATATTGCACAGAAGAAGTGAGTAAAGAAGATTGTGTTGTAACTGGAGGGATTCAGCTTGCTTTGTTTTAGAAGAATATAAATTCTTCAAACATGCATAAATCACTGCACATTGGGTCCTTGTTTATTGCGGGGGCTACGTTCTAAAAATAACACGCAATAAGCCAAATCCGAAAAGTAGCTCCAGTATATTTTTTAGGCTGTAAAAACTTCTCACCACTCACTTTATACACTTTTCTAACCACCTCAACTCATGACTGTTGAAGTGCGATTGCGTAGATTTCAAACCTGTTCGCCTTTCCAGACCTGTTAATATTTTGGGTGTTGTAAGTCTGAGTGCTGCTGCAGCTGTCAAAAGGCGTGCATACACATACAGCACATTCGCAACTGCTGAGGGGGCAGGAGCAGGACTGAAGGCTTTGGGAAGACCGCGGTAGTCATCTGAACTTAATCCCACGGTGCACACAAGCCACAAATGGTTTCTCCTGACTTTAAATAAAAATAACATAAGTTATTGGAGTCCACCGAGGCACATGAGAAACGAGCTGTAATCATAGCACGCAAAATTGCGCACACAATAATCCACAAAACAGTGAGGCCGCAAAAGGTGAACCACAATATAACCATAACCACCTGGGACCAATTGGTTAAAAGCTTTATTTGGTTTTGCATAAGAATTTAAGCATGGGTAGTTGCACTTACCTGGATGTGTATGTTTTAACACTACATGAGTTGTGTGGGCCTCTCCATTTTTATTTCTATTTATGGCATTAATGGTTTTAATCTTTTTTATAATCTGTTTTATTATATTGTTTTGTTGTTTTTAATATACTTGGTGGAGCTAAGCATACGTTTCTTGTGCATATATTATACTTGTTTGTGCATCACTTTGGAATTGATTTATTGTTGTTTAATGTGCTATATAAATACATTGGATTGGATGTCATTTCTCAACATGTACTTAAAACAATACCACCCAAACACCACAGAAATACATGATTGAGATAACAGTAAAATGAGCTCGCCTCCTCACTGCCTGTATTGTTACCACAGCGGGAGGCCTGGCAGCTCCTAAAGCGTGTGTGTGTGTGTGTGTGTGTGTATGTGTGTGTGTGTGTGTGTGTGTGTGTGTGTGTGTGCAATAGTTCTTTGTTCTGGGGCTAAATTTGTGATCAGGTGTGGAGAGAGGGCCCCGGTCACCTCGCTCGTGGTGCATGACTGGGAGCTTGTCAGATCCATTAAAGGGCCCCTACCCCCATCCGCACTCTGCAAACACAGACCCCGGCAAATGGAGCTACAGCCACAACATTGAACTCTCAGAGGAGACGCGCACCGGTCGGCTCACTCTTAATGTATACTCAAGCTATCGACACGAAAAAAAGAAGAAGAGAAAAACGGATAAACTGTTAGGGATGTGTTGATAAAATGGGAGCTCCAGGGGTCTTGAAAACGTGGAATTACATAAATAAATACCAAAATTATACTATGTTTTATAAAACAATAGTGCTGAAATGTAATGTTATTTTTTATTCATTTATTTCAGGCAATGTAAACAAGGTAATTAAAGTGATAGTCTGTAACTCTAAATGAATTACAAATTTTAGGAAATGTGCTAAATTGACCTCCTGGCCTTAAATGTTGATATAAAATAAGTCATTTTATTAATTCTAATATTACGGGCAAGTCCCGCCTTCCCTGCTCTTCAGAATCCACGGTGCCGTCGAGGTTAACCAATCGAGTCATCATCGGCGCTGATGCTCGCAGCTGCGCGTATGCGCAGTTGTTTGTTTTCGCGGAGCCTCCGAATCAAGCCTCCATTAGGCTCTGGAACAACATGAAAACTGAACAAAGAATTCTGAACATCCGCGCTGAGTTCCTTATGTATATACTGAACCAATATCCATAATCATTTATATACTGAACCTATATCCATAATCATTTATATACTGAACCTATATCCATAATCAGATCCTCTGCAGATGTGTCCTATAATGTGCAATTCATGATAATAGCACTTCCTGGTTTGCCGCAATCGCTTTTTTTGTGCATAAAAACATTATTTTTTTCATTAAAACGTTCACAAATAATTCTGAAAACCTCCGTGCATGTGTATTAATAACGTATACAGTATGTATAATGTGTTCTCTGATTAACATTTCAAAGTGTTACGGAAACGTAGGTGTAGACCAATCAGAAAGGAAGGGGGAGGGAGCTTACGTCGTTTTTTTCAAATCAAGTACCTCTCTGTCTCTCTTTCTGACAAACTCCAGACAATCACTTTAAATGCATTTAAATAATATAAATCATATAATGCAAAAAACAGACAGACAAAACACACACACAAAAAAAAACAGTATAAACAATAAATGTACGGTATAAACATGGCCGTATAATTCTGCCTGAAAAAGAGTGGGAAGAAGAAAAACTGATTTAATCCCACCCCTTTATCCCCATTCAGTGATTAAACTATTAGTGTTATATCATGATGGCGTTACCACGGGCAACAAGGACATTTACATTGTAACAACAATTAATACCAACAATGGTGATGGAAACCGGCAAAGAATTCCAAGGAAATCCAACGTTTAATAAAAAGCCTAAAGCAGGGTACCTAACTTTTAAACCATAGCAAAAAACTGAAATAAAATTCACAGTTCCCTGCTTTCAAATGTATTTTTGGTTTCAAATTTTAAGGCCTCTGTCGCATCAGCTTTTTCAGACAGAAAAATGAGAGAACTACACACACTCAATCAGCTCTCAGCCTTATGACTATGACTAAGACATGACATGGTCTGATTTGTTCATTAACTGTTAACACAATACTTTCTATTGAGACAAAAAAAACAGGTACCTCAGCTTTAAGCACATCTGTTCTTACACTGGCAGATAATGTATGTTTATAATTTCACCATTACCTAAAAATGTTTTCCTGTCAGACCTCTGAGGCTAAGCAGGGAAGGGCCTGGTCAGTGCTGTGATGAGAGACCTCCAGGAACACCACCTGCCATACTGAGGCCGCTGCAGCTGTAAAGTGCCAAACTGTTGTTGTGTCCTCAGGCAAGACACTTCACCCACATTGCCTAGACTGAGTGTGTGCGTGAATGTTTGTTGGTGGTCGGAGGGGCCAATGGCACATACTGGTTGCCGTGCTTCTGTCAGTGTGCCCCAGGGCAGCTGTGGCTTTATCACCACTGTGTATGGAGTGAAAGGATAATGACATGTGAAGCCAAAGTCCAAAAAAAGCGCTGTATAAAACTGATGCATTTTGTAGCGAAGAAAAGAAAAACAGAGCCAATGATAAACAATAGAAGAAGAGTGAAAACCATAAATCAAATCCAGAATTGGAATTTACACAACGCAAAAAACCACTGGATGAAAACACATGTTACATTCTATAGCAAAGGACCAGCCTGATGTGTGTGTGGCTGCGTGAGGAGGAGGCTGACAGCGTGAAGTCGGGCTGGTTGGAGAGAGTTTTTTGGCCCACGCTGAGCCAACCTGAGGAGAGCGGTGCTTCCTAAGTGATAAACAGGTCAAGACGAGCCGTCAATGTTTTCATCCTCCGCTGTGACCCGCTGTTACATACTGACAGTAACAACTCCGCACGCAGAGACAGGCGGCCAGGGCTATTTATAAAGACCAAACATTCACACGCCTAAATGTTCCAGTGATGAGGGGGAGGTACCAAATATGCTCCAAGATATCCAATACAACGCCTGCTTTGACTTCTGACTGTTGTGCTGAATACAATCAATCATAAACTGTGAAATAATAATAAAAAATACTTGAGTTAAAGCCTGAGTTAAATAAATTATACAAAAGGATTCAGCGTTTTTAGTTTTGTTTGTGCCTATGTCTTCCTCTGCTGTTTACGCAGTTTTTGGCGTCGTCTTCCTACCACTAGAGGAAGCACGACAGCGCCATCTGCAGTCCGACTTTTTCAAGACAGAAACCCTGTGTGTGTGAGAGTAAGAAAGCCCCCTTGTCCTGGTTCATAGTCCTGGGGGCCTGTCTCTGTGTTTCCATTGCCTCTTTGATCCAGCTCTGGGTGTTTTCTCCTCAGCCCTTATGCTATTTGTTTATTCCCATAATGTGGTTCTCTTTTTCACAGCAGTCGGTGCTTCTTTTTTGTATATACTCAAGGCTCTCCCTGTTTCCCCAATCTATGGTTTATTGCATTAAATTCTTGGTAAGACTTAGATTGTCTTGCTGGTTTAACTATTTTCAAGTGAAAGAAGTTTCCAGAGTTTTCTATATGGTTTAACGTGTGTAAAGCCATTCTGTCATGTATAAACAATAGTACAGTACTTCCTGGACTATAACATGCAGCTGTATATAAACCGCACTAGCTTAAGATGAAGAGAAAGTAAATTGTGTCCACATATAGGCCGCACTTAGAGGCACAGCTATTAACAGAGGTGTGGACTCGAGTCATGTGACTTGGACTCGAGTCAGACTCGAGTCATGATTTTGATGACTTTAGACTCGACTTGACCAAATGTAAAAAGACTTGCAACTCGACTTGGACTTTAACATCAATGACTCTGACTTTCACTTGGACTTGCGCCAATTGACTTGCAAAGACTTGCGTAACCCGGGCCATTTTTACCTTTCTCCGCATCTCTCTTTCTATCTATGCCGTCTCTGAAGAAACAAAGCCTCGCGGTGAGTTCGAACGTGAGTTCCAGGCAGTTCGCGCAGCAACACTTCCCTAAACAAGCGGACTGCATTCACCGGTGGGTGTGTTGTCTAGGGGAGCTGGAAATGAGCGAGCTGCAGGTATTTATCGCGACCTAACGTCATATTTTGTTTTACAAACCGTAATTGATATGCTTTCACTACAGGCGCCTCATACAATTGACTCGACGCAGTTGTCACACTCTGTGCCGTGTTTTAAAGAGGAACTGGTGAGTCAAACTAGCGCTAGCCTGCGCTGCTCTGTTAGCTATTTCTTATATTTTTCTGTGTGGGCGCCGAGGCCTATTATTATGAGTATGTTTTTGCTGTGCTCCTCCTGCTAAAGTTTGCATACATTAGATAGTTGTTTTGATTATGTGCACTAAGCTAGATTAATATTTGCACTATTGTTTATGGTTCATTGATATGAGAATCAGTGCTTTGACTGATTGAATTAATTTATATGAGACATTTTATTATGTAATGATATATTGGTAATTATGAGATATTGCTAATACAGGCCAGGTTCCTTCCCCTCCATTGGTCCCTTCAGTCCTTTGGAACAATAACCACTACGGACATTAAACTGATTATATAGATACAGGTCCTAGCCCAATACTCACATTCATATATGCTGCACTTGCTACTTCCCATTAAAAACCCCAAAGATAAAAAGTATGTTGACACGGACTGCTCTGATTTTATGTGTGGTCTGTGCATGTGTAACTGAGCCTGCATCTGGCACAACATCCAATTAGATCACGTAGATAGTTTTGATTTACCAGCAGCCAACGACATGGAACAAACTGTTAGTCCATGGGTCAGAGACCAACGAGAATGCACCAGCAAAATGATTCCTAACATTATTTTGTTTGCCTACAAAAGTACGTGGAGACCAACAAGAAACAAATCGCGGTCAAAAAGACTCGAGAGGACTCGAAAGTCAAACCGTAGGACTTGGGACTGACTTGAGATTTGTTGGCCTTTGACTTGGACTCGACTCGGGACTTGCCTGTCTTGACTCGTGACTTGACTCGGGACTTGAGGGCAATGAATTGAGACTGACTTGTGACTTGCTAAACAATGACTTTGTCCCACCTCTGGCTATTAATGTTGTAATGTAAAACTTGACCAGCAGCCAATTGGAAAAACAAAAGCTGATAGATGACTTTTTACTGAACACAATATGATTTAGTGTTTTAGGCACTGTTGACTTTTAATGATCAAAGCCAGTAAATTAAATGCAATTAATTTTGACAATATCATTCCTACTTAAACTTAGAGTCCCAATGATAAGTCCATCCAGTCTCAGCCCTGATTGTAGCCCAAATCACATAGAAACAAGTCCGGTGTCTTACTCTAACCCTTCGTCCTTTCTCTCTACTGTTCACATAAACACACCAGGAAGTTAAAATGTGTGTACGTCATCAGCTAAATTGGCCGCACCATATAGACCAAAGGGTTCACAGAAGTTGGAAAAAAGTAGTGGATTTCTTATTTTGCCTTTTTGTATCTGACAAAAAGCACCTGGCTGCACATACATCTTCATTACTTAGCAGAGAAATTGCAGAGAATCCAATTTTTGTACAAGCTATCTACTATACCTTGCCAAAAAAAGGTCAAAGATCTTGTCCAGTGCAAGTCCAGTACAAATGTCTCGGAGAAAGTTAGGCTAGAGCTTTGTGGAAGCTTGAAAACTCGCATCACAATGAGCCGAGTTACACAGAAGCCGCAGCGTTGTATTTTCTCCTCAAGTTTGTGGACAAATGGAGACAGGCCGACAGCACACACACAATATGAGATTGTTTGGGAACGTATCCAGAGCCCCCCGCTGCGTCTGTTTGTGTGAGCTCTCAGATTTACTGCTCCGAGTGTCTTTAAGGAGAGACGCAACCAGCAGATTGAGGAGGAAATGGAAAGGCGAGGAGCAAGCTGCCCACCGCTGGGCTCCGCTGCAGAGGAATGAGGCCGATAACGGCACAGCAAAACAGGCTAATAATGTAGCGGCCTCAGACGGCGAGTGGGATCTGTTCCAGAGGAGGGGACTTCCATCAAACTGTCCCAACTCCCACACACGGCACTACTCAGCAAAGTTTTCATGATCAAATAAGCGGTTAAATACAATTGTGAAGTTTCAGTGGAACATCTGTTTCCAAAGTCTTATGGTGCTTTTGGACCGGATCATGCGTTGCGTCGGGTTTCAATGCAAAGTCTATGGTGACGCGCGTTCGGCCGTCGCAACGCACGGACCGCTCGGTTCGCACAAACGGACTGTTCAGTAGAGACGCACGGACTTGGCGGGAAAGTGAAAAGGGAGGAGCAGGAGCGAAAAATCTACGCCCACAGGAGATGGATTCTGCTCATCCTTTCCTTGGGACGTTCGTGCGACAACCAATCAGAGAGCAGAAAAGTGGTCACGGGGACATTAGCGGACTGAGCGAGCAGACTAAAATACTCGTAAACAGCCAAAACAGGACCCACACCAGACTTCACCAGAACTCAAACCAGGGTTGGCAATGGGGGACTGTGTGCTTGTGACATTATGCGTGACCTTATGCAACTGCTTCGAGTGTGTTCGCCGATACGAAAATTCCGTTTAATAATATGAAAAAACGTGTGGCGCACCTCCGTGAACACACACTACTGTTATATAAAGCCCGTGGAATGTCTGTGAGCAAAGACACGCTGCAAAGCTGAATATTGGAGAAGATCTGTACACAAGAAGCCGCTATAGCATAGCTCTATTAGCATTAGAGCCGGCCGGCTACTTCCGGTACTTCCGGCTCGCGTCAGGACGTTCTGGTGTGAAGTCCTCTGCGTCTGAAAACTAGAGAATGCGCGTCTGGTGAGCGGGGCTTCAGCGTTTCAGCGTTGGCGGTCTGAAAGCCCCGTTAGATACAGGGCCCTCATGATCAATTAAAAGCAAAACAACATATGAACTAAAATGAAAGAAATTACATATTTATATATTGTATTTATATTATTTATTATATTTATAGATTTATAGTATTTGCAGAAGTATTAAGCACACCTGTACATAAACCATTTAAAATACATAGGTTTTTTGTCCATTTATAGGCCGCACTTGAATATAAGCTGCAGGTCTTCATGTTGTAATGTTACACTTAACCAACAGATGGAGCAAAACAAAGCAGATAAACAACTGATTTTTAACTGGACACAACAAGAACTATATATTTATTCATATTTATGATTTTTTAACCCCCTACGAGCCCCCCGCAGCCTTAGCTCCTCGTGCAGGTCCCTGTTAACTGTTCCAGGATTGAGGCTCCGGACGAAAGGTGACCGGGCCTTCTCTGTCCGGGCTCCTCGGCTTTGGAACCGCCCATCAGTATCTTCCATTAAATCACTTCTTAAAACCCACTTTTATCGAACAGCTTTTATCTGTTTGTTGTTGTCTGTCTGCTTTATTCTGCTGTTTTTCTTTGATCTGACTGTTTTATGGACTGTGTTACGCCGACTGTGCAGCACTTTGAAACACTTTTTTTTAAAAGTGCTATACAAATAAAGTATTATGATTATTATTATGAATACTGTACATGACAAGGAGTGTTATTTACGAAGCTTTGATGGACAACGCTTTGTAACTAACACAATAAACTCTGACTTAAGCAAAATCAATATAAACATTGCATGTCTAAAGTATAACAGAAGCGAGACCCCAAACACTGACTGTCATCAGCTGTTCACTCACTACATTCTCTACACAGACACAAGGAGAACATGCAAACACCACAGCAAGGTGGAATCGAAACAAGGACCTTCATCCATTTGCTAATAATGAATATAAGAAGAAAGTCCAGTACAACAGAGCCTGCTGGCCTATAAGCCACGACTTTTCAACTTATGTGAACTCTGCGGCCAATGTACGTATTTTTATGTTGTCAGCACGCCGTCGAAGCACAGGAGCGGATTTGGACTCAGCTGCAGATCTCCAGTAGCACTTGTTGTGTTTATGTGAACAGCAGAGAGACAGCGTAACTCACAGGATTTGTTTTCATATGATTAGGGTCATAGTCAGAGCAGTTTATAAACTTATTATTTGGAGTTTAAGTAGGAATGAGACACAGGTTTATTGTCAAATAAGACAAGAGATCAGTGCTTTATTTTATTTTAAACTTAGTAGTCCACAGCAAGTACCGTAGTTTCTTCTACAAACGTAAAGGTAGTACTTACATCGAAAACCTTCTCAGTGTACTGCTCGTCGTTGACCCGGTCTCGCAGGATGTCCTGGTTCTGACGCACGAATGTGATGTACGTGTCGGCCAAGTCCATCCCTGGTTTCTGAGGGTCAGACAGAGTGAGGCGTGAGACATGGACACGGACACGGACACACACACAATTTGGACTTTTGCGGATGTATTCCAATGTGGTTTTACTGCAAATGGCAAATAAATGAATCTGAATTATACAGTTGAAGTAACACACACAACATACGATAACAATGGGAATAAGTGAACACATGAACTTGAGATGGGTGCACCTTCAGAGACTAAATTAAAGCATGTTTTTAAAGTCTGTAAACAGATGGACAATGTTAACCCGCTAGCTTAATGAAGTCCTATAGGGAAGTGCTCATGGACAAAGTTTTGCTCTGGCTCGCTTTAGCTCCTATTGACCGTTTGTGTCCCACTCACCATTTTGGGCTGAAAAATAGTGGTTTCATGCTTTCTATGAACCTGGTATTTTGAGGTTTTAAATCACATGCATTAATTCACATTACAAAAAGGCCCATATAAGGAAAGAGACTCCAGCTATCTTAGGTTCAAATCGGCCTCTTCCGTATTAGGCCTAACACTAACGACGTCAGCACTCGGCCAGTCCACTCCTGGTACACGGTTTGTGAAAAACCTACATAAAATAAAAGTTATATTTTCAAAAGGTGTCATTGTGCCATAGACAGCTAAAGCTTAAGCTATATCATGAACCGTTTTGCATTGAACTCATCAGACAGAAGTGCAAAAATCCCAGTCTATCCACACTCCGGCTGTCAACACAGATCACCGATGTAGGGCCTATTGTAATTGACTTGACATCTTTCGCACCCGTTTTTCCGAGAGACAGCATCAGCCCCGTGGGTGAGGAGAGAGAGGGGGGGGGGGGTTTGGGCTGAGGTGACAGGAGGGAGGGGGAGCATTCTATCCCAGTGGTAGCAGCACACACAGACACCGAGCCTCAATAAATGTTTGACATGAGCATTTCAGAGGAAAACGTCGCAGGAGAGAGCGGACGAGCTTTTGCAGAGGTCACTTTTCGGGGCTGCCGCTGTGGGAACACGCAGACCGCGACTTGAGAAGGATCACAAATGAGAGCGCAGGTCAGAGTAGTTTGGATTAGGGCAGATTTTTTTAACGCACCGATTTTGTCCTGCCTGCCGTAGGCGTTTGAGATGGGGACATGAAAGGCCAGAGCGTCCAAACACAATTCTATCTGTTTCAGTATTGTGCAGTTCTGTTCAAGAGTTACGTCAAAAACATGGATGTTTGAAATTGGGCCTCAAACTATTATTGGTGTTTTACAGGTGACACTTAGAAAAATTTACCTTTAATGCAAATTACAATGCAAAATGTCGGAGGGGGCAATGGCACATACTGATTGCCACGCTTCTGTCAATGTGGCCCAGGGCAGCTTTGGCTATATTCACCACCGTGTAGGCCACGAAAAGTGTCTTTGTTTGACATTATTATGATTATTATTGTTAAATAAACCCTCTCAAAACATTGGAATATTTTGAAAACTGACTGTAATCCATAATAATAATAATAATAATCTTTATTTTTAAAAACAATGTTTACAAAGCACTGCACAGTCAACATGATAATAAAACAGTCATAATACAAAGTCAAAATAATTACATACAATAGATAAAGGAAAACAAAGGAGACAGAGCAAAACACAAGAAGAGAGACACAACAAAGACAGAGCAGACATTAAAATAAAGCATGTGAAGTTTAAAACTAACAGTTAAAAGCTGTTCTATAAAAGTGGGTTTTAAGAAGTGATTTAAAAGAGGATACTGATGGTGCTAGCCTTATCTCCTCGGGCAGGTCGTTCCAAAGCCGAGGAGCCCGGACAGAGAAGGCTCGGTCATCTTTTGTCCAGAGCCTCGACCTTGGAACAGTCAACAGGGACCTGCCCGAGGATCTAAGGCTGCGGGGGGGCTCGTAAGGGGTTAAAAGTTCATAAATATAGCTGGGTGCCAGACCTAAACAAGCTTTAAAATAATCAGTAAAATCTTAAAATCAATTCTAAAACGCACAGGGAGCCATTGGAGGGACGCTAAAACAGGGGTGATGTGCTCCCTTCTGTTAAAACCAGTGAGAAGTCTGGCTGCTGCGTTCTGAACCAGTCGGAGGCGGGACCGGGATTTAGCGTCGAGACCGGAGAGGTTGCAGTGATCGAGGCGGGAGAAGATGAGGGCGTTGACGACTTTATGGAGATCGGGAGGAGTCAGAATTACTTTGTCATGTATTGGTTTTTACATTTTCAGCTGAATTACAGAAAATAAATGACCTTTATTAAGCTAAAGTTACTGATTTTATTTGCACTAGAATATACTGAATTTAATACCTGCTTCTTTATTATGCTAAAGCTAGAGATATTGTTTTATTTTATTTAATTTTTTTTGCTTGTGTTGTGTGCTCTCATTCTACTGTTCTGTAACTGCTGATGCAACACTGGAATTTACCCGCTGAGACATGTAAAGAATCTCTTAATCTATCTGGAATGGCATTCTATCAATCAATCAATCAATCATTTATTTGTATGGCACAATTCATGTACAAGGCAACTCAAAGTGCTTCACAAGAGCAATTTAAAAACACAGATCAAAATGCATAAAAAGTCAATGAAATATACAAGTATTTCATTATAATTGAATTCCTTCTAATTTTCGACATTTCACCTGTTCCATTAAGATACCGTCACACAGCAGAACGGCAACTGAGTGGGTTTCCTCTGGGCGCTGCGGTTTCCCCCAGCACCACATGCAGCGATACAAAAGTCTCCAGCGAGCACAGAGAGGATGATGGAGACTTCGGTGCAGTTCTTACATACTTGCAAAACCAAAACTTAATTATTGTTTTATTCTGAAGACCTAAATTTAATCTCACATAACCTTGTCACTCTCTTGACATTAAACTGAGGGTACTAATTATGATTCCAACAGTGGAGTGGAAACTTAGCCACATTCAATTAATTGTAGAAGTAAACAATACAGTTTCCTTGACCAGACATGTTCCCTGAAAGAGAAAAGTCAAGAGTAATTAATTATAAGTTTAGTCTCTGCCAACAATTAGTGAAGAGTTCATTATTTCCCACTGCACTCAAAATACTTTTTGCACTGGACAAAGACTGGAAGGTGAAATACAATGCATACGGTGAATAACATTTAGTTCTCTATAAATGTCCTTTATCACATTTACACAAGCACCAGGCATGAGATGGGGTTTTTTTCTGCTCGTTTTTGCTGGAGGCCTTTCTGAGGGGAGTGAGACTTGTTGATAATTGTGGCCAAACAGCTTGGAGTCTCCCCCTATATTAGCCTGGTCTAACCACACCGGCATTGTTCTAATTTCATTTCGTACTAAGGTCTGGATTTGCTCCATTGAGCTCCGTTAACAGGTGGGAGGGGTTAACTCCTTTTGCAGATTGAAACGGTTGGATCGGAGTTTACCGTGATGTATGTAATGTTCGAGTGAGGCATTTAGCATTTAGCCTAGCTTTAGCCATCTGCTTTGCCACTAACGGAGCCAATGGGGAGTAGCGCCACAGTATCTTTGCAGTGATGACTTTAAACATTAGTCTTGCTCGGGCTTTTATTTCTTGATATTTGGAGCCGAACCAGAATGGATGACTTTACTAACGCATTCTCTGCCATTGCCAACCTACAACCAGCAAATTTGGCGCAAACTCTTGAAGTCACCGACACATACCTACAACACCCGCCTCCCCTGCTTGCTGACTGGTCGGAGGTGATTCAACCGAGGTCACTGCCGACACTAGGATCAGACCCAGACGTATATGTAGAAAATTATAATTGACAGGAATTTATGAATGGCTAAGGGCAGGCTACCTCCGCATGAGTGTTTGTACACAAATATGTATTTGTTTCAACACAAGCAGAAATCCTAAGCTGTTCTTGCTTAGTCTGAAGCTGTGCAGAGCAACACCAGGTGCCATAGTGGGGCAGCTGCGGCTGTAAAGGGCCAAACTGCCGCTGAAACCCACATTGCCTAGAACGAGTCTAGGAGATGTGTGTGAATGGTTGGGGGTGGTCCGAGGGGCCGATGGCACATACTGGTTGACTCGCTTCTGTCAGTGTGTCCCAGGGCAGCTGTGGCTACAATAGTAGTTCATCACCACCGTGTATAGAGTGAAAGAATATTGATGTGAAGCGTCCTTGAGGGTCCAAAAATGCTCTATATAAAACCATTGCATTATTATTGGTTAATAAACAACATGTATTGAATGATTGGCATTTCCTCAAAGGACGTAGCCTCTCCACAGATGCGGCCTATAACTACACTAGGTGACAGCCTCTCCATGGATAGTTATGCATGTTTGAAGTGTTGTTTTGGTACACTGTACAATACTAATGTAGACGTGTCAAAAGTGACCAGAAGAGACCAGAATGAGACATATTGTATGATCTTCAACCTGCAATCCTCAGCTGTAAGTCAGACGGACCAGACCTGACCACGACAGGAGGAATGGTGGGGTTAAAGTGGGGTCACACTGCCCCCGGTCAGGTCTGAGTCCAGAGTCCGGTGTGCAGTGGAGTGACTGACAGGGCATCTGACTCACCAACCCATCAAGGCAGAGAAGTCACAGCGATGGTTTTGGTTCAGCACCGCGATGAGGTTTGTCAGAGTGACAGATTTCAAGATGTGGATCTAAGTGTTTCTGAGGTAATGTGTGATTTCAACCAATCACAAATAGGTGATTTTGTAGTTAAACGTTACGTTCTTCAAAGGCACGGCAAATGTATTTATAAACCGTAGATACCCTTCACGCACAGTGCTAAACACAAAGATTTGATTTCAAAAAGTATAATTGTATGTATATTTACAATAAAAAGCATGAGTGCTGATGCGAAATGCACCTATTGTTGCAATCGTTCTCAGTTGATGTGGAAGCTTGCTCCACAGACGAGAAGAAAAACTACATGCTGGTCCTGATATTTGGAACACACAGTTTGGCCGCCAAGGCACTCTCGATTCTCGGCAAGAGGGTCTTGTGTTTGAATCCTGGTCAAACTCTGGACTCAGACCTTACCCTGACTGGACCTGACTGGATTTTGCATGTTCTTCCCGTGTCTGCGTAGGTCTCTCTGGGTGCTCTCCAGTTTCCCCTACTTCTAAAAATATGTACAATAGAGAAAACCCTCCATTACCAGCTCTGGTCCGGACCAAGCCTAGCATCAGAATCTGGTGATGAGCCTGATCCCGTGACTGTACAGGTTCGGTCTGTGACATCTGCCAGGGCCTGAGTGGCAACATTTCTGAGGCTCTTGTTGACTGGAGACATGAGTTTTTGGGCTTGATCGTGTCTCCTTTATCTGATCTGACGTGGCAACAAAGTGAGCTGACACATTCGAGACGTGGGCAAAGTTCCAGCTCCAGAGATTAAGACTTTAACACTAGAGAAAGAAAGAGAATGTGGCAACTCACCGCTCCTGTCGCACTAGGAATGTAAGAATGGCCATTTTAATTTCAATCTTAATTTTGTTTTTTTTATCCCTCTCTCACACAGATGCAGGTTTGTGATTTTTAGGTTTTGTTTTTGGCATGATTTCGATTTAATTTTTAATGGTTTTCTCAGATAAAAAGCTATATGTATGCCTCTCTGGCCTCTGCCTCTCTGGCCTCTGCCTCTCTGGCCTCTGCCTCTCTGGCCTCTGCCTCTCTGGCCTCTGCCTCTCTGGCCTCTGCCTCTCTGGCCTCTGCCTCTCTGGCCTCTGCCTCTCTGGCCTCTGCCTCTCTGGCCTCCGCCTCTCTGGCCTCCGCCTCTCTGGCCTCTGCCTCTCTGGCCTCTGCCTCTCTGGCCTCTGCCTCTCTGGCCTCTGCCTCTCTGGCCTCTGCCTCTCTGGCCTCCGCCTCTCTGGCCTCCGCCTCTCTGGCCTCCGCCTCTCTGGCCTCCGCTTCTCTGGCCTCCGCCTCTCTGGCCTCTGCCTCTCTGGCCTCCGCCTCTCTGGCCTCCGCCTCTCTGGCCTCCGCCTCTCTGGCCTCCGCCTCTCTGGTCTCTGCCTCTCTGGTCTCTGCCTCTCTTTTTTTATTTAACCACCTGTGGTGTCACCTTCATGTGAAAGCCAGATCTCGCCAGATCTCTGAAGCTAAGTAGGACAGGGCCTGGTTAGTACTGTGATGGGAGACCTCTGGTAACACCAGGTGCCACAGTAGGACGGATGTAAAGTCATTGAGTACTTAGGCAAGACACTCCACCCACATTGCCAATAATGAGCCTCAGTTGTGTGTGAATGTTTGGTGGTGGTTGCGAGCTGGTGATAGCGCTAGTGTACACTCCAGTTCACTACCCACAGAGAACATATTACATACATGTATGTGAATGGGTCCCAGCTTACATTATAGCAAACAGATGTGGGTTAATTATTAATTATAACTACTTTGTTTTCAGAAGTGATACCTAAGATTTGCTCTCCTCATCCCCATCCGAAAACAACAATCTTCTGTAATATTTGATAATGGCTTTTTAGCTGCCTGTCAGACACGTCAAATGAGCGGTGAAACTCGGCGTCTCCAGTCAGCCGCTGGGAGAGGCCGAGGTAATAGGCACGTAGAGCAGAGGAGGGCAGTGAAATGGCAGGTAATTACAGGTCTGAGCCGCCGTGCTTCCTGTCTGAGCCGGTGCCAGGTGCTGAGGTGTGTCCAGGTATGACAAACGGAGCGAGCTAATCCCTTCATAATGGAACCTCACTCATTCAAACACATGGCAGATCCTCGCTCTGTTCTGTACTTACAGTGGCAGCACAAAACTGTCTGGGAAATTTGCTCTCTGCCACGGAAAAGCTTATAGCACTGTAATTAACACATTTGGTATGTTTGAGAACTTGTTCAATATATTGACAAATACGGTTTTTCATCGGCACCACTGGCTATAGCAATCGCCAACGAGTGCTGGCTTCATGCTCAAGCGGACAAAATAGTCTTGTCCAAGAGCGCAACTGTAATGTATAGTCAAGATTATGCAAAAAATGTAGTAGCAGTTACATTAGTGTTCATCATTTATAAAAGACACAAAACATATTGTGTCTATTACAGTTGCCTAAATATTCATATTTAGCGTTCAGACTTTGCGAGAAGGGGCATCACAATTTAAAGCATATTTGAACACAATCACATTAATAATAATTACTCCAATAAGTGAGCATCTATCTATAATGCGAGGAACATTCGTCTGCGTGTTTGGCTGCCCTTCGTGTCGCATGCATACGGCGTTTATAGAATAGAATATGGCACTTTTTTTAAAAGTGATTTTTAATGGCATTTTGTTTTTTTATAGCAATTTTTTTGACATTACTGTAGTCAGAGCTGACAAGTAGCAAGGCAACCAGTTGGTCGTGTTTCCATTTTAATATCCATATCCGTACGCTTTACGTATCCAGTATCCGGGCTTCCAGCACTCTAGCCAATCTCTGTCAGTTAGAAAATGTTAGTACCAGCCTGGTCTGGATAGAACCAAGTACTAAAAAGTATGTGGAACCGGATAAACAGGGCAGGTGGTATTGCTCCAAATCAGGGTAGAGTAAAGTGGGGGTGGGGCCAAGTGGGGCAGGTGGAAACAATTGCAACCTTGCACAGTGGGCGGATTCTTCCCAAAGAGGAGCTTTAAAAACATGTATGGAAAGATGCATACTTCCTATAGAAAAATAAATAAATGTATTGGTTATTTTCTCTGCTCTGAGTATAGAAAATAGACTGTACACAGATGGACAATGCTAACCCGCTAGCTCAATGGCGCTAAATATTGACTTACATTGAAAAGTAAACTCCTCAAACTCTAACCGTTTGTGTCACACTCACTATTATGGGCTTAAAAAAATAAGTGGTTCAGCGCACTCCGAGATCCTGGCGTTTATATTTTGATATGGTCTTTGTAAAATCCAGATGTGAGCCATAAGGATTGACTAACTAGATTCCTTCATTCATGGGGGCGAATTTCCAGCACGCCTTGGTAACAACCCTAGCAACTCCTGCCCCTTTTACGACGTGAAGGTAACCCCGTCAGAACAAATGCCCATATAAGGAAACAGCCTCCATCTTGCTTGTGTTCGAACAGGCTTCTTCTGCATTCGGCAAACAGTATGGTGACGTTAGCAATCAGTCTACTAGCTATATACGCTTTATGGTATAGAAAAACATATGTGTATGATATTATTGAACTAATGACAAAAAAAAAAACATAAGAAAAAAACTCTTTAACTCCCAGAATTCTGAAACTACTCCCAGATTTTGACTGCTCCCATTCAAACCAATGGAATTCTTTAGTTTTTCCCAAGATTCATCCAAAGAAAGCTTTTTTTATGCTTTTTTTAACCTTTACTTGCTTTTAATAATTGCTAAAACTGGTTAATACCACTGCAAATGATATATACAGCAAAAATAAGCTAATGCTAGCTTTTGACAGTAAACAGTGTGTTGCTATGGTAACTCGCACTTGATATTTTCTGGTGGAAAATGAGTTAAAAGTCAAACGCCTACATTTCAAAAGTAAAAGATAATTTCATAAATGAATATTGACATAGAAATAAACTACGTAAAGATACAGAAAAAGTCACAAGACATTACACTTCCAAAACTAAAAGCCGTGTTAAAAATCTCACAATGAAGTTTTTGTTGATTTTATCCCCAGCAGCCCATCCACCATCACACTGGCCTCGCGGCTTCGCTACAAAACCATTTGCGCTGGCCTTTGTCACCACGCGGAAAACTCGCTCACGGCAGTAACGACCGACCCCCTCGCTAAGAATCACGTCTTCGGTGGAGGTGGGCAGGAACATGACTGAAATACCCGATAAGTGGAAGGCTGAGGGAGCGGTGTCAGTGCCTGGGCTGTGGGTAAATATAGCGTATAGAGTGTTTGTGCGGCGGAGGACTCGCAGCATATGTTCGATATGGACTGGGGGCCGTCAATCACACATGTATTGGAGGAAGGCTTCCAGTGGATTGAAGACATGAGGATAGCAGTCAGAAACTCATTTAGAACATTTGTTGTTGTTTTGACGTGTTGTATGTGTTTGAAGGACATACAGATGGATTTTCTCTTTCTGTGTGACCTGGTGAGAGAAAAGTCAGGAGAAATGTGCTTTTGTATAACGGTAACTATAACGGTGTAATAGTGTAAAGGTGATGTAATAGGAGTTTAATCATGTAATACGGGTGAAATGGGGGAGGGGGATTCTAATCTTCATAATGGTGCGACTCATCCTACTAATTTTTGGTAATATAAATATTAAAATATATTTTGTTAGCACGCCACCAGACCACAAGAACAGATTTGGACACAGCTCTATCAGATCTGCAGATCTCATAATTGAGAACACATTCTTGCTCCAGTGTGTTTATGTGAACAGTAGAGAGAGACGACCCAAGGAATTGTAAGACATATACAGGACTTGTCTATATGCAATTAATAGCAGTTTTTTCAAATATTGCGAAATATTACAAAGAGCTGACACGGCAGCACAAAGGTGTATGCATATAAAAGGTAAACAAATCATTAACAGCAGGCATGTAATGGCCTCTTGAATGAATCAAAATCTCTGGGTCTGAGGTCTACACAAACTGGGCTCCTTCATGGCATCTTCACTCAGTCAGTCAATCATATGTCAACACTGAACCTTCTGACCACGGGAAAACTGACTGACTACAGAGTTCTTATGGTAAATCAGTCAAAGTCCTGTGTTTTTTATGAGACAAGAATGTCTCGTTACATAACACACAAACAGACTTTACATAAACCCTGTACAGTGATTGTATAACTTCCTTTAACTAAGTTTCCATTCATCATTGATTCTTTGCTGATGCCTCTCTGTTCCTACAAACCAGCCACTGATGAGCTTCAGGATAATTCAGGACCATGACTCCATAAACAAAAAAAACATGGTCCAAATCTGAACATTTTGCAGATAATTTCTCTTTCAAAAAGCGTTCACAGAGAAGCAGCGGCAGAAGACTGTTAAAACCATCACGTTAGGAGGCGGGCCCGATCTGCACGACAACTGTAAGCCCTGCCCCTCCCGGCCTGCAGAAACGGCTTACCAGAGTCGGGTTTCCGCGGCACAAAGGACCAAAAGGCCCAGGTAGCGGTTACATTATAATTTGAGCACAGAAGGGGCGGGGCTTGCAGAGGAAGTCTAAAGGAGAAATCAGAGCGCATGATGGGACAGGATTAGGGAGGTGAAGTGAGGTGGCCTTTTTCACACGCTCCACAATACAATACAATACCGAACCAATACATTTGAAAAACCTCTCTCTACCACTTTTGTTTACACCTTATAAAATAGCCCTTGCAGCTGCAGCAGACCTACAACAAAAGGTTTGATATCTGTGAGATGTGAGGTCAGGTGGTTAGAAAGCGTGTGGTGAGGGGTTTTACAGCCTTAAAGGAATAGTTCACCGTTTTTACATACTGACATATGTCCTTACCTTACCTTAGACTAGTTAATACGTACCTGTGTGATCTTAGTCCGTGCGCTCTGTCATGCAAACGGAGCAAAAACGGGAGGACAAATGCAGCCTCCTCTGTATACTGTGTAGCACCAAAAGGTAGCTCCCGCTAGAAGCTACCAAACTCTTCCAAGTGTTCCCTATTAAATGTATATAGTTACGTGACGTGTTACACTGCAAAGTATAGTAACACAGAAATGTAACTGTCGATTTTCTCAGCGGATAAAACGGGTACTATATTGTGAGGCGTAGTAATCTGAGGAGCGCTACGTCCGCGCACTAACTTCTCTCTGTACTACAAGTCACGCTGCTTCTATTGACGGAAGTGAGCGAGAGAGAAGTCTCCGGACAGAAGTTAGTGCGCGGACGTAGCGCACCTCAGATTACTACGCCTCACAATATAGTACCCGTTTTATCCGCTGAGAAAATCGACAGTTACATTTCTGTGTTACTATACTTTGCAGTGTAACACGTCACGTAATTAATAGTTACTTATGTAACTTAAGTTCTACGAATAGGTGCGTAGTCCCTTAGGACTTCGCTAGTGGGATATCACTCGTGACCCCCAGGTCACGCGCCAGAGAGATCAAATAATTTGCTCCAATCACCAGCCACCTTCCTCTATAAATGCCCCTGCACAAGGCCGCACCCCCTCTTGAACTCTGCCAAGCCGGGCTGGCCTGATGGGCTCGTAGCTAAGGGACTACGCACCTATTCGTAGAACTTAAGTTACATAAGTAACTATTAATTCTACGTCATGGTGCTACGTCCCTTAGGACTTCGCTAGTGGGACACAACGCGGAGGCCGTAGGAAAATGTACTCCCAGCAGGCCAGCGAAGGGTGATTGGAGCTCCGCCCGAGTAAGACCCTCACAACGTGAGGACTCAGGGCAGAAGAACAAGCATGTTACGGGGCCACTCGCTACCAAGGATACCCCCACGTAACACAAGCCGTAGGTCATACGTAGTCACAGGACGCCTCTCCCAAGAGCTCCTGACTGAGGACTACCAGACCGACCACACACACAATGTACCGCACCTGTAGGATGCCTCTCCCAAGAGCTCCTGCACCAGGGCGGAAATTAGACCGAAGGCCCCCCCTAAGGGGAGGGACCCAACGGTCTAACTCAATCCGCTGCACTCAGCACGGAATGGGCCACCGACCGGTCCGACACATTCCGAAAGATAAGACCGACGAAAGAGGAGGACGACGCCCAAGAAGCCGCACGGCAAACGTCCTCGACCGACGCCCCCCTGAGAAGGGCCGTAGAGGCCCTGCCATCCCACGCGTGGAATGCGACCTGAAACCCACCGGGGGGCCAGACCCCTGCGTCTGATACGCCCGTCGCAAAAGTCCGCCGTGGCGACCCAATGCGCCAGCCGCTGAGCCGACAGCGGGGCGCCCCTGTTCTTGGGGCCCAGACACACAAAACAGCTGATCACCCGACCTGAATGACGACGTCATGGCCAGGTAATGCCTCAGCATTCTGATAGGACACAGAAGGTGCTGCCGCTCCTCCTCGGGGGAGGCATGCGGCGGCGGGTGGAAAGCCCTAATCCTGATCACTCTCGACCTAAAGGCCGACGTGATGACCTTGGGGAGAAAAGCCGGATTGGGCCACAACTCCACCATGCCGTCGTCCTCTCCAAAGGACAGGCACGACGCATGGACGGAGAGCGCACACAAATCGCCCGCCCTTTTAGCAGACGCCAACGCCAGTAAGAGGGCCGTCTTAAAAGCGATACACTCGGGACTCGCCTCCGCCGCCGGTTCAAATGGCGAACCCGACAGCCCCCTAAGGACCACCCTGAGGTCCCAAACCGGAGGCGTTCTCTGGAGCGGGGGCCTCCTCCTGCGCGCCCCCCGCAGAAAACGTTTAACCAACGGGTGAGAGCGGGCTGTGAACCCCCCGAACCCGTCGTGACCCGAAGTAATGGCTGCCGCAAACACCGCCAAGGTAGCGACAGCCCTCCCCTTGTCGAAAAGCTCCTGTAGGAATCCCAGGACCCCCTCCAGCGGGCAACACCTGGGATCCCAGGAACGGGAATCGCACCAGACACTGAATAGCCTCCACCTCGTGGCGTAGGCCCTCACGGTGGACGGCGCCCTCGCTCCCTGAATAATCTCCACCACCGCAGGGGGAAGACCCAGATCTACGAGGCTCCGCCTCTCAACCTCCAAACCCAGAGCCTGCGGCCGATTATCGGACGTGAAAACAGGGCTCCTGCCCCCTGGACTAGAGCCCCCGGCTCGTCCGGGAGGGCCCAGGGCTCCATCACCGCCATGCCCCTCAAGAAGGGGAACCACCGGGCATGCGGACTGTCCGGAGCCACCAGAATCACCGATCTCCTCTCCTGTTCGATCTTCCGCAGCAGGACCGGCAGGAGACGCACCGGTGGGAAAGCGTACAACAGGCCGCCTGGCCATGGGTTATGAGCCAGAGCGTCCACGCCTAAAGGCGGCTCGTCCGCGGCCCTTAAGGCGAACCAGGACGGGCACTGTGCGTTCTCTGCACTGGCGAAAAGGTCGACTACTGGACGGCCGAACCTCCGCCAGATCTCCGCAGCTACCCGTGGGGCCAGGCCCCACTCGTCCTGGAGTGGGCCCCCCCTGGACATTCTGTCGGCTCCCACGTTCCGGACCCCCGGGACGTGGCGCGCCCTGAGAGACAGGAGGTGAAGCGCCGCCCACAGTAGCGTCACCGTCGCCATGCGATGGAGAGCGGGGGACCTGGTGCCCCCCTGCCTGTTCAGATAGGAGACCACTGTGGTGTTATCTGAGCGCACCATCACGTGTCTCCCCTGCAACTGAGGGGCAAAGTGCAGCAGTACTCTGTGCACTGCCTCCATCTCCAGCAGGTTGATGTGACGGGCTGAGTCCGACCAGCAGCCTCCTACATAGCTCTGGCCGAGGACCCCGCCCCATCCTTCGAGCGACGCGTCCGTGAACACCTCGACGTGAGACACAGCGCAGGCCAGAGTCACTCCGTCCCGCAATAGACCCGGAGTGAGCCAGAACCTGATGTCCGATGCCGCCCCTTGGGGAACCCAGATCAGCCTCCCCCCGTCCCGGGAGGGGTGAAGCCTGAGGCGCGAGAACCACCTCTGAAAATTTCTCATGTGGAGCAGGCCTAGCCGCACCACAGCATGAGCCGCTGCCATCATTCCCAGCAGGGACCTGAGGCGCCGAGCGGGGACTCTGGGGCCCGCCAGAACCTCCCGGGCCAGACGGGTAATACTCATCCGTCTGTCCACGGACAATGCAGCACGGAATATCACCGAGTCTAGCTGCAGACCGAGGTAAACCAAGCGTTGGGCTGGCTGCAGCTTGCTCTTCTCCCTGTTCACCACAAAGCCCAGACGCTGTATGTGGGACAGGACCCAGTGCGTGTGGCTCACGGCCACTTCCCTGGATGGGGCCAGTATTAACCAATCGTCTATATAGGTTAATATTCTTACCCCCGCACGTCTGATCGGCTCCAGAGATGCTTCCACACATTTGGAAAAGGTGCGAGGCGCGAGTGCGTAGCCGAAGGGGAGACGGCAGTACTCGTAATTCCTCTCTCCCACTGCGAAGCGCAGAAACCTCCTGTGTTCTGGCACTATGGGCACGTGGAAATATGCGTCTGTCAGGTCTATGGAAGTCATCCAGTCTCCTTCCCTGACACACTCGAGGAGCTGCCTTGTGGACAGCATCCGAAACTGCCGCTTGGAAATGCACTCGTTTAACACGCGCAGATCCAGAATGGGACGCACCCCGCCTGATTTCTTTGGCACTAAGAAGTAAGGGGAGTACAGCCCCCTGGTGGCGTCCTGCGGGTCTACCTCCACTGCTGCGCCTCGACTCAGCAGAGAGGAGACCTCCGCTTCTAGTGCCTCTGTTGATCCCCGTACCTGAGAGCGTACTGCCCGTACGCCTCGGAATGGTGGTAGCTTTCGGAAAAATTGCAGAGCGTAACCTCTGCGCAGAGTTTTCTCCAGCCAAATATCTGTCAGTAGGCCCTGCTCCCTCCAGATGGTGTAGAAATCTGTGAGGGGCGGAACGGGAGTTGGAACACGAGACGTCACGGCCCCGCCCTCTCCTGGTGTTCCTAGCAGGGAGGGGGGGTGGCTGAAAGGGCCGGGGGGGCCCTTGCGTCACACCGTGAGCGCCGAAGGCGGTCACGTGTTCTGCAGGCCCGACGTCATAAGTACGGGACTGCTCACCACACGTGACTCGGCTGCTGTGCCCCCCCCTGGCTCTTGCCTCATGGAGGGGGGGGCGAGCCCCTGGAGTGGGAAACCCCGTGTTAGCCTTGTAGCTCTGCTCACCACACGTGACACGGCTGCTGTGCCCCCCCTCGGCTCTTGCCTCATGGAGGGGGGGACTAGCCCCTGGATTGGGAAACCCCGTGTTAGCCTTGTAGCTCAGAGATGCTAACACGCGTTCGGCTGGAGCACACACATTATCACTTACCAGATCCCTCCGCCTGCCCTCTCTCCGGGAGGGCAAAACATGAACCCGTGAATCGGAGCCCGTGGCCCGCATAGCGCGCTGCACGCCCTTCTCTGGGGGCTGCAGGCCTAGCGGAGCCACGTTATATGCTCGAGAAGTAACACAATCAGAATTCAAATCATTTGACATGTTACATACCCCCAAATGAGACTCAGACAGCGAGTACTGATGAAATGGCGGACGGCCTTTATTGAAAACATTTTTTTTCCCACCCCGACCTCCTCTGCCATAGGGAGGTCGTCGTTGGGTGTGTTGGTCCCGCGAACCTCCCGTGTGCCTGTCTGGGCCCGGGGGTCTCGTCGCTGGGGAACGATGGACCACGGAGCGTGGATAGGGTCCGGGGCGCCTGCCGGGCGAGCGCTCCCTGCCTCGGTCTCGGCTCCGCGCTGGTGGGCGGGCCTCGCGTCTCGCAGCTAGATGCTTGGCTAGGCTAGCAGAGTCCTTAGCTGCGGTGTCCAGCCTCGTTATCAGCGTCTGCATCTCCGGACCGAAGAGTGACGTTTGGGAGATGGGCAGGTCCAGCAGCTGCCTCTTCTCCGCCTCTCTGAGATTCACCGACCCCAGCCAGAGGTGTCTGGCCCCAACTTGTGCTGCTGCCATCGTGCGGCCGCCATCGACAGCTAGCGCTTGGCACATGCGCAAGATCGCCGCTGAAGTGGTCCTCGCCTGGGATAAGGTGTCTCCACTGAGTGCCTGGTCAGAGGAGAGAGACCTATCCAGGGCCCCGGTGATGAAGGCCATGTTGTTAGCCACCGCGACGACCTGAGCCGCATTGGCGTAACATCTGTCGTGCATCGCCAAAGACATCCTATCCCGCTCGGAGGGAAGGAGAGGTCTGGTGCTGGGCCACACGGATGTGGAGGGGTGCAGGGCCGCCCGAACCGAGTCCTCGATGTCCGGGACCCCGCCGGTCCAGGACCAGTCTTGCACGTTACAGTACATGCCATACCCCAAAGCGGGCCTCTTGGCCGCTAGGGGCTTTGGCCACTCACGTGTCGCATAATGGACGATCGGGTCCATACGCGGGCACAACGTGGGCTGGGCTCTCCTCCTCCCTCGAGGGGTGGCGTAACCAGAGGTGAAGTCCTCCACCCTCTGGTTCGGTTGCGGTGGCAGGGGGGCATCCATGATGGCCGCCGCCGTGGCGTAGAGCCCAGGCATGTGGTCCAGCGGGAAGCGGTCCGGCTCCGGGTTGGACACCACCTCGTCCAGCGTGAAGAGAGAGCCGACCTCCGACACCTCTCCGTCCTCGCAGTCACCCCACTCCGCGGGCACGGGTGGAAGGTCGAGGGGGGCCCAGTCAATCGCAGACCCCTCGTCCTGAGAGGGGTCCGGACGGGGCGCTGTAGCGGCGAAGAACGCGCGCCTGCGTTCACTCTCCTCCCTGGGGAGAGCGACACACGAGGCGCAGGTGGCGCTCAACGCCGCATGGCCCGAACCCAGGCACAGGAAGCAGCTGGAGTGCTGGTCCTTGCGCTGGAGCTTGACCCGACAAGTCGAGCAACGACGACGTCCGACGCCGGATGGCAAAGGGGAACTCGAACGAGCATCGGAAGACATCTTTCCTCAGGTAATTGAATGTAGATCTCAATCGGCGCCAGAGTGAAAGAGGGGGTGCGGCCTTGTGCAGGGGCATTTATAGAGGAAGGTGGCTGGTGATTGGAGCAAATTATTTGATCTCTCTGGCGCGTGACCTGGGGGTCACGAGTGATATCCCACTAGCGAAGTCCTAAGGGACGTAGCACCATGACGTAGAACTATATACATTTAATAGGGAACACTTGGAAGAGTTTGGTAGCTTCTAGCGGGAGCTACCTTTTGGTGCTACACAGTATACAGGGGAGGCTGCATTTGTCCTCCCGTTTTTGCTCCGTTTGCATGACAGAGCGCACGGACTAAGATCACACAGGTACGTATTAACTAGTCTAAGGTAAGGTAAGGACATATGTCAGTATGTAAAAACGGTGAACTATTCCTTTAAGACAAAGCTGCTAGTTTGCAGATTTGTTGAATTGGGGTTATTTTATACTTACTCCTTTTTTATGCAAAAGTCAGAAACTCTATAGTTGATTCTTGCCTTTTTTATTTGCCAAATTCAGACTTTATTCATTACGATAACATTTTGAGAATTTATACTAGATTCTATTTTAAGTAAGCAAGTAAGTAAGTAAGTAACTTTTAGGATAGAGTTATTGTTCACTTGTGCGGTGTGCTCCTCATTCCTAACGTTCCCTAACTGGTGATGCAACACTGAAATTTCCCTACTGTGGGACCAATACAAGATCTCTTTAAGGTAAATTGGAGGATTTTCCCAATTTTTAGGAAAGAACTGCCCTCTCCACTTTTTAAAATAACTCTCTGGTCTTGTTTGACGAGCAGTATTACCAGAATTAATGACAATTAGGAGGACCAATAGTCTGATGATCCACCCGGAAGTAGAAAATCCCCCTTTTTCCCTTTGATCTTATATTCAGAACGTCACCCCCACCATAAACAAAAGGGCCACTGTGATTCATTGTTATATGACAAACAAGGATCAACACATATAAATTCTCGCATCTTTTTTTCTGTGTTTTTTTTTTTTTACAACAGTTTGATGGCGCAGAAAATTATGTATCACAGATTGACGTATAATTAAAAAAAGAATAAAGAAAAGAACCATCAGTGACCAAGCAATGGAAAAGCTATATCTTCAAAAGAAAAACAACCTTTTGAAACAACGTAAAAGACAAAAAACTAATGGCCATGATGAGAGGTAATTTTTTTGTATTTATTTATTTGATAGCACAGCAGTTACATTTGACAGACCAGATGCACTGCCTTTAGTGATATAGCAAGACCATGCTAATTTTCAATACTAAGGTAAAAGGAGTACTTAAACCACAGCACATACTCAGACACCGCTCGTTCCACTCCGGCAGATTGTCAGTCACACAGAATTGGCTTAAAATGTTTTATAACTCTTGATTTACTTTTGAGTTTCAATTGGACTAAATCCTGATATCCTTATATCAACTCCCAGCAGACATTTTATTCAGGAAACGCCAGGAGCCTCATGATGACTTTTAGAAACTCAATTCACTGAGGGATAGCTTTGTTAATTTCTATGTACTAATCACTGCTCGGAAATATGAGGTCGTCTCTTCGGGTCACGTCTAATTTGGAGACAAAAACCCGAAAGACAAAAAGAAAAAAATCAGACTTATTCACACCTTTTTCAATGCCAAACCAAGTCACCTCTGCTCTTTTCGTTCCTCTCGTCGCACCCCGCCCTTCCCAGTTAGCTTGTGACGCTACGCCGCCCACAAAGTGACACTTCTTCAAGGACGGGAGAGCAATTAATTAAGCGTGCGACGTGATCTTTGTAAAAAAAAAAAAACTAAAAAAAAGGGCTGCATCCTGTGCGAATGTTTAACTGAACGTGATGGCGAGCGCGGCAGGACTCATCACAGATGTAATGAACGAGCGATGGGAGTGGGCTGGATCCACGGCTGTTTGTGAGCGATGTCTGGTGCAGAGAAACGAAAATGTGCTTTTGTAATTAGGGCATTAGAGCGGCGAGTTACAAGGTCGCTAATAGACTATTATACGTTTATCTGATATTCAACTTTACAGGTCAAACTCTGAGAACTAGAATGTCAATCAAAGGTTCCTTCATTTTTATCATTCAAATGACAATGTGAAACCAATCTATGATATGGATTTATTACATGCAGGATACCGAAATATTTCATTCAATTTGATTTGTTCTTGTACAGCCCTAAATCACAACAGCAGTGTGTTTGTGTGTGTGTGTTTGTTTTTGTGTGAATGGTGGTTGGAGCCCAATAAGCATTTGCATCGTCCAACCCCTTTTCAAACTGTATTTTTCAAATTGAATGTCAACAGTATATCTTGTTATATAAGTTTGAAATAAACACTTATTCAGATATCTCGGAGGACTTTACAAAACCGTTGAATTCGCCAACACCGATCAGAGAATCAAACAGAAGAAATAAAACAGAAATCACATTTCCTAAAATTTGGCGAAATCCTCATTTATACCTTTAAGTTAGACCTTACAAGACTCAAACAGACCCTCCTGCATCGGAAAGAAAAAACTCTACAGCCAGTGGGAAAAGTGAGAAACCTCGGGGAGTTCCACATTGAGAAAGGGATCCGCTCCACAGACGGACGGGCTGTAGATCCAGGACTCAGGGATAATTACTGTGGTTACAGTAAAGTTTCTAAATCATTTTCTGAGAGGTTTTAGCAATTATCCTGATAAGAAAGCCGTGACATATCTCTCTTTGCGTTTGCGTATGTACACGTTTATTATAGCTTACCTTTTCAAGCCACTCAAAGACAAAAGGCTACAATCTCCAATGGCAGCTGGTTTCACACCTGCCAACCTGTGGGTCTGTCAATCTGACCGCTCCACCAATGATGATTATGTTGGGTGCAGGATTCAATCTTCCGCCAAACGCCAATAGATCATCGAGAACACTAAACCATTGATTATTTTTAAAGTTGAGTGTGACACAAGCGGTTACAGAGCTAGATGAGTTTACTTTTCAATGTAAGTCAATAGGATCCAGAGCGAGTTGGAGCAAAACTTTGTCCATGAACACTTCCCTATTAGCGGGTTAGCATTAATTAGCATAAATCAGTTTTGTTACTGGTGATACAACACTGACATTTCCCCACCGGGGGATGAATGAAGTTCTGTTAATCTTAGTTACTGTATAATCCTAGGATCTGAAAACAGATTTGCAAAAGATTTCAACAAGGACTCCGGACCAAGGACTCCGGACCAAGGACTCCGGACCAAGGACTCCGGACCAAGGACTCCGGACCAAGGACTCCGGACCAAGGACTCCGGACCAAGGACTCCGGACCAAGGACTCCGGACCAAGGACTCCGGACCAAGGACTCCGGACCAAGGACTCCGGACCAAGGACTCCGGACCAAGGACTCCGGACAAGGACCCGGACCAAGGACTCCGGACCAAGGACTCCGGACCAAGGACTCCGGACCAAGGACTCCGGACCAAGGACTCCGGACCAAGGACTCCGGACTCCGGACCAAGGACTCCGGACCAAGGACCCCGGACCAAGGACCCCGGACTCCGGACCAAGGACTCCGGACCAAGGACTCCGGACCAAGGACTCCGGACCAAGGACTCCGGACCAAGGACTCCGGACCAAGGACCCCGGACCAAGGACCCCGGACGGACTCCGGACCAAGGACTCCGGACCAAGGACTCCGGACCAAGGACTCCGGACCAAGGACTCCGGACCAAGGACTCCGGACCAAGGACTCCGGACCAAGGACTCCGGACCAAGGACTCCGGACCAAGGACTCCGGACCAAGGACTCCGGACCAAGGACTCCGGACCAAGGACTCCGGACCAAGGACTCCGGACCAAGGACTCCGGACCAAGGACTCCGGACCAAGGACTCCGGACCAAGGACTCCGGACCAAGGACTCCGGACCAAGGACTCCGGACCAAGGACTCCGGACCAAGGACTCCGGACCAAGGACTCCGGACCAAGGACTCCGGACCAAGGACTCCAGACCAAGGACTCCGGACCAAGTACTCTGGACCCGGCCCCATCCTGCAGCCGTGTTGATAATGGATGGAAACATATTGAAATGCGAGTGGATGAAGCATTTTGAGCTGGTTTGAAAAAATGGATAAAAAAAGACCAGAGTTTTTAAACAAAAAACGAAAACTCACAGGAACTTCCACGTACTTGGCGGCGGCCTTAACCTTGAGGGAGGGCAGATAGAGGGAAGATATGGGGGAGATGTGGGGGAGGGGGAGGCATGTGGGGAACAGAGCAATTGTTTTGTTTTAAGCTCGATCGATTGCGAGAGACACAGGAGCGGAGTGAAACAATAAAAACGAGCTGCCGGACTCACGGTGAAGGAGAGGAAGGAGGAGAAGAAGGTCCCCTCGTCGTATCGAGACAGCTTGGACAAGACGCCGTCGAGGACAGACGCCAACTGGAGGCGGGAGAGAAGGAGAACAAGTGTGATCTGTACCGGTCTTAAGGGTCTTGTTTACAAATGGACAGAACCAAAACAGACAATGTTAGTAATAAAAACTTATGCATTGATGGATATTTAATAGAATTGGGTAAATGTCAGGGAGGGTTTCTACAGCTCAATTTGTTTGGACTAGTGTCAGTAATGAGCCACGATGAACCAAAAATAGAATAAATGTTATGCAATAATGGAAAAAAGTCAGAGATTTTATACTTGATTAATGCGTCTTCATTATGCTAAAGTTGGGAGATTTTAGAATTACTTCCATTTGATGCTGACGCTAGAGATTTCATACTGGCTTCTTTTTTCTGCTAAAGTTAAATATTTCATTTTATTTTATTTTAGTACAGAGTTATTCTTGATTATTCTTCATTTTTCTCGTGTCGTGTGCTCCTCATACTTACTGTTTTAAAAACGGAGATGCAACACTGAAATTTCCCCACTGTGGGACCAAATCTTAAAGTAGAGAATGACTAAATTATAATATTGTAGAAAAGTCTGAACGGCTGTAGTCATGGAAACGACGTGTTGAAATCTACTGTATGGTGTAATTGCCGGAAATATCATGTAAATAACTATACATTAGAATCACAGAAGAGAGAAAGGATACGTTTTAAAACTTTCTTTGTCGTACTTCTTGTCAATAATTGTATCTCTCTTGCAAATGACCAACACCGCAAGTCAAACGTCTTGCATGTGTTTAAAACGGATGCTCAAATAACTAAATAATAAAAAACAGCACTTTATATCATTGTTTGAGCGAAAATTGCCACCAGCACGATTGCGACGAAACTGTAACTGACAATATTTGACCACCTATTACTGCCAGTTCAAGACGCAAACCAGAAAACGTACATACCGCACTCTGCATTACCATGAATTGAGGCCGTTAAATTGCTCATGAAAAAATACATATCGCAGTGAAAATGTGTCTTGCCTTGCTTTGCCTATACAGTACAAGTACGTTTTTTTGTACAGCACAGTTCGTACAGAAAGAGAAAGAAAAAGTCACACGATGCATTCAAATCATAAATATTTAGTGTATAAAGGGAACCATATAAAAGCATGTTGTTGTGTGACTGGCTTTGAATTATAGAAACATCTTTCACAATGAAGCGAACCCAGAGGTTAAAGACTGAACCAATGGTGAAGAATGACAACAAAACTAAAAATTGCTTTCTGTGGGCGTTACCTTGGACACCAGCGACGCTATCATTTCCTTGAACGTGTCGTCAATCAGCACATCGATTTTGGAATGGTACTGTTGCTACGGGACACATAAAAACGTTTATTTAATCTGGGGGGGAAAGGCAAAAGCACAAAGGCACAAAAAAACCAAAAACATTGCTCCTTTCTTTTACGTTTTGTACACACACACACACACACATTACAGCAGTACAGCCTCCGCCAACTCCTCCTCCTCCTGGCGGTTTTTACAGCGTGACAAAAAAACCCGTGTGCGTAAAGGCGGCGAGTTAAGCAGCTAATAGGACCATTATGTCGGCTGAAAGGCATTCCCGTTTGGCGGAGGAATTCGAAGGATACTTTTTGTGCGAGCTCGCCGACAATTAGAGCAGCCTTGCGCGCTCTCTAAAGCACCGGTCCAGCTGCGAAGACCAAAGGCTTCACACAGCAGATTCAATTAATACGCCATTTTACGTCCCGTTCGCCTCCTTCCTGCCCCTTGCTCCTGAGAAAAAAAAAGAAAAACATATTCGTGGCAGATTCTCCCTGGAAGGAGTGGAGTAAATAGGCTGGTCGTGCACGCGGACAGACCAACGGCTTGGGAATTCGTCTTGCTCCGACAAAGCCCCTTTCACGAGTCGTCAAAAGCACCCCCAAATTAAAAAATGTCCAGCCACAAAGCGCGAGATCGCTGACAAATTGCGGGTCAGGACGAGGTCAGCCTGCTCGGCCCCAATTCTTTTTTTTTTTTTTTTCAACCACAAAATGGCAGCTCGCTTTTCAAACCCGCCTGGCCGGTCTTGAGGGCTGTTTTTGCCCACTTCTTGCCTCAATTAACGCGCTTTGGGGCGGCTTTTGGCGACCCCGAGAGATTGTTCAGTCTTTACCACAAGTGAAAAGGACAATTATTGGTTTGAAAAAACATTTGTGCCGACGCTGGAGTTGAGGCTATACTTCAGCGGTGTTGGCCCGTTTTTGATGCGGGGACAATTGGGAGGCGGTCGAAAGTGATGCTATTTTCACCAAAGAAAAACTTGTAGGAAAACTTTACGCTTGATCAAGACCAGTTAAAAGAAAAGCGTATCCTAAAAAAGGCGACAAATACTATACAGCACATCTTAAAGTATAACACCAAGCATTCTGTTATGCTCATCACATCATAATTGTTTTACCGATTCTATTTTTGATACATATAATGCTGGAAAACATGTATATTTAAATGTGTCACTTTTATCTCTGCAGCCCTTTGGAAACTTGTTCTTTAAAATGTGCTATATGAAAAAGGTGTATTGGATTGGATTGGATGCCATACATTGCAGCAAGAGAAAACACCTAGCTTTCCGTAATCGTAAATAATCAATGTTGTTTGTCCCAAAAGAAAGTCTTGTAAGGAATAAAATGTTAACAAATCAAAACCCCACATCACGTCTTCATATTGACATTTTGTGAGTCTGGGAGCTGATTTTGTGAGGGGTAGACATCTTTTTTTTTTCCATTTTCTATCTGACAAAGCTGAGCTAAAGAGGCCCAAGCTAACTGCAGGTGAAAACTAGACATGGAACCAAACTATTTAGAGAGCAGGAACTAGTATTTTATTTATTAGTTCCATCGTTAGTGGTTTAAAACTGAGATACTCCAGCTGTAAGACAGAAGTTAGAAAAAAGTTACATTAGGAGTCCCAAAAAGTCTTATTCTATCCATCAGCGATGAGTGAGTCGGTACAGTGGTTCCTAGCTATACATTTGCTGTGTTGTTGTGCTGATTGTTTTTAGCGTGCACTTTTGTTTGCTTTTTTTACAGGATGAGTCTCATCTACTGCGTGTATACTCTGACGACATCAAATTACCGCTTGCATAACATGACATATTTGCTAGCTTAACATGACATATTTGCTAGCAAAACATGACATTTCAGCTAATTTTAACAAGTGACCACTGTATTGTATTTAATGTATTGGACAACTTCCTTCCTACAGTGACATTAACTTAGGACTTTGTGTGGATATAACCTCTACTGCTCATCTTTTACATTGTGTATTTGACATTTTTATATTTGGGATTAGGAGTACACATGAGGAGGCATCATTTCAGATTTAAGCGGCCAGATTATGGACCACTCTCACTGAATTTGTGGGACAGGCCTCGTCCCTGACTGAAAACTTTAGCTATGCATATGACTATTTTTTTATGGTTTTAACTTTGATCTTTTTTACTGAATCATATGTATTTGCATTGTTTTTATGTTTTATTGTCTGTTTTAAAATTGCTTGTGAAGGACTTTGGGTTCCACTGTATGAATTGAGCTTTAGAAATACATTTGATTGATTGAATTTGAATTTTTCATTATTTTCCCTTTCACTTTAGAGATTTTATTATTACTATTTTCAGTAAGATTTGCCTGCATTTTCTTAAATATTTCGCCCGCTATTTCTAAGAGCTTCCTATTGTATTTGAACTGGGCACCAAAGACAATGACAGGGGGTCTTTATCTCACAGTAAAACATGTAAGTGTAAAAAAAAATAAGAAAAAAATTGTGTTTTCCATAGTCTAGTCGCAAACATTTCAAGGTGATAATCCGCATTGTGTCGTTCTCTAAAACCGTTAATGCGTCTCTTTTGTCGTCAGATCCTTTGTGTGTACGGTGTCTGGGCGCGTGAGAGTCTTCCAGCTAAAATGATCAAGTACAGATTGTTGGATGTGCGTTTGACCCGGCGGGCCTCTGGGACTGGGCGCTGGGATGCACTTAAGGAGACTGTGGCCTGAGAGCAGAGGCCGCCTCAGATGGAACGGGTTATAGCAGGATATATTTGGAGCCGGAGGGGGGGAAAAAAAACAGAGAGAGAAAACTCAGAAAGTGGCACATAGTTTTCATTGTTCAATTAAACTCTATGGATGTGAGGATGAGGATGTGTCGATGAAGGTAGGTCAGTATTTTGTGTTCAGTAACAATATTCCCAGGATAATGTGACAATCAATGTTAATTTAAGAAATGCTTTCACGTATTTTTGTTTAGGTTCTTGTTCAATATATATCAATAAACAGCAGCCTCTTGTTTATATTGATACATATAAAAATCTCAAAATAACCCGCAATAAGCCAAATTTTTAAAGTAGACATTTTAGTTTTTTAGCTGTAAAATACACTTTTCTAACCACCTGAACTCACGACTGCTGAAGAACGAACGCAGATGAATTAAATGTCTATAAAAAATACAGCGGCAGAAGACACAGCACTGAGAGGCAGGAGCAGGACTGAGGGAAGTCACCAAAATGTTCTTCTGCATTTAAATAACGGTAACGGTCGTGTAATACTAGCAGTTTTATGATTTTGGAGTATACAGGAGGCGTATGCTGTAAAAAAAAAAAAAAAAGAAAAAGAAAAGAAAAGCGTACAGTAATACAATACACATAGCTGTCTCATTCTTGCAGTGTTGGTAAGAGCATAGTCATTTTGGTCAGTTACAGTAATCTCATGAGTTACTTTGACCTCTGCTCTAACACTGTTATCGTTACTTTGATCGCAGCAGTCACAATCGAAAATAAACAAGTATTGGTTAAAAACTTAGATTCTACTTTGTTCAATGTTGCTGATCATCAAAGTGAATTTACTTTTGTTCAATATAATACATACCGAGAACAAAATGGGGATGAGTAGAGAGTATATCTACTCGTATCTACTCTACTCAATTACATTTCTATTATATTTTAGTATCTGGTACCGTATCCGAGCAAACAAGGACACGGTAACACAACCGACCAGTATCCGAGTAAATTCCATGGTAACCAGCAGCACTCTGTCCAATCACTCCCTCAGTTATAACACTTTAGCACCAACTCAGCCTTGTTAGAACCAAAGCCAAGCAAGTAGTAACAAAAAGTGAAATAAGACCGGTGGAAACCCTCCCAATCGGGGTAGAGAAGAACTGAGCTGAGTAGAGAAGGACCAACAAGGGCTGGTGGTGACAGGGCTAAAACTATAAGTCGTTGCTCTTTACAAGCAGAACATGGGAGGTTTAGAAGATGAGAATGTGTTGCTCGTCTGGTGTCATCCTGAAGAGAAGGTGGTGAGCAGAAAGCCGTGGAGGAGCCCCTTACCCATTGTTTGTCGGTCTGGAGTCAAACAATGACGAGCGCGAGGCATATGGACATGCAGGGTGGGCCACATGCAACAGAGAGAGGCAAACAGGTCAGAATATGCAAACGGAAATGTTATATGTATGTCCCTTGGATTTGGATTGGGCTTTCACATACAGTATAGATGCTAACAATATGCATACAATATACAGTAATGCTTTTAAATGCTTTTCTAACCCGAACCCAAACCACCAAAGGATACATCGACTTTCTCCTTTAACCTGATACTATAAATGATTGAATGGGCCGACTGACATCCACATTGAAATAAGCTGAAAAAACACATTTCATTACAAGGGTAAATGTAACGCTAATGTAGTTAAGTTGATCCACGCATTTGACCCTTCCTTCAAAGCCTCTCGGGCCTCTGCCAGAAGTGGTGCAGCGCCCAGGGGTCCATTCGTTCAAAGCGTCCAAATGTTGATGCTCGGTTTGGTCAGGAGCCGGAGGATTTTGCTTTGTGGACACGTTTTTAGTGATCGGGGAAACCGGAGCACCTGGAGGAAACCTACGCAGAAATGGGGGGGAACGTGCAAAGTCCACTAAAAAAAACCCCGTTCTGACTGGGATTCGAACCCTGGACCTTCTTGCTAACCACTCAGCCATGGATCACTTTTAATGGCAAACAGATTGATTGTTTGACTCTTGTTTATAGTTTGGTAAATGTACGGGCGTCTTTTTGAAGTTACAAAAATGTTCCTTTCATTTGAGACAATATTAATTGAGGTATTTTTTCATTTCTTTCTTGTGTCTGTCAGATAATAGACACTGTTCTCCTTCTCGGTTCAAAAATAGCCATATTTACAGTTATAATTCGTCATGTCTTCAGATTTGGTCATGCATTTATATAATTACTGGATTCATATTAAAATGACGGTTGCCACGGCAGTCGTCAAAACATCCATTTTAATTAAGATACGGCACAATTCTAGCAACTCATTACAGCTAAACTCAGCAGACTGTGCTGCAATTACAAATGAAAACTCAATGAGTTAAAGTAAAATAAATGTTGTCTTGTATATTATGACTAATCTGATTTGATTACAGTAAAAATATGTGCAATGTATGATGCACAAACTACTCTGGAAAGAGTAGATAATGAAAATGTACTCACATCTGAAACATTCAACACTAAGTATATTATTCTGACAATTGCCCCATTGTGTTAAACCTCTGCGTTCCACCCACAGAAGAAGAAGAAGAAGAGTGGAGAGGAAGAAGGATCAAACTGTTGTGATCTTAGTTTCAGAAAACGTGGACTGTATTCTGGCGTGTTGCCTTTCACCAAAAGAACCGAGGCTAATTGGAAGCCCAGATTTGTCAGTTTTTCACAAATACTTTAAGAAAGTGACATATTATTCATTTCATGACTGGTGAAAATGCAAAGGAGCAAAGCCCTCGTCTGAATAGTGTCTGCGCTCTTTGCTCCTACATAACATGCTGGTTACACTTGGGCTTAATTTTATTCCGTTTACTGTTGAAAAGCTTCAATATTCAAAAATATAATTCTAATATCTTGGAAAGACTGAGACACGTCTCTACTTGTAATATTTTTTTCAAAGTGAAATGGTTAGAAAGTCCTCTTGCCTGTACACTGCTCTTATGGTCAGTCTCAGAGTTCTCCGCAGAATGATTGATCAGGCCCACTCAGTGAGCAGTGGAGTGAAGGTTAAGAGAACAGCGAGCTTAGCTCTCTGTCAAGACGGCATTGGCCAAGGGTTGGCTCTTAGCTGCGCCAAGGCTGCAGAGGAGCTGCTTTGCGGTCATCCATTTAACAGCCAGTGGAGCGCACAGCCGTTTGCAGTGAATACAAATACACCTGAACTCAGCGTGAGGCTTTCAGCGCACATCTGACAGAGCTGTGACCTCCAGCGAGCCAGGCAAAAAATACAACTCAACTTCAGGCTTTACGACACTCTCCTGCAGTGACCACGGAGCACGGCTCTAACTCAGAGACTGGAGGCTTTCACTCAGCACTTTACACTCAATCAAGCCCCTGTTTACAAACACTTCATTGTATGAAGAGTTTGAACCATGTTCATTTAAACTGTCTTTTCTCCACAGTATTGTAGCAAAAGCAGATCAGGTGAAGCGTGTAGTAGTGTGTTTCAGAGACAACAGTAGAGAACGGTTCACCTCTCACCTCCTGGCCCGTGTCCAGCACACAGAGCTTGGAGCACTGCTTCTTGGCATCCATCAGCACATTGAACATGGTGCACACCGACAACGCCACCCGCAAATCTGTCGACTTACTGGATTTCTGCATCTTAGAGTCAAACGCTGACTTTGTTCTGAAAAGAAGAAGCACATTCATGTAGGTTTTATTAAGAACACTTAGTGCTGCTGAAATCAGGGGTTTGAATACACAATAATGTATGTCTATCTGCTCCTGTTGGGAGGATACTTGACTTTAACGAGTTATATCTGTCTGTCAATCAAATACAGCAGGTGAACAAATGAATCTAAAGCATAGAAGTACATGCTTAGATTCCCACCCATACCTCAGGTGCAATGTTCTCACAATAGCTCACTTAGAACCATCAGTCTCACCTCTTCACACACGCCTCCATCATGTCACTGGCCATCAGCTTCAGCCTCTGCTCCAGATGTTTGGCAAACTCAGGCTCAGGCCAGTGCAGGTCCATCACAAACATCTGCAGAGCGTCCAGCTTCCAGAACAAGTCTTCAGAGGTGGCCGTCCCATTACTGTGAACGCACACACACACACACACACAGAAGCACACGCACGCACAAGCACGCACAAACACGCACACAAACACACAATTCATCAGTGGGATTTCAAAGGGTGCCGTCTTACCGTGAACTGTATACAGATGACAAACTATAGCTCAATGGAAGAACAACAGGGAAGTGCTCATGGACAAAGTCGCTCTGGCTCCTACTGACTATTTTTTGTCTTAAATAATCTGTGGTTTAGCGTTCTCTGTAATCCTGGTGATTACATTTTGATAATGTCTTTGTAAATCTAGATATCAGCCCAATGAGGATCAAGATGCCTTCATTTACAGAGGAAACTCCAGCTTGCCTTAGCAACCGTCTTAGTCACACGTCTGCCAGACAAAAGCCAACGCTGCAGAAGAAATGCCCCATATAAAGAAATGGGCTCCAGCTAGCTTATGTTCAAATCGACCTCCTCCACATTCGGCTAGCTCTCGGTCAGTCCACTCCTAATGTACGGTCTGTGGGTCTTACTCAGCTACATGTCCATATTTCAGATTTAGAAAGCTTTATTGATCCCAATCTAATTAATTTGCAGCAGAAAAATAAAATAAATAAAATAAGAAGTATATTTGCCTTTTTTTTTTAACATTTATTTCACCATTCAAAAAACACAATCCTTCTCTCAGCATCCATTGAGGCAGCAAAGAAACAAGGAATAATCACTCAACAATGAAAGATACTCAAATGTTTGAAAAGTGACCTTTTTAACCAGGAAAGTCCTACTGAGATTTCAGAATCTCTTTCAGGGGAGTCCAGGCCCCAGAGAGAGGGGAGCCATGGTACACGTTTTCTGGCTAAGAAGCGAGAGCGCAAACCTTTCCACCCCCCTGAATTATTTAAGATAAAATAAGATAAGAAATCCTTTATTCGTCCCATAGTGGGGAAATGTCAATGTTGCAGCGCACATACAGGACTGTAGTAAGAGCACACAGGGAGCACACATGTACAATATAAGTAGCTGCGATGTTTCTTAGCCAGCTGATAACAGTGATTAAAATGTAACTCATCAAAGAGCTACACTACACATAGAAAAAACCAAACATGAGAAAAGCAGGTTTAATAAAGATAAAACATGAAGGTTATTGATGCCTTTGGTATTGAAGCGGCTGAAATGCGTTCTGAAAAATGTTACAGCTGAAAGACTGGACCTAAAAATACTACTGCTTCCTCCATTCTATGATCGGGTCAACACTGACGACCTATCGCTCTCCTGACCACTTTAGTTTTTACTTCAATCCATGACAGTGACTCATGAGTACTACATCAGGGAATCACAGTGAACAGTTTCAATGATGACTAAAAAATATAATTGATTCTCGCATAAGTCATGGGCAGCGTAACTTTAACACATACAGTAGCTGATCATCCTCCAGCAGTGTTTTTCACTCAATACTTTTTTCAGTCTATCCAGGTTCAGTAGCAGAACACATTTATTGACAATGAGTCCCAACAGGGAAGCTAGTAGTCTGCTTTATTTTGCGCCATCAGCCGTTGGTTTTAGTTTTATACCACAACACAAAAACCGGCCTTATATTCAGGCCTATACGTGGACAAATGGACAGTCTTTTCAAATGTTCGTCCCACAGTGGGGAAATGTATAATACACTTGGACCTGAATGACTTTGAATTGCTCATCAAACCCATAGTCTTTACAAAAAATACATACATGCAAAATTTCTATGTTCTGTATGCCGCCGGGCATGGAAAAGTAGTGGCTTATAGTCCAGCAAGAATTATATATTGACCGGAAGTTCAAGCAACTTCAAAATGAAATTGTTTTATTATTATTTTATGTAAATATTTTGTGTTTTTATGTATCTTATCCTTGATGCTCTGTAAATTGTTATGTACATGTATGTTTGAATTTATTTGGGTGGGAGTATATACGTTTTCCTTCTTCTCACCGCTTTTTTGAATTGATATCGTAAATTTATTTATTGAACTAGAAATAACATTTTTCCTTCATTTTCATTCATCCATTTAAATTTATGTTTTGGACCACCCTCGAACATGAAATGACTGAAACTATACACAACATGTTCACAACGTACTGTTATAAGAACTACGATAATAAACATTTTACCTTTGTTATAAAAGTATAGACCAATACATAAAGACCTATAGGAGCATACAGATGGACATGTGTCAGACGGGTCTTCGGTTGAAAGGTGCAGCAACACATGGCTTTTCTCCTGCGCACCCACATCCAAGTGCACAGCTGCTCCGTTCGAGACCCGCACCCACCACACCGAGAGAGGAAGGGGGGGAGGGAGACTGGGGGAGACTGGGGGAGACTCACTTTTCTCACTCCGCCTTTAAAAGACTGTTACCTCACCAAATGGCCCGGGCACAGGACTGCGCGGCGGAGCTCTGGGCTGCGTCTGTCGGTGTTGCAATTAAACGCTCGTGCGGCTGTCCCCCTCTTGTCTAATTAGCGGTGCTCTTCTCTGTCCTGCTCCCGGGGGAAAAGGACAGTCCCACTCGCCCGTCTGTGCTCGCTAACAAAGTGCCAGATTTCTCCTCTCTCGGTTTTCTTGTCTTCTTTTCTTCGTTGGACGATAGAAGTGGAAGGAAAGTGAGGTACGTCAACAGCGTGTAGAGACAATACTGCTATAGAGAAGGAGCCTTTTGTGGGCCTCCTGAGACCCCCTTAAAGATGGCGGCCAATGCTGATAGATGCAGACACACTCTGTTGGATGGCACAGACTGTTTACAAGTCACTTAAATGCTCTAGCGTGACAACAGTGATTGGGGATGAGGTCGATTGCAGTAGCTTTGACTGTATGGACACCAAACGTTGCTCCTCAGACTGATAAACGGGCAAAATGTAACAAGCAAAGCAAACGACAACAAAAACGTCTATACACCAACATCATCCTATAACCACTAGTATAAAATGATAGTTACCTTTAATTTAAGATTAAGAGATCCGTTATTCATCCCACAGGGCGGAAATTTGATGTATCGTAATTGTTGGAGCTACTTTTTTCAAGTTCTTTAAACCTATGTATTATTTTGTGGTGTAAAAGGTGTAGGAAGAGATTTGGACACACCTCTCCCAGCTGTTCATGTTTATGTGAATAGCAGAGAGACACTTGATTGTTTTTTTAACTCATTTTCTTTCAGTCTATCCAGGTTTATTGGCTATAGGACGCGTATTTATTGACAAAATGGGTAAATGAGTCCCAACATGGAAGCTAAAAGTATTTACCTCCTCAGACATATTTACAAAGCTTTGATCCTCATGAGTCAACAGTGTGTTTAAACACCTTATCATTATATCAAGTCCTTGAGCCACAGCACAAAAACCTGCAATAAAAAAACGTCTTTTCAAGTGTGGCATACATATGGACAAAAGTAGCCGCTTGGTTCGGAACATTTTCTCTGCTCTACTCTAAAGTAAAATGCTAAATACTTCATTAGCATTTTTCAAAAAGTTAGCATTCCTCCAGTGGATTTTTGGCTGATCCACTTGATTCCTCACTGCTCCGGTCTGGACCAGTGCAAAACTATGCACACTGTACTGCAGCAACATCTCAGGTAGAAAAAAGCAATAAAAATAAAAATTGTAAAGCACAAAGCTAGAGCGTCTTAGGACCTGCTGCCATTTTCCAGATATAAGACATACAACTAAATTTAGAACCCTGATACTGTCGTTGTCCACACAGATTTTCTCTTGGTCAATTTCTGAATGCTTTGATGGCAGAAAAAAAATAATAATTCAAATATACTGAGATGGAAGTGCCAAGACTGCGGCATAGTCTGAGCATCGGCCTCAAAGTGAAAGCAGAAAAGCTTGGCATATTATAGAGAATGCATCCTTTTGAGCGGTGGATATAGAACCTAAAGATGAATTATATTTCAGACAACGGCATAGGCTTGCTTTTGATTATTCATGATATTAAATGACCCCAATGTGAAGGTGAAGATTAGGTAGAAGAATAGCGTTGTGGAAGAAAGGACTTTAAACTTACAAGATGTCAGGTAGATTGATTCCTTGCAAGCTGAAATAGAGAAAGCACAAGCAGAGCTTTCAAATACTGTAGAGAAAAAGGTTTAGATTGGGTGCACATATAATCTAAATGAATAAATATGCAAACATATGCGATAAATGATTTTGGCTGGTAACAAAATAATGAGGTTATAGATCATGCAGTACGCTAAGATACTTTAAATATAGGATCAAGCACATGCAAAGAGGACAAAAGTAGAGCATAAAGGCTGAGTGAGAGGTCTTCACATCAATTTAGCTTTAACATCTGCACATTATTAAAGAATTAGTTCCACCCAATAACTCCACTTTATAGAAACAACATGGCTGATTTTGAGCCTTTGGTGTCTGCAGGGATCTCACCTAAAACATTTCTGACCTGAGGACTAGTTCTTAGCCTGAAACCCTGGACTCCCTGGACCTGAGGACTAGTCTCCAGCCCGAGAAACCCTGGACCCCCTGGACCAGCGAACTAGCATGTCTTTGCTATCTGCATGTTGCTGACATTCAATGGATTAGCACCCAGGGAGAAAAAGTGACCAGTTCATCCCCAAACTTTTGAGCTCTCCAAAGTTTCTCCCAAAAAGGGTTGTAATTCATAGACAGGATTAATCTGGCCCAAGTCCTCTACTGTAAATTGATGGACAATTCTAACCCACTAATTACATAGAGAAGTGCTCATGGGTGAAGTTTTGCTGCAACACGCTCCGGCTCCTGTTGACTTACATTGAAATCTCCTCTAGCTCAGTAACCATTTGTGTAACACTCACCATTTTGGGGTTAAAAAAAATTATCCTGGTGTTTTTATTGGGATATGGGATCTATAAGGATTGACCAACCATATGCGCCAATACGCAGGAGACACTTCAGTTTGCCTTAACAACCGCCTTAGCAACATGTCTGGCCCTGTTACAGTGCAAAGCTAACCAGTCAGGAAAAAAGCCCATATGAGGAAACAAGCTCCAGCTATCTTATGTTAAAATCAGCTTCTTCGGCATTCAGCAAAAACTACAGTCAGTCCACTCCTAAAATATGGTCTATGGTCCAAGCAAAACCATTTCTCATTTTCAGAGCATTGAGAGTAGAAATGTGTTGACATTATGCATGGATGACAAATGGATTACCACACAATCTTTATAGCAATCTTTAGGAAGCCTGAGATTTCTCCTTGAGCAGCATTATCAACTACTAACAATTGTGAAGACCTCTTTGGTGAAGACCTCTTGCCCGGACCACCCTGCCATGCTGCGCAATACGTACGTGTTTTCACAGAGGGGTCCCATCCAGGCGGGGGCCGAGAAGCTGGGCATCTGTGGCAGGGTGAGGGGGAGGCTGGGGACTTTGGGCAGCGGTACGTTCGCTAAATTATTCGTCAATGACCTGCTCCGATTGTGGATTTAGTTAATAAAGGCAGTGTCAAATAAAAAGAAGAGAAGAAAAGAGAAATAGCATCAGACTGGTAGCATACTGTTTAATAGCAGCCACTTGTTCGCCCTAGAGAGAGAGAGGGAGAAAAACACACACACACACACGCACACGGATATAAAAGACAGAAAGTCACAGCTAGCATCTATTCAAGCTTTTCTCTTTCATTTGTGCGCCGTCTTGTTAAAGAGTGTGGCTCTCAGTGCATTGTGGGAGTTTGTCCTTGCGTCGCATTCGGTCTGGTTTTTGTCCAATGGCCGCCCCGTTCACACCGCTGCCTCGTCCCTCATTGTCCCTTTAGATTTGTGCTACGTTGATGAGTACACTTCAACCAGCATCGAAGGCAGAGCCAAACAGGGTGAATGCAGCCATATTTACAGAAAAGGAAAAAGAGAAAAAAAAATCACTGCGGTGGAAGTAATCGGCCAAATGGGAGCGATTTACGCAGTGGTTTGAAGTGTGTGTATTTCTATTGTATCAAAATAAAACCTAATGTTATCTTGCTAGAGTCAATTCATTCGGAGCCTTAAAGGGACTGTATGTAATATGCGTTGTGGTTTAATACAGTCCGTACAATCACAAGCGCACTAGTGTTGCCAGAATATTCCTGCCTGTGACATATGCATTGATGACTGATGGAATCCAACTGCTGGGGTTACAAACAGTACAAACTCTTTTTGCATATTAACGGCTTATTAACCCAGCGCGAGGTCTGTATGGGGAAATATCAGTCTGTACATACCTTAATGTACAGACCGAGCCGTGGCGAGGTCTGTGCAAAAAGGCCAAGGTCTGACATTTCTCCGTACAGACCGAGCAAGCAAGGTTAATAAATGTTTTATTATATGACTCTCGTCTGTGTCTTTACCAATGCTTTTGAGATATTTGTGAAGTATGTTCATGTCCAACTTGGTTTTGTGTGATACGCGCTGCGGACAGATTGTCATGGTAACGGTCCAAGGAAAGATATCAAATGTGATACGCGCTGTTCGGACCAATTGTCATGGTAACGGTCCGAGATGGGAAAATATCAGACCGGTAATCAGCCAATCAGAGCGCGCGTACGGTCCAAGTCACAAACTGTACAAACTCTGCTTTACATATACTGCTTATTTTCGTATCCGTCTCCAAACAAACGTGTAGAGCTATTTTATTTTATTTATTTTTTTACTCCAATGAAAATAAATAAAAAATGTCACCTAACAAACTGGCAACCCAAAAGGGAGACTCTTTCTGCTCTGATTGGATGAAAATTGTACCCATAAATATCACTCAACATAAGTAGCGGGCTAAAGTCACCGTTTGTTTTTTATGATGGAACAACCTCAACATCGTTAAAAGCTTAAAAATTGATAGTTACAGAACATCCATCCTGACGTTTGTTTCTAGTTGGAATTGAACGTGATCTCGAACCATGATCGCTTTACACACTGATTCTCTTTCAACAAACTCACTTTCAGGTAATATCCCTAATTACAAAGCAGGGGCCATCACATGTATTTTTTGTGTGCCGTTTTTCATTGTTCTCGCTATGGTCTCTCTCTGGCCTCTCTTTCTCTGGCCTCCCTTTCTCTGGCCTCCCTTTCTCTGGCCTCCCTTTCTCTGGCCTCCCTTTCTCTGGCCTCCCTTTCTCTGGCCTCCCTTTCTCTGGCCTCCCTTTCTCTGGCCTCTCTCTCTCTGGCCTCTCTCTCTGGCCTCTCTCTCTGGCCTCTCTCTCTGGCCTCTTTCTCTGGCCTCTTTCGCTCTGGCCTCTCTCTCTGGCCTCTCTCTCTGGCCTCTCTCTCTGGCCTCTCTCTCTGGCCTCTCTCTCTGGCCTCTCTCTCTGGCCTCTCTCTCTGGCCTCTCTCTCTGGCCTCTCTCTCTGGCCTCTCTCTCTGGCCTCTCTCTCTGGCCTCTCTCTCTGGCCTCTCTCTCTCTGGCCTCTCTCTGGCCTCTCTCTCTCTGGCCTCTCTCTCTCTGGCCTCTCTCTCTCTGGCCTCTCTCTCTCTGGCCTCTCTCTCTCTGGCCTCTCTCTTGTCTCTCTCTTGTCTCTCACTCTCAAAATGAAATTGGTGCATAAATAGACCAGTGAGAGCACAAATGCACAAATTAAATTTTCTTTTTAAAAAATTGAACAATGCGCTCAAACATCAAACACCCGAGAAGTACGGTGAGTAAACTAGATTCCGTAAATGCTAAAGTGAACGTGGTCAGCCGTTGTGGCGGTACTTACTTGACGGATTGCCACGTTTCCTGTTCGAAGCCGCGGTGGATGGACTGAGCGATAGAGGACTCCATGAGGTCGATGTACCGTACCACCAGAGGCATGAACAGGTCCTGCAGGTGTTTGTGGAACGTCCCGTTACACAAGTGAGCTGCGGACATAGGACAGGGAACAGGCTCAAGGACACGTCTAAATGTAATAGTGTATTTTTACAAAGTTCAGAGTCAGGATATATTTTTTTAATTTTCTCTCCACACACGGTGATGCCGGAAGTGAGACACCGACCACACTGGATGGCAAGAACATGCAAACTCCACAAAAGCCCTGTTCCAACCGGAATTCCAACCCAGGACCTTCTTGCTGAGATTCGAGAGTGCTAACCACTCAGCCACCCAATGTTTTTAAAGAAACAAGTGAGAGAGAGAGTGAGAGAGATGAGAGAAGTTAGTGAGTGAGAGAGATGAGAGAAGAGTGAGAGAGCGAGAGAAAGAAGTGAGTGAGAGATATGGGAGAAGTGAGTGAGTGAGTGAGAGAGATGAGAGATCAGAGAAGAGTAAGAGTGATGAGAGGAGTGAGTGAGAGATCAGAGAAGAGTAAGAGTGATGAGAGAAGTGAGTGAGAGATCAGAGAAGAGTAAGAGTGATGAGAGGAGTGAGTGAGTGAGAGAAAGAAGTGAATGAGAGAGATGAGAGAAGTGAGTGAGTGAGAGAAAGAAGTGAGTGAGAGAGATGAGAGAAGTGAGTGAGTGAGAGAAGAGTGAGAGAAGAGAGAAGTGAGTGAGAGAGAAGAGAGAAGGAAATGAGTGAGTGAGAAAAGAGATGAGAGGAGTGAGTGAGTGAGAGAAAGAAGTGAGTGAGAGATGAGAGAAGTGAGTGAGTGAGAGATGAGAGAAGTGAGTAAGTGAGTGAGTGAGAGATATGAGAGAAGTGCGTGAATGAGAGAGATAGAGAGAGGAGAGAAGTTAGTGAGTGCGAGAGATGAGAGAAGTGAGTGAGTGAGAGAGAGAGAGATGAGAGAAGTTAGTGAGTGAGAGAGATAGAGAGATGAGAGAAGTTAGTGAGTGAGAGAGATAGAGAGATGAGAGAAGTTAGTGAGTGAGAGAGATAGAGAGATGAAAGAAGTTAGTGAGTGAGAGAGAGAGATGAGAGAAGTTAGTGAGTGAGAGAGATAGAGAGATGAGAGAAGTTAGTGAGTGAGAGAGATAGAGAGATGAGAGAAGTTAGTGAGTGAGAGAGAGATGAGAAGTTAGTGAGTGAGAGAGATGAGAAGTTAGTGAGTGAGAGAGAGATGAGAGAAGTTAGTGAGTGAGAGAGAGAGAGATGAGAGAAGTGAGTGAATGAGAGAGATAGAGAGATGAGAGAAAGAAGTGAGTGCGAGAGATGAGAGAAGTTAGTGAGTGAGCGAGAGATGAGAGAAGTTAGTGAGTGAGAGAGAGATGAGAGAAGTTAGTGAGTGAGAGAGAGATGAGAGAAGTGAGTGAATGAGAGAGATAGAGAGATGAGAGAAAGAAGTGAGTGCGAGAGATGAGAGAAGTTAGGGAGTGAGAGAGAGAGAGAGATGAGAGAAGTGAGTGAATGAGAGAGATAGAGAGATGAGAGAAAGAAGTGAGTGCGAGAGATGAGAGAAGTTAGGGAGTGAGAGAGAGAGAGATGAGAGAAGTGAGTGAATGAGAGAGATAGAGAGATGAGAGAAAGAAGTGAGTGCGAGAGATGAGAGAAGTTAGGGAGTGAGAGAGAGAGAGATGAGAGAAGTGAGTGAATGAGTGAGTTTTTATACGCCTCTGCTTCAGTCCAACCATCTAATCACCAACAGCAGTAACAGCCGTAGCAGAGCCTCAGAGTGAGAGTAAGAGGTGCTGAGGACGCCCGACACTCGACACCTCCAGCTCCTTCTCCTCAGAGACGCTGTACTGTCGGCCCGTCTCCGTGGGCTTCATTAGTTTTAATTCCTCCGGCTCGGCTCGGCTCATGATTAACACTAGCCTTTTGGCCCTCCAGAGAGCCGGGGAGCCAGAGCGCCTCCCTCGCAACCGCTTGCCATCGCACGCAGACAATAAGTGAGCATTTCAACAAAGCCACGCAAAAACTATAATTCACTTTCTACTGCAAATGATTTTGTGTCCGCAGAGAGTCAAGAGAAGGCAGGACAAGACGACGTCAAAGTTTTGTGATCAAGCTGCAATGTCACTGAAGCTATGTTTTGTTGTTGGAAATTTAGGCTTGTACAAAAAAGACTGGTATTCTGAATCGAGTGCTTTGATATTGAGTGGAACTTATAGATTATGACAACTTAATGAAAGGATACTAACAAGTAAAAGCCCGGTCCATTTCTTAATATTTACTTTTGTATCCTGTAGAAATGATTCTTTTGTTTACTGTCTCCTTTATGAGCTGCTGATTGTGATTTCTGCACTGTAATATAAATGTACAAATATAACATTTATAAATATTTGAATTATAATAGAAATCTAATGTGTTTTACTGTGAATTGCGGAACCAATATAAGGGTCCTGCAAAATATATACAGTACATATACTCTTCTTACACATATAAAAATATAGAATTTCTAGAAAAAAAATTAAAACAGAAGATGGTCTTTTGTTTATCACAGAATTTAGGCTCTAAAATTACCCAGCAGCTGTATGTTTTAAGGCTGTAAAAACCTCTCACCACACGCTTTATACACTTTTTTAACCATCTGAATTCACGACTGCTGAAGGGCGATCACACCCAGAGATATCAAACCTGTTGGTTGTAGGTCTGAGTGCTGCTGCAGCTCTCAAAAGCCGTGCATACAATGAAAAATACAGCTACTAAGGACACCGCACTGAGGGGCAGGAGCAGGACTGAGGGCTACAGGAAGACCACCATAGTCCTCTGAACTAATCACATTGATGCAAACAAGCCACAAACGTTTTCTTCTGACTTTAACTGACACGTTTATACAATGTTGTACGTGAGTTTTCAGTGGAAATTGTTGAGTATTGTGTTGCTTGTGACTTATATTGTAACCTGCTGCTGCATGATGAACTGTGAGACTCACTGTGTGTTTGTGTAGAGTCTGTGTGTTCTGCTTTGAGATTCTACTGAAATTCATTGCCCTTTGGAATCAATAAAGTTTTTCTGAATTTCAATCTGATGCACACAAGGAACACACAATCACACACACAAAAATCTGCCAAACAGCGAAGGCCGCGAAGGTTCACCGTACATTTCTGCCTATCAAACCGTTTAACTTCCCTCATCGCAAATAAAAATAGTCGTTTTCAGAATCGTGCGTTGGTGATATCACATTACATCCGAAAGCCACATTGACGCCGTTTCTAATGAATAACCTCCTCAGAGCAGTCAAAGCGGCCATCCCGGTGTTTGGGCTCCGTGTATCGCCTCCTCTCGCTTCCATTCACATAGAGCAATGTTGTGACACGTAATTACGGCATTAGCAGAAGAGGGTAATTAGAAGAATATAAAAGATATGTCTGTCTGCCTGTCTGTTACTGTACTACGGCTCCCTTTGGCATCGCGCACGTTCAATAATGCCTCGCTCCTCGCCAAAAACGCTCCCACTGGCAGCGAGACAAAGAGTGGAGGAGAGAGGGAGGAGCGAGCCAAGAGAAACGTCCTCGCCGCGTCCAAAAGTGCGAGCAGGAGAACATTGCGCTATTGTGTAGGAAAAGGACAGCGCAAACTGTGTGGAGAGTAAGCACTTTTTGTTCCGTGCATAGATCTGGGCTAAAATGGCTCGTGTGTTTAGTTTTTTTTGGCTGTTAAACCTCCACTGGGTTTTTGGGAAACGCAGCCAAAGAGCCAGTTAAAGCTGTTGGCAGTGGGCTCGCTAGACAGAAGGGGGTGGGGAGAAAGTGAAGAGATAATTGTAGTTGCGGTATGGAAAAGCAACTGTTATGAGCGTTTAACATTGGACATTTCTCGGCAATTAAAATGTTAATGAAAATATGCTGCATTTGACAATGTTCGGAAAAGTCAAATCCAGGATAAATGTGAACGATTAATCTGTATGGATCAAATTTGTGGTTTTAAAGAAGTACAAAAGAAATGAAAGACTAGTGAATATAAAAGTTTGATTGGATGTTATTTTCTTACAAACTGAGCTACTTTTAGGAATCTCTGCATCTTCTACTTTCTTTGACAACTATCGCATTGCCACATACAGTACAAAGGTTTTTTTTATGCTTTTGTGCTTTTATTCGTGTTGGAGCGTGTGTACTCCAACAACATCATACAACCGCCTGTATAACATGACAGTTATTTTAATTTAAAGTCAGAAGAAAACTTTTGTGTCTTTTGTACATCTCAGTGATTAGTTCAGAGCCTTCATACGCACGGCTTTTGACAGCTGCAACAACCAACAGGTTTGATATCTCTGTAATTGCACTTCAGCAGTTAGAGGTTCCGGTGGCTAGAAAAGAAAAGTTCATTCTTAGACACCAAACTGGGCAGCCCCTTTGACTACCAAAATCAATTACAGAAACAAACACAAGAAAAACACTTCTTGGAAAACATTTGTGGGAAGCCAGGACGCTTTCTTTTCAGAAACTTTGGCGCCTTAAGGTTTCACATATAGAACAGTTGAATACATAGAATACAACCATCTTTAATCAAGAATTATCAACAAAGAAGCTCATTGACAACATTTGCACTTACAGTCAGTCAGAAGGTAGTTGTTGAGGAGCTGGAAGAGGGGGAAGCAGTCCCACGAGTCGACGGGCTGGCCCTGCAGAGCGGCGTCCATGTCCGCCGTGTACAGGGACAAAAAGGTCTCCGAGTGCTCCGCCATCGCCTCCGGCCACCACGAAAAGGCCTGACAATGGTGACAACGGAGAGGGACGAGAGATCAGGGGAGTGGAACTTACAATAACACATGACTCAGGCTGCGTCTTCATCCTTCCTTCTCCATTGCATTGACAGGACAAAAAGCTGCGTTCATGTAGGAGAATTCTATTCCAGTTAGTAGGAGAGAAGCAGCGTTTAATTTGATTTATTTTTGTATGGCCCTAATTGACGACAGCAGGAGAAATCAGAGAATGCAACAGTTTGAACACAGGAAATACAATAATGACACACACATAAGAGCCATTGGTCCATGAGAAAAATGTAAAATAAAGTATTTTTTTTTAAAAGTAATTACAATCGGTTGAATTCCATCCGACCAATCAGTGAGTGCGGGAGGCAGGTGTTGTAGTTAGATGTGGGTGACGTCAGGAGTTTGCGCCAAACGGACAAGTTGAGATTTGGCGATGCCGAAGATAGCGATAGTAAAGTATTCCGGTCTGGTCCTATCAAGAAATTGAAGCCGGAGCAAGAGGAATGTTTAGCAAATGTAATTGCTACAAAGATTGTGGCGCTACTCCCCATGGGCTCCGTTAGCGGCAAAGGAGATGGCGAGGCTAAATGTTAACAACTTACTTGAGCGCATTACATGTGTGACGGTAAACTATGATCCAATCGTTTCAATCTGCAAAAGGAGTTAACCCCTCCCACCTGTTAACGGAGCTCAATGGAGCACCTCCAGACCTTAGTACGAAATTTAATTTGTAATTTTTAATTTTTGCCCTGATAATTACAATAATAATACTTTATATATTATTATCCTGGGGTCTGAAAGTCTTTTCTACTGGCCAAAATCAATGTGTAATATGGCCACCGCTTCTAGACACAATAAGAGACCATAGATAATTGATATGGGCTGACTATGCTGACGTAGAAAGATTAATCTCAAGGGGCAATCCTTAATGAATAAATACAGTCTGACTTGTGGCAGTATCCATAGTTACCCATAATGGGTTTTTTTTCAGCTGCTCCTCACCACAGTTTTAAATTATGAGTTCTTTTAGAATGTTGAATGAACGTGACCCGTTGAAAAACAGAGTCTAAAAAAGTCGGTCAATTTTACCAAGGAAAAGAGAAGGAAAGATAAGTGCAATAGGTTTTTTCTAATGGAGAGCGTTAGTTACTTTGCAGAATTACTTGTCCATTATTGTAAAGAGCTTCCAGCCTCAGCCTCTCTCCAGCGGACACGCGTCCCGAGGTCAGGAGCTCAGGTGACCGGTGGTATTGACGGCTAAAGGAGCTTGATGAAAAGTACAACTGGCCTCGAATGCGCCGAGGTCGTGCAGGTGCTTGCGAGAGCTGAAGAGGCAGGAGTGACGCAGTGCCGGGTACCTGCGCCCCAACAGACGACCTATTGATGTTTAAAATGCGTCTTTTTTAGTTTCTCCGCTGAACAACCGGAACATGTGGTCTGCTCTGGACTGGACTCTGAAGTAGTATTGAAAAGTTTAGAAAATACTGGTCAGGCATAGCTTCAGTCCTGGATCTATGGCCTGTCTGTCTGGGGGAGCGGATCTCTCTCTCAATATTTCTCACTTTTTTATATTGTTTCCTTGCTTTTGCCAATGACATCGATGATCCGGGACATTTAAGGACATTTAATAACCTTTTGGGACATTATGCCGCTCCCTATGGACAAATGGCTTCTATGCGTTTGTTTCTATCGCACTTCCTGTGATTGAATTGTTTGATTCTCTGATCTGTTGTTGACGAATGGACAACTTTTTAAATTCCTCCAAGGCTACTACTTTTTCTGATTTAGGGCTGCACAAAAATAAATTGAATTGAAAATAAATTGAAATTTGTTCCGCTCTATCAGCAGTTAATGTTTATGTGAACAGCAGAAAGAGCACAATAACAATTACGGCAATACAAATATTTAGATAACCAACAATGAGCAACGGAACAACGCCATAAACACGATGCAACACTACATGCACAAACATCACACACTGCATATTGGACGTGACCACTCACCTCTCTTCCCTTTCCAAGTTTGAGATGAAAAAAAGGTAACGCAAAATTGCAAGAGCAGTTAATGGGTCACATTGTAGAAAAAGCACAACTGTCATTTTTACACCTCACTCGCTTCTATTTATGACCAATTTCCAGTGGGTTTAAATGCAGTTAAAAGGATAAGAGCTTAGAAATGGGTGGCATAGAACAGATCCCAGAAACAGTAAGAAGACGGGAGGACTGAAAATACTCCTAAATCTAAACTCTAAAACGGACTAAATTTCCTGGTCTTACTGGAGAATTACATTTTTCTCCGTTCCTTTTAGAGCAGTCCTATAAAACTCCAAATCCAGCCCGCAAGACCATTTTCAGTAGCCCCAAATGTGATTTTAATTTATTACTATTAACTTTAGTTACTTTTAGCAGCATTGATGGTAATGAGATCCCAAAGCACGTTATCCATTTTCTCTGGCAAACAACCACATTTATTTGAATCAAAATGTTAACCAAACACATCCTTAGTTAAGTAGTTACATTTAGAACAATATGTTTATCTTTATATTTGGTGCAATTTTGGTTAAATCCAACCAGATTTTACAGAAAAATCCAACAGAAAATAATAGTGAAACTCATTTCAAATAAAAGTCCAAATACCTTCATAATGTAACACACATACAGCATTTTAAGAAAAGAACATTTCTTTCAGCCTCTGACCAGTTCCTACTTTTGTTATTCGGCCTCTGACCAACATGAGTTTGACACCCGGCTAGAGACTACACTTTTCTTCCAAAGATTATTGCTGGTGATGACATTCAAGCAGTGCAGTGACAGCGCACGGCTAGGTTTTTTTAAATTTACTCTTAATTAATTCTTGGGTTGTCGAGCACCGTCCTCCATAGTAGTGCTACCGGCTCGATATAATTAGCTCGGGAGAAGCAGATGTTTGAGTGACACGGGAGGGGCTCTTTCCGACACCTTTGATTGATCAGTTTTGCTCCGTGAGACGAGCGCCGCATATGGCCCGTGGGCGGTGTTTACCCCTCGCACACACACGTCGCCGCGGAAACACGTGGTCACCGAGAAGCTGAACGAGGCACTTGGCAAACGGCGAACGAAGAGAGAGGATTTACAAAGACCCTTGCTTCTTGTTAAGACGTGACATTGAACAACTTTATAAAGCAGCGGTGCCCAAACCTTTTATTAAGAGATCCAATTTAGTTCATCAGAGTTGTCTGGGGGTTTCAAGCTGTTGTATGGCATGATGGTACGGTAAGACACATCCATATTTTGACAGTGCTGAAGTTGGCTGACTTACAAGTGTTTACCGAGCTACACTAATGCATCGGTTTTATATAGCGCTTTTCAGGACACTCAAGGACACTTCACATGTCATCATTCTTTCACTCCATACATTGTGGTGATAAACTGCTACTGTAGCCACAGCTGCCCTGGGGCACACTGACAGAAGCGAGTCAATCAGTATGTACCATCGGCCCTTCCCACCACCACCAACCATTCACGTACATACCAGACTCATACTTGGCAATGTGGGTGACGTGTTTTGTCTTAGGGAACACCAAAAGTTTGGCACTTTATAGCCGCAGCTGCTCCACTGTGGCACTTTCAAAATTGTTCCCAGAGGTCTGCCATCACAGTACCAACCAGGCCCAGCACTGCTTAGCTTCAGCAGTTCAATGAGATCTGGCTTTCACGCGTAGGTATGGCCACATCAGTGGTATCTACATAATTTTGTGTCTAAAAAAATAAAGTACATTTAAGGTAAGTTAACGGCTGAATAATAAAGGCTCAGAGCTTTACAACAAGGTACAAAATATATATTGGTAGAGCTGAAGTTGGCTGGATGATACTGTCAAAGTAATCCTGAGACCATTATAAAACAGTTGTGTTTGCAAGGCAGAGGGCACCACATAAAGTGACACCCTAATTGGCTCGCGGGCCTTAGTTTGGACATTAACAGTTAAAACAAGAGATTGCAGAGACGGATATTCCTTTCACCCTAAGATTTTTATGCCACTTTCAAAAATCTTTTCAATTTTTGATTTGCACTGGACAGTTTAGACCAGGTGACCATACCATCTGATGAGGCTATCAAGAATGGCGTTATAGAAACGGGTTATTATTCTCCAGCTCGCACCAAACAGTCCGAGAGTTGTGAGGAAGTGAAGCCTCAGAGACCGTTTTTAAAATGTTTTGTCTATTTGACATTTAGTACAGTGTGTGTGCCGTATGGATCATCAGAGGCGATTCTAGTACGAGAAGGTTTACTTTGGGGGAAATGAGGGCTTAGTCTTTGGTCCGGTCTTCTCTCCTGCCTGTGGCCCGGACAGATGGGGGCTATTTGGATACTTTGCTACACCAGAATAACTGAACAAACAAGTCGTGGGTCCCGAGTGAATCCCGCCTCGTCTGTTCGAGTCAGAGCAGCACAGTCCACACGTCTGTCAAACTTACAGCAGGAGAAACAACTCATGAAGAAAAGAAAGAGACTCAGTGTAGTATTTGGTGAGTTACAATTTAGAAATTCAGATTAAGATTTCTTGCCGTTGGAAGTAAAACCACATTGGAGTACATGGGGTGTAAAAAAACCCCAGGGTGCACCAGACACGTACGTAAATAGAACAAGTACAAAACTCATCCGTCACAGTGAAATCAATCAACAAAAACAGTTTAAAAGTGCTTCAGCTTGTGGATTCCTTCTGCCAGAGGGAAGAAGCTGGAACATGGCTTTTCCAAGAGTCCTGCAGTATTTTACTAGCTAGATTTAAGAGTCCAGATTAATACAGAGCCTACAGACAGGCAGCTCACTCCCTGGTCTCTCTCTCTCTCTGGTCTCTCTCTCTGGTCGCTCTGGTCTCTCGCTCTGGTCTCTCGCTCTGGTCTCTCGCTCTGGTCTCTCGCTCTGGTCTCTCGCTCTGGTCTCTCGCTCTGGTCTCTCGCTCTGCATAGGCTTGGACCGCTCTGGTCTCTCTCTCTGGTCTCTCTCTCTGGTCTCTCTCTCTGGTCTCTCTCTCTGGTCTCTCTCTGGTCTCTCTCTGGTCTCTCTCTCTGGTCTCTCTCTCTGGTCTCTCTCTCTGGTCTCTCTCTCTGGTCTCTCTATCTGGTCTCTCTCTCTGCTCTCTTGTAGTGAATTATCTAGGTTTCTGCAGAAAGAAGTGATGCTGACGAGCTTTCTTAACAACTCCATTAGTGTTTTTGTCACATTTCAGCTCATTAGACAAGAGTTAAAGCCAGCACTCCTTTAAGCAATTTTTTTTTTTAAATGACTAGTAAAGCTTGAGGGGAAGCAGGGCGTGAGTGATACCTCGGAGTGGTGCTCGTCGTTCTGCTGCAAGACTTCGATGCAGAGCTCTCCCAGTCTCATCATGTCCTCCAGCCTCTTCTCTGGAGGGGCCTCGGGGTCCACTGCAGGCACACACAGACATACTAAAGACTGTCAGTCCAAGCCTATGCATTTACCAAACTCACTGCAGCCATTGAGAATCTGCAAAATGTTTTTAACCCCATAACATAAAAAAAAAATCTTCTTTGATTTTGTAAGATGTAGGAGCACTAATAACCAATCAATGAGCACAGGCCATAGATTTGAATGGGCAGACATCTTTGAGACATATGTACAACCGCAAAATGTGTAAATTCCTCCAGTGTGAGATCAACTTAGTCTAACTTATCTTATCTTAACCCTACGTTTGCCGGAGACATTCGAGAATCGGGAGGCGGAAAAACCGTGGATATATTCTATGGACAACACAGACTACATATGTCTCGTTTGTTTCCATGGATACTGGATATGTTTGACTTATCTGTGTGTTTAGAATGACAGTAAAAGACCTTTCAACTGTGCATATTCAAGTAGCTGGTTGTAGTTGATCTGCGCGGCCCTCTCTAAACACATTTGGACGAGTTTCTTCATCTCCTCTGTTGGCACTGGAGTCGTGATGTCTTTCATCAGGACCTGGAACACAACCAACCACACACACACACACACACACACACACACACACACTCATGGATCTGGAAACACGGAACTGGCATTTTTGTCCTGGGTCGGCCCGAGTAGCCGCCTCTCATCAGGGCATTTTATCAGTATAACCTGCCTTCAACCATCATGATGAGACGACTACTGTTTAAGAGTATAGAACATTTCATGCAGAGTATGAACAAATGGGTCTTTAGTTTTCTCTTCAACACAGTGAACTACAATTAGAGTATTCCATTTACAAGGATTATAATGAGAGAAGGCTGATTCGTCTTTCAGTTTTACATGAGAAAGGCTTCATGAACGAGAGTAAGAATAATAAAGTAAAGACAGACGGGAGGCATCATCGCTGGCATTGTTTAAGTGAGTTGTTCTTTTTAGCTGTGTGTATGACTGAGTATACTATAGACTATTAATGCAGTCCATATATATTGTGCTTTATAAATAAACTTGATTGATTGATGGTCAATTTGTGCCTGAATGAGGAATCCTGGTGTGTTTATGCGAACACTCTGCTGTTCACATAAACACACCAGGAAGCATGAATGTGTGCTACGTTTTCAATTCTGGAGATCAACAGCTGTGTCCAAAGCGGTGTTCACCCCAGGGGGCGCTCTAACTAGATAAATACACATCCATTGGCTGCATCTCTATATATACCGCAGGGTCCAAAAAACTAGCATTTAAAAGTCCAGCAATTTCTGTAAGTTGAACATTTTTTTTTTTTTTAATATATCATTTTGGATACGCTTCTTTCAACAAACATTTGAAGTGAATAATCTTTACCCGCTCTTGTAGGGAGAGTGTTGCCTTCAGGGCCCCTTCTGGTCGTCCAAAAGGAAAGCAATACCTGCGGGTGAAGACGGAATCAGCACATGCTTTTTTCCAAGAGACTGTTTCAAGGACAGAACCCAAAGAAGAAAAAAGAGAAAGAAAATGCACCAAATGTAAAAGGGAAGTAGCTTTTGAATATTGAATGATGTGTTTAACAGATGGCTGCCTCCTCTCGTCTCATTACTGGGGAGGAAGATGCTTTTCTCACCTCGAGCGTTTTCGGTGTTGTTAATTGACAAGTGAACAGTACTTGATGAACAAAGGCAGAGGGTCAGACAGGTCGGACTCTTAATGGACACGCACCTACAGGCAGATGTTCTCCACTTTCACGCAAGGAATAAAGGTCGGTCATGCCCCTTTAGGCTCAATTTTTAAGGTCATAATTTGATGTGTCCAAGCTGCAAATGACTTTCCGATAGAATGTAAAGTCCAGCATTTGTCCAGTACTGAGACTGACGCAAAGAGGGAAAAGAAATGAATTTTAAAAAAGGGTGCAATCGCCTGCCTGGGTTTGAATAAAATATCATGCAGATTAGACAAGACAATAAACGAAAGCACTTGAAAAACATGTCTACTGTTTGCAGTGTAAAATTCAGGAACAGTGGTCGCTCGTTCCCTCAGGGTTAGGTTCTAAAAACAAACCAGCAAATAGCCAAACCGGCAAAGCTACATATTTTAAGTCTGTAAAACCCTCTAAATCTACTCTTTTCTAACCACTTGAAATCACGAGTGCAGGGATCCAAATCAGTCCATTGCAGGCCTGAGCGCTGCTGCAGCTGTCAAAAGCCGTGCATACGCTGTAAAGGACCGCGCTGAGAGGCAGGAGCAGGACGGGAAGACCGCTGTAGTCCTCTGAACTAATCACTGCGGTGCACACAAGCAGCAAAAGTTTTCTTATGACTATTTAAGCAAGTATCTGTATGAATAATTAACGGTAACTGTAACGTTATACTAGTGGTTATATGTTGTTGAAAAGGATGTTGGGAGTTTATGAGCGACACAGGAGAAGCAGGAGAACAGGAGAAAAATCGCACACACTAATGCTGCGAAACGTGAACCGCATTATAGACTCACAACATAAAAGTCATTTCTAAATTAAGACTATGACTGTATTCAACCATTGTTTCAGAAAAACCTTGAACCCAGGCATTGGCTCCGATACATCAGCTGACATTTACTAACCACTCCTGATCTCACTTGGGTTAGGGTATTATTGTTTTATTATCACAGCACCTGATATCAGTGTTGATAAATACATTTACAAATCTGATGTCCGGGTGTCTCAGATTTGCTTTACAAATTGCCATTAATAGTAAAGCGCTTAGTGACTCTGGTCTGTGAAAGGCGCTATATGACTAAGCAGACAAAAGCATTGAATCTAATACATTTGGTAACAGAATTAAACAGAACCTAGGTCGAAACCGGGGCAAAGTCAAGGACTGAACCAGGTCTAAAACCAGGGCTGAACCGTTGCACACGGTGATGTGGCAAAATAAATATATGCAGATAAAATATTTGCACTAACAGTCTTTGGGAAATTGTGTTTGTCTTCCATCCTTTTCTTTCTCTCATAACAAAAGCGGTCTATGGAAACAGACAATAGTCACTTTTTGGCTCTTTGCGGTAAACAATGTAGTCCCTGCCCTCCAAAATTGCCATCACCATAAACATAGCAATTATTTTATTAGCATGTCAACTCAACCGATCAATTCTACCAGTTTTTGTTTGTGAATCTAGCAAATTTCCGGTGACAAGAACCTATAATTACACTATCAGTACGCTCGACCGCACGCTGTACTTTTCATCCCATCTTGTTCTGCCATTTGACAGCAGTTCGTTTTCTAATCAGCCAGACAAACACGGATGAATGAAACGCAATTACCGGCACCATTTTACTGGATAACTGGCGGTTAAATAGTACAAGGTTATGCATGTTTAGAGTCTTTAAGCTAAAACCAACTGTGGAAAGCCTTCTCATTCTGTGCGCTGCATTTGCATAATCCAGACATTGAAGGCCCCTTGTTAGGGCGCATTAGCCTGTTGTGGAGTGCGTAATGACAGCAGCCGGTCCCCCCTCCTCCGCACACCCCCCCTCCCTCCGCTGTGGGGGGTTTGAACGGGTGGGGAGGAGGGGAACGGGGGCTTTTTGAGAAGAGTGTGGCTCCAAGGTCTCCGGGTGCGCGTCTTTCACACTGGCCTCACAATGCGTTCACGCCGCACGGACGGGCTTGAATGGAGGACGCTTCCCGCATAACTGCACCTGTTGCTGGGAAGGACTTCTCCAGACATACCCAAACACGGCACTTTTTATTATCACCAAAACTCGACTGTGATAACCAGTGCGGGGTGTCACTACAGTCTGTTGATTGCTATTGCTGCAATGATCTGAATAAGGAAGAAAACAACAATTATAGGATCAAAGAAGAGTCACATTTGACCATTTCTCTTCCATTTAGACACGAGCCGCAAACGAGATGTAATGCCATTGTCAGACACTTCCTTAGAAATTTTCAATGTAGAATGAATTTTTTTTTTTTTTTTTACAGACCTAATTCTCAACAGCAGTCATCTCGAAGGACTTCACAAAACTGTCGGCAACAACAGATCATATAAATCAGTTCAAATGCAATAATAACAAACACATATAGGACCAAAGTTACGTGATAAAACAATAGAAAGAGAAATCCACATTTAAAGGTTAGGGTTAAGGTTTGGTTAGTCTGTAATTACATGCATGGTTTCCCGACACGTGTGCACAGTTAGGGTTTCACTCAAACTGAGAAAAAAACTGTTTTTTACATTCCTAAACTTGTATTTTAAGAAGAACAAGAGGAGAGAAGCAGAGGAGACGAGAGGTGAGTGAGCTGCAGACAGTGACAGTGAAAGGCTCATGAGGGAAGAGGCCGGACCTGTTGCTTTTTTCTCAATGAGCGAAACTATCTATTTACTTTCACACAACTCAGGATTTTCCGATTAAAATGCAGGTATCAATAATCGAACATTGAGATTGCGGTCTTGTGATTTTTGCCCCAGCCCTTTAAGGTGGTGACAAATTCATGTTCATGATAATAATATAATAATATGACAATCTAATGGTAGCTCATGGCGGTGTTGGAGCCTGTTCTGGTCTGATGGTCCTCTGCATGGTTGGGCTGGGGCTGGGACTGGGACTGAGTTTGCTTATGTATATGGGATTGTTCACACTAAACGGCACAAAAGTGTGACAAAAGGCCAAAAATTTGATTTAAATAATCAGACGATATTTTATGTTTTTCATGTTTCCAAACACCTCCTCTGTCCATTAGAAGTTGCTAGAACATAACTGTTTTATACATTAGACAAGTTTCCTATAGCGGCCCTGTTTATTTTATGTAACGGACGTGATGATTTGACGGAATGAGCTTTATGGAAGTTTGATAGGTATTTTCAGATGTCCACATTTGATTCAGAGATTCTATTTTTTTACACAAAGTAGATGCAAAGTGATACTTTCATATTGTCAACCAATTAAATGTGAAAACAGACCAGATTTTTTTTTTTTCTCAAGTTTAATTTTTAGAGAAATCACGTCCGTTATACATTTTTCAGGGGTTATTTAATTAATAAATTATTATTTTTATATCAAGTGATTCCCTTCTGTTGTGTTAACCATGTAAATCTTGTGGGATTTCATCTTCTGCTTTTTCAGACTGAGGACATTTTATTTTCTATGTAACTGGCGTCACAGTAGAATGGTCCAATCAGAGGCTGATTTGGTCGTTTAAAATGTTGCTAAACATTTTTATGTCAATCTTTCCTTTTGATTTTTTCAATCTGTCTGTGTTTGAAATCTTTTTTCCAATCTATGAAACTAATTTTAGTTTTTAAGTTATAACCTTTAAAGTCCAGATACTTGTCACTTTACTGTGAACACACTCATATGCATGTATACCTATGCAGGTGTGTGTGTGTATAGTACATGGAATATGATGAATGTATGAATGCAACTATCACTGCTGGAATGAATGAATAAATGACATACAAAAGAGCCGTTGGTGGGTGGTTTACCTGAAGTGTGTGATCTGGTCCTCCAGTAGAACCATCAGGCGGCTCCTCACGGCCTCAAACTGCTCCTTCTCCTCCACGGTCACTGTCCCCATGCCGTCTGGTCTGAGCACAACACACGAGAAATAGCCACTTTAGCTGAATACGTAAGTAGTAGGTAATCTTTATTTATATTATAGCGCCTTCCACAGACAGAGTCACAAAGCGCTGAGGTGAGGCCTGGGTAGTAGTCCTCTCACGCCACACTGTGATGGGACCGGTTTCATCTCCAGTCAGCTCTTGGTCTTCGGTCTAGGCTCCAGCTAAGTCGGCCTGCTCCCTGCGTCCACCGCCTTCTCAACTCTGCTTTGGGGATTTGGGTACTCTTTGGTTAACATGTTTTTTTATTTGGAGCGACTGGATAAATTACACAAACAATGGTGACCTTTGAACATTTACCTTCACCATGTTTTTGAATTGTTGTTATAGGTTTTAGAGTTTGAATTATAAATGTCCATGAGGCTGGAGAACTATTCATGTCAATGCGCCCTCTTGAAATACAGTGGTTGATAAGGGACAAAAAAAGAGTTTGAGCGGGAGTTTGGGACCACTGTCAAAGACCACATATTGTCCTGCAAAGCGACCGTAGTACCGTAAATCACAAAATATGATCTCAATGCTAGATGGGAGTAAAAACTGCACAGAGTACCTTTAAAAACTTTCTCCCAAACCACAACACTGCTACTGGATTGATCCAACAGCACGAATGTTTTGGGCCTAAACACGACACCAGAAGCCAAGGGAAATCAATTTTTATGTGAACTCGATGCTTGGGATGAACTCAATGGAAGCCAAATCAACAAGAAACCACATGATATTCCAACAAAATAACACGAAATAACAAGAAACGGTTTGGATTGACACAAACACTGTATATGCTGGCTCTACAATCTCTCCAGTTGTGTGTCATATCACATAACTTCCACAAAAGCACTACTTCACACGTCGAGAAAAGTGATTTCTGGGACAAAACAGAGAAGAAAGATGAGTGGGACAAAGTACTGCTATTCAGAAGGGACCACGGATAAACAACAATTTTGTAGAGAAGACAACATTACAGCTACAATATGAAACTATTGACAATTTCAAACATCACTGAGGTCTCTAACCAACTTACAAAACGTCGCATCTTCTGGTTTAAAAGCCTTTGTGGCTATCGTTTCAATTCTTGTTTCCAGCCAACTACCAGGCAAGCAACCAAACCCTTCAGAATGACCCCGGGAGTCAACCAATCTAACTCGATCGGCTCGACTTTATCAGCAACGGAAAATTGCGCTTCGTTAATGCCTGCCAAGTATTCATTGCCTTCGCTTGAATAGGCACTCTGGCAAAAAAGGGGAAAACATGCAATCAGAAGCCAGCGTGCCCAGCCTTGACTCCTCGGCAGACTTGAAAGAGAAATCGCAGCCTCTCGAAACGGCGCTCGCGGAGGTGCAGAGCTCTTTTGTTAATGAGATGTACGGAGAAATGTTTTTTTTTTTTTTTTTACTGGTCAGATTGTGACTGCCGAGCTTTTGAGCGGCAAAAAAAAACGCTCGTCAAGGTGGTCTGGTGAAGTCTCCCCTGAGTCGACGAGTGCGAACGCGGGCGGGAAAATGCTGAAAGAGAATATATTGTGAGAAGGGATTGGGTTATATAGGAGGCTACAGGTGGCGGCGCGCTGAAAGGGAAGGCGGTAAAGACTTATTTACATGGAGTGCGAGCGTGCGCTAGTCATGGCTCCAAGCAGAGGTCAGCTTTACGTCGTTGGTAGTTTGGCCTTTGGAGCGTGTGCCGGTATTCACGATGGAGGTGGTGCAGGACAAGTAGAGGCCCTGAAAAGATGGAAGTCTATAAAGCGGGAAAATAGCACACAGGTTTTTATTTGTTTTTTTTCTATGTGTAGCATTAGTTTTTATAGCTTTACTATGCGCAATACTTACAGTTACACAAAAGTGTTGAATGGGCTTCACACACACACTCACACAGAGACACGGACACACACACACACATACACAAACTCACACAGAGACACGGACACACACAAACATACACAGACACTCACATACATATAACAGATACAGACATACACACACACACACAAAAAGACACACATCCACATAGAGCCACGCACACACACATACACAAAGACACACTCACACATACATACACAGACACTCACATACATATAACAGATATAGACACACACACTCGCATACAAAAAGACACACGCACACACACATACACAGAGACACACGGAGACACACATACACACAACCCCACACACACACATACACAAAGAAACACTCTCACACAGAGACACGCACACACACATACACAGAGACACACGGAGACACACAACCCCACACACACGAATACACAAAGAAACACTCACACAGAGACACGCACACACACAAACATACACAGGCACTCACAGGCATAACAGATACAGACACACACACACACACAAAAAGACAAACATGCACAGAGACACACATATACACAGAGACACAGAGACACTCACACACACACACACACACACACACAGACACACAAACAAGCACATACAAAAAGACACACATAGAGACACGCACACACATATACACAGAGACACTCACACACACACACACACACACACACACACACACACAATTAAGTACAATTCTTTGCATCCAGGGCCCGGTTGGCACAGGGCCGTTCTGTGTGGGGTTTGCATGTTATCCCCATGTCTGCACAGGTTTCCTCTGGGTGCTGCAGTTTCTCCCTAACACTAAAAGCATGTACAATAGTTCAGGATGAATGATTGCGTCTACAAATCAGTTCTACATTAAAACGTACTGTCCAATCCAAATAAACACAAAAATAAATGAACAGAATTATAGATGTATAGATAAATATGATACACCTGCAACTGAACAAATCACTAATAATTTCAAACAACTGTAATTTACTTTTGTGTAAAAAGTAAATACGTTTGTTTTTTTGTCAAGGCCAATGGATCCATTATAAAAAACCTCTTGGCATAACTTAACAGAATTTTTACATTTTACAAACGATTTGCCTGAAACCAGGACACTTATGGATAACAGTTTACTCACACATAATATCCACGCAATCTTACCAAATGTGATTGGAATTAATGTTGAAAAAACAATAGAAAATAATTAAGAATATAATTGTTTCTTGTTTTGTTGTTATTTTTGTGTTTTTTGTCTTTATATAGCTTTTAGTTAATGTCTGTATTTTGTCATCTGCTTTCCCTTTGCTTTTCTCTGTTGGGAACTGTCAGTATTTATGTTGACTGTGAGTAATAAAAATATAAAAATAATAAAAAAAGAACATTTTATTGGGAAATAATGTTGTTGAGATCCCAGCTCCGTGGCCGGATCGGTCTGACCACCCATGTCTCCACCCCGTGTTAGCACCGTTTCTAATCCCTTCCTCAAAAGTCTCCGCCCACAACATCTTGTTCAGTTAATCCAGAGGAGCAGAGAGCTGATTGGAAGGGAGGGGCCCACCGGGAGAGGCCTTGTCCCGCTCAAGGGCCTCACAGCAGGGGCCCATGAATAATGAACTCGTTAAAGACAGATCAGTGCATTGAACAGCCCGCTCCGTGTTCAATATGGCATTTATGTAAAAAATGAAAATGTAAAGTTCAGTTTAAATACGAGTGTGATTTTGGGATTTTACAATGAGTTTTACAGATGAAAAGGAAAATGTGAGTGTATCAATAAACACTTTTAAAATCTGTACCAACTCATGTGGACCACCCTGGTGCTCTCCAGGATAAGGCCGATGTTGAAGTGTAAAAGGACGTGGCAGTCACTGAGGATCAAAGGTACTCCCAGTAATGAAGTCATATTATGCATCAGATGCATAAATGATCAGTTTTTTCCTTTTTTTTTTTTTTGACACTCAAAGAGCCTTCACATGGCCACAGCTGCCCTGGGGCAACCACTATGTGCCATCGGTCCCTCCGCTCACCACCAGACTCTTGCTAGGCTGTGTGGGTGAAGTGTCTTGCTTGAAGACAGTTTGGCCGTTTACCACCACAACTGCCCCACTGTGGCACCTGCTGTTCTCAGAGGTCTCCCATCACAGTAAAAACCAGGCCCTGCCTTGCTCAGCTTCAGAGATCTGACAGGTTTCACATGCAGAAATAATTGTCCTTTATTACATTATGGTCGTCTTCATCAGGACCAATGTAACCTATTGACCATGCTCTAATAAAGGATTTTTAAGAATTTTCTTTTGACTTAAAAAAATAGATTAATAATTTTGAAATGATACTATTTCTCAAGGTAAACTGCTTTTCCTCTTAAGCAGTGGGGTCAGAGGCCTTTTTATAAATCACTTAATGCCATTTATATAGTTTTAAACTTTGAAATAGAATTGCCATTGGGGGCATGGGAAACGTCTCCGATGATAAAGAGGCCCTGGTGCTGAGGTCTCTAGGATCTATTCAAATTATTTCTTCAGTCCAAGCACCTTAAGGGCAAGGATTAAAACTAGATAGAGAAAACTCATAACTGATCATAAATCGAATTATGTTATGAAGCTAGTTCCTTGCTCTCAAAACCAAAGATCTCAGCCTAAAGATCAAATAGCGACACACAGGGCTCTTATGCAAAATATGTTGTTTAATAAGATGAAGGCCTTTTGGTCTGATTTGTTCACAAAATGTTACTCTTTCTGTTAGGACAAACCAAACATATATAGTTAGAATAATAGAATAATACATATTAGAAAGAAATGTGACAGAGGCTTCTTCCCTGACAATGTTAAAATCGGTTCTGTTCATCTGTGCAGACAAAGAGACTTCTTCACTATTTTTTAATGTACTGTGATTATTCATGATTTTAAAGCCTTGTATTGTTTCTATCTTGCTTAGTTAGGCATTTTGAGTCACCTTGTGTATGAACTGTGCTAAACAAATAATCTTGCCTTGGCTAAAAGTTAGCTAGGTTCCAGCTTTAACACACTACAGAACTATTTGATTATTAACATTATTTTTCCCATAAGAAAATCATGTTATCAATATTTCTTCAATGTTGTTCAGTGACTGTTGCCGTAAACTGGGGTGAAATTGTATCTATTTTTGAGCAACCGCAAAAGTAAGAATCTGGCCTCCCCAGTGGACCCACGTCACGGGCACCTGTGTCTGCTCCGAGCTGCGGCTAGCTCTCCGTGCTGCGGTTAGCTCTCTCCGGTGGGAGCGCGGGCGGCGGAGAGGCGTCAGCTTGTCATGGTGCAGACACATTGTTGCTGCTAAACGAAGCGAACGTGCTGGAGCCCTGTCAGTGAGGGAGGAGGGGTGTGTTTGTGTGTGTGTGTCTGTGTGTGTGTACTCGCCCTGGATCAAGTGTAAACGATAAGTTAGGGGGCCGCCTGTAGCCTGTAGCGCTCCGGGAGACGACAGCGCGATGTGGCAGGGCACCAGGTTGGGATGACACACACGGTTAAGATACGGACCGGTCAAAGGGGGGGTTGGGGCACAGGTTCATCTCACCACACGACATCTCAAACGCTCTGATGTGACGCAAACTATTACCCTGGTGTGAGGATTTAATCATATACACACCATAGACGGTATATAGATGGACAATGCTAACACACTAGCGCAATGACACGTCTGTCTTTTGCACTATCTGAGTTATTCTATTTGTGCCAAATGTGACATGTAAATTTCTCTATTGTGGGATCAATAAAGTTTATCTTGTTTTATCTTTTACGGTTTGACCAATGCTGTGCTTTTGCCTCTGATGTACTTTATAAGAGGGAACAATTTACACACAGAGAAAGAACAACTCCAAAGTCAGCTTACATTTTCCATGAGGGTTTAGATCAGGCATATCAAAGTCAAATACATCAGAGGGCCAAAAAAACAAATTTGCTGCGAGCCGAGGGCCGGACTGGTTCAATGTTCAATGTTTATTAACTCATTGCCTGCCAGCCTATTTCAGAACAGGTACTCCCATATTGCCAGCAGTTTCTGATGGTTTTTATAGATTTTTCAAGACCCGCAGAATATTGTGTACTATGACTATCTGAAATCCGAAACCAGATTCTGAAAGTGACTGTCTACTTTCATCAGCAAAAATAATTTTGTTTCTAGCTTGTAATCCCCAGTTGAGTAGAGGGAAGTTTTACTGAAATCACCAAAAAGTTGAGAAAAAAGAGGCACAACAAGTGCATCTAGCTGTTTTCAAACCATTCAGAGAGCGCTGCTGCCACCTGCTGGCTCGATTCAATATGCTCTCAATATTATCCCCAAACATATTAGATATAATAGACATCTGGGAACATGAAAATAGTGGAAAACGCAATTGACGTAAGAGTGCGGCAACGGGCCATGTAAAATTCATTCGCGGGCCGGATTTGGCCCGCGGGCCTTGATTTTGACACATGTGGTTTAGATGGTGTCTGCAGAAAGCCGACCAACAGTTGACCAGTTACCCTTTAGCAGCGTTGGCAAAAGTTAATTTTATTTTGGAACCTGTTATGAAGTAAAAAGCTTACTTTTGTTAAACTATGCTTGTGAGTCTGTGTCTGTGCAGGAAGCTCATTTGAGATTTGCATAACTTGGTAACATGTATAGATGCATACATTCTGCTATACATTTCTTGCACTAGAATATACATGCTAAATTAAGAGATTTTATTCGTACATCTTCAATATGCTAAAGATGGGGATTTTAGACTTATTTCAATATTACACTAAAGCTAGAGATTTGATACCTGCTTTTTTGTTTTGCTAATGTTAAGAGATTTGATTTTAGTATAGAGTCATTGTTCACTAATTTTTTGTTATACACTCCTAATGTCCTGGTAATGCAACACTGACATTTCACCACAGTGGGACGAATAAAGGATCTCTTAATATTTGGCTTAATTTCGTAAACAAATGTGATTTTGCTGCATTTTCTCAATTCTCTCAAAATGGTGGCCTGACGCTAGGTGTGAGATGTAAAACAATAGTGCAAAATCCCGCCATAAGGTTATATGCTAACTGTGATAGGAAATACCTGTCCTATGACGTCTTAATACAGACTTGTAAATAGTGGTCCAGATCAGAACAATGATCGCAGGTAGTTGAGAGTCTGTGATCCATGCTCAGGAGGCCTCGGGTGTCAGCGCAGGAGGGGGAGGTAAAAGCTGCTGTCACATCCAGTCTCTCTGTGAGCCGGACGGGAGCAGAGCCGAGCGATGAGGCCTGACAGCTAATGCTCCTTTAACCTCACTATTCAAAACACACAGACTCACACCTGTCACAGGAGTCAGCACAAGAGCCTCAGAGCGGAGGGCGGAGGAACACACAGGGTATCAGTCCGGGAACCTCAGAGTAGGGGCCTCAGAGTAGGGGCCTCAGACCAAGGCCCTCAGAGCTGAGTAGAGCAAAGGACAGAGAAGGGCTGGGCAATAAAACAAACACAATATATATCGCGAAAGACACGTGTTCGACATCAATAGAAAACAGGGTTGATAGAATGTTCGATAGTTCAACTTCACTCCGCTAGAAAAACCAGGAAGAAAACACAGGAAGTAAAGCCGAGTCAGAGTGGCGCAGCATTCTGGGGGATGTAGGCAGAGGCTTCTCGACCTATCACAGCCAAGCATGAACCGCAAAACATTCTGTGAAATGCAAAAACAACAACCGCACTGTGCGTAGCGTCCATAGGTCTATAGATTGTTTTTCAATGCCGTGTCAATGGTTATGCACGTCCGTGAGCGGAATAACATGTGTTAGAGGCCGTGGACACAAAGACCCGATGAACTTTTTCCTCGGGAGGGACGTGCGGCTATCAGAGAGCTGCACGGAGCCGTCACGGGGACACGAGACACTCGAAAACAGCCAAAACAGGAGCTAAACCAGGACTAAACCAGGACTAACAATGAGGGAGACTTGTTTAAAAAAAAAAAACAACAACCAATATATATCGTTATTGACCGATATGAATTAATTATATTGTGATATCGTTTTCAGCCATATCGCCCAGCCCTAGGACTGAGGAACACTTTTTATTTTAAGTTTTTCCTTGCCGATGCAGTAGGGTCTAAGGACAGTGGTGATCCAGGACACTCAGCACTTCCTCAACATTAAAGGATATTCAACAACATTTAGAAGACATTGGTCATTCTGGCTTCATGTGTTTTTTATTTATTATCATTGCATTTCTTGTGTTTGAACTGTTTGATTCTCTGATCTGTGTTGGCGAATTAAACAGTGTTTTAAAGTCCTCCGAGAAAACTACTGTTGTGATTTACTGCTATACGTAAAAGTATAAATTGAATGGAATTGGATGTGCGCTCCCGTGATGTGGAGTACCTGTTGCCGTGCACGTGGGAGGCACAGAAGGCGTAGCTGTAGTGCAGGAGCGTGGGGTCCACCAGGGAGCTGTTCTCGGAGTACTCCATCAGGTCCTGGAGGTAACTGAGGTGTCTGTGGCAGCCTCTCACCCCGTAGCGAGCGCAGTACTCATCCAGAACGAACACCTGGCCAGGACTGAACCAGCCCTGGGCGCACAAACACACACGAACACACACACATATACACACGCTTGTTAGTGCCTATATGCCGAAAGTACTTTTTTCCCCGTTGTTTATAACACAAAATACATGTCAAAATGTTATCAGATATGAATGTGAGTAAGTACATCCATTCGCTCACTCATTACATTCAGACTCAGGAAGGCAAGGCAAGGCAAGGCAAGTTTATTTATATAGCACAATTCATACACAAGGCAATTCAAAGTGCTGAACAAAACAAGAAAGCATTAAAATCATAAATTATCACAGAACATTAAAAAGAAAGATAAAAATATAAAATCCCTCAGTTGTATGCACAGTTAAACAGAACCGTCTTTAACCTGGTTTTAAACATTGTCAGAGAGGAGGCCTGTCTCAAGCGGGAACCGGAGCACTTGGAGGAAACCGATGCACACACGAGGAGAACCTTCAAACTCCACATGGAAAGGTTCCGTCTGGAGGCAGAATGGAACTTTCGTCTTCGACAATAAACAGATTCTTGTGACAAATTTACAAAAGTGGTTACAAAACTTGAGAGACCATGACCCTTAAAACCCAAAAAAACTCTGAGCCCAAATATTGCTTTGCGTAATTATTGATATGATTCATGACCGTCCAACTTTTATTTTTGTGGCTAATTTCACCAAATACCTTTTCTATATTTTGTCGTAGAAAGATACACTTTATTGGCCCTTCAAGTAAAATGAGTCAGCGGTTGGTCAAAACATCCACTTCAGGGAATTACATATGGTGCATGGTGTGGGGTAGGGGAAACCGGAGCACCTGGAGGAAAAACTACCAAGGATAGGAAGAAACTCATTTAAAGGCCTTCTCGCTGTGAGCCACTGCGCCCCAATTCATACAGATAAGTAGAAAATACTATATATTTTTAAGTTTATCATTATTTTCAAGATAGAGATTTCATACTTGTTATTTGATGCTAGAGTTAGAGATTTAGTTTTTTTATTAGTATAGCTATTGTTCACTTATCTTGTGCTGTGTGCTCTTCTTTCTTACTGTTCTATAACTTGATGAAACACTGAAATTTCCCCACCGTGGGACAAATAAAGAATCAAGACAAATAAGACCAGAGAGTTTGGTTCAAAAAGTGGAGAGGGCGGTTCTTTCCTAAAATGTGGTAAGAATCCTCCTATATACCTATAGCTTAAGCCTTAGGACCGCATCTGGGACCAGTGGTTGTACAGTGGTCCTAAACTATAATGGGAATAATCTTTTTTAGTGGTAGATTTTTTTGCACGCATATATATATATATTTTTTTTACAGTGGACTTCTCTCATGTGCTGCTTGTATGCTCCAACAACATCAGTGTATGCACAGCTTTTGACAGCTGCGCTCAGACCTACAACCAACAAGTTTGATATCTCCACAATCGCATTCCCGCAGAAGTGAGTTCAGGTGGTTATAAAAGTGTCTATAGTTGCTTCTTTGCAGAGGTTATTTATTAAAAACGTAACCCCTGCGATAAACGAGAGGCCGCTGTGTTAAATTTAAAACTTCCAAAATCTTGTATCATCATTAACAACCCTTGAAGTCCAACTACATAATTCTGGACCGTAACATTGTTTTAATAAAGGCGACTTTGGTTTACTTTCCCAATCTAAAATTAAAAAAAAAAAAAACACTAATAACAACAGCAAAGGATGTCCAGAAGCCAACTGGTTCAAGGATCATCGTGTTAAAACTCAGGCCACACAAAAACTACGAAATAACATCGCAGATAAACACTCGCATCTGCCGAACTTCCACTCCAACCAAACGCGGTGTTACCTTCTCACAATTATCTGGGGGTCTAAAGAGGTCAACTATTCTCAAGCAGCTGGGAGAGACACGGCGCAAAATGTAAAGGTGTGGAGCTGGCATCATTAGCTCACTCGTCCTGTGTGTAATCACCAAATTAGGCGTGAAACTTGCCACGCTAATTAAGATTCCTGGTGGAACGCACATTAGCAAATTAGCACCTCCGCACAGAGCCGCTGACACACGAGAGGTGGCTTTACCTTCGGAGGCGCAGGGATCATGGAGACGAGAAGGAGGGAAGTTCTGTGCGAGAAGCAACTTTTGAACAAAACGAGTGGGCTGGGCCGTGAAGCGCTTTGTCGGAGTCCTTTGTAGGTGCTAAATGGAAAAGTCAAAGCTGGAATTGAAGGTTGAGACAAGACAAATCAATCACTCACATTTTATTTATAAAGCGCTTTTCATACAAATAAATGCATACAAAGTGCTTTACTTTATTTAGTCTGATTTGCCCATGACCCCTCCACCCAACCACTCAGCAGACCCACCCCAAACCACATACAGTGCCTTGCGAAAGAATTCGGCCCCCTTGAACCTTTCACCATTTAGCCACATTTCAGGCTTCAAACATTAAGATATAAAAATTAAATTTTTTGTCAAGAATCAACAACAAGTGGGACACAATCGTGAAGTGGAACTACATTTATTGGATAATTGAAACTTTTTTAACAAATAAAAAACTGAAAAGTGGGCGTGCAATATTATTCGGCCCCCTTGCGCTAATACTTTGTAGCGCCACCTTTTGCTGAAATTACAGCTGCAAGTCGCTTGGGGTATGTCTCTATCAGTTTTGCAAATCGAGAGACTGGAATTCTGGCCCATTCTTCCTTGTAAAACAGCTCAAGCTCAGTGAGGTTGGATAGAGAGCGTTTGTGAACAGCAGTCTTCAGCTCTTTCCACAGATTCTCGATTGGATTCAAGTCTGGACTTTGACTTGGCCATTCTAACACCTGGATACGTCTATTTGTGAACCATTCCATTGTAGATTTGGCGTTATGTTTTGGATCATTGTCCTGTTGGAAGATAAATCTCCGTCCCAGTCTCAGGTCTTTTGCAGACTCCAACAGGTTTTCTTCCAGAATGGTCCTGTATTTGGCTCCATCCATCTTCCCATCAATTATAGCCATCTTCCCTGTCCCTGCTGAAGAAAAGCAGGCCCAAAGCATGATGCTGCCACCACCATGTTTGACAGTGGGTATGGTGTGTTCAGGGTGATGAGCTGTGTTGCTTTTACGCCAAACATATCGTTTTGCATTGTGGCCAAAAAGTTCGATTTTGGTTTCATCTGACCAGAGCACCTTCTTCCACATGTTTGGTGTGTCTCCCAGGTGGCTTGTGGCAAACTTTAAACGAGACTTTTTATGGATATCTTTGAGAAATGGCTTTTTTCTTGCCACTCTTCCATAAAGGCCAGATTTGTGCAGTGCACGACTGATTGTTGTCCTATGGACAGACTCTCCCACCTCAGCTGTAGTTATCTGCAGTTCATCCAGAGTGATCATGGGCCTCTTGGCTGCATCTCTGATCAGTCTTCTCCTTGTTTGAGATGAAAGTTTGGAGGGACGGCCGGGTCTTGGTAGATTTGCAGTGGTCTGATACTCCTTCCATTTCAATATAATTGCTTGCACAGTGCTCCTTGAGATGTTTAAAGCTTGGAAAATCTTTTTGTATCCAAATCCGGCTTTAAACTTCTCCACAACAGTATCTCGGACCTGCCTGGTGTGTTCCTTTGTCTTCATGGTTCTCTCTGCGCTTTAAACAGAACCCTGAGACTATCAAAGAGCAGGTGCATTTATACGGAGACTTGATTACACACAGGTGCATTCTATTTATCATCATCAGTCATTTAGGACAACATTGGATCATTCAAAGATCCTCACTGAACTTCTGGAGTGAGTTTGCTGCACTGAAAGTAAATATTGCCCCACTTTTCAGTTTTTTATTTGTTAAAAAAGTTTAAATTATCCAATAAATTTCGTTCCACTTCACGGTTGTGTCCCACTTGTTGTTGATTCTTGACAAAAAAAAAAAAATTATATCTTTATGTTTGAAGCCTGAAATGTGGCGAAATGTTGAAAGGTTCAAGGGGGCTGAATACTTTCGCAAGGCACTGTATACAGTCACTTCAGATACAATAAAATAGTTAAAAACATGGAAACTATATGGCTGAGAGTGGGTGCAGAGGTAACCAGCTGAATAAGCGTCATCCAAGGAGCAGTCTGCACGAGGCGCAGAGAGCAGTTTGCAGCCTCAGGGGACGACACAGGACATAGAGGAACGAGGAGGCCCCACACCTCCACCCGGTCCCTAAACCAGACCCCACAGCCCCAGCCGACCACCGCCTCCAGTGTGGAAGGTTCCTCAAGACAAAACACCGGGGATACTAAAAACAGTAAAAAACAAAGTAAAAACTTGAGATGCGAGGCTAAAAGGGAGCACAAAAAATACTAAGAATAGACTAAATAAATAAGTTAAATAGAAGATGTATAGGATATAGAAAATGTAAATTGCTCTGCCTCCGCTTGAGCCTTCTTTGTGATTCAGGCGTTTATATTTTGATACTGTCTTTGCAAATCGAGATGTGAGCCATGTAAGGACTGACCCATCAAGATGTCTTCATTTGCAGAGGAACCTACAGCTTGCCTTAGCAACCGCCTAGCAACACATCTCTGCTCAAGCTAGCTTATGTTCAAATCGGCCACTTCCGCAACAACACTATGGTAACGTCAGAACTCAGCCCACTATTTATTTTGTAACGGCCTTTCTAATGGCAGTTAGGAAGAGGAAAAGCCAGCATTCTAACACACACACAGTACTTCGTCCAGCCCCTTTACAAACTATATTTTTCAAATTGAATGTCTGGATCTTGTTTGTTTTGTTCAGCTGTATGAAAATATACAGTAAGTTTGACAAACACTTACTTACTATCACTGTTGATCTGTAATGTAGAGTGAAGTGTAATAATTCTGTGGTATGGTACTTGAGCGATGTTGTCGTTGCCCTCCTCTCGAGTGCGGGCCTTTTCAGTGCAGCCAGCCTCCTCTTGTGCGCGCATGTGTTCGCCGCGCTCCTCCTCAGCTCTTTCCCGTCTGTGCGTCACGTCTATTAATATCTCGGCGAGGGGCTGCAGACGGGCGCGAAGTGACAAGATGTTCCGCCGCCACAAACAGATGGCTCACTCCGGTCTTGGCGCTGACCGCTCAATTAGCAGCTAGCGCGCCGACTGCCCGGTTAGCTCCATCAGTCCCCACCCACCACGCGCCACCGTGACCCGCGCGAGACGAACGCAGGGTGAGGCCGCCAGGCTTCGGTCACCTGACTCCCCGATCACTAGTCTTAAATTTTATTTTTGGTATTTTTTTCAAACCGGAGACATTTATTTGGCACAAAGCGAAAGTCGACCTCGGCCATCTGAGAGGGTTTACGCCACACGCTTTGCTTTCAGGAAATTAAACGGCAAATATGTTGTTTATAATTTCAGGCGGAAAAGAAAAAAAATATACAGTAAGCCTTTTCTGCTCTTGACAAGTACTTTCAGTCGGGTAATTATTTCACAAGGACAACAAGCATAAGTTGGAGAGGTTTCGAAGGTTTTCTTGTGGGGACAGGCTTTTTGCTTCTTGCAGGAAATTCAGCAAATGTTTAGTTAATGGAAGCATGATCTATGTGGGGAAATTATGAACATATATGGAAAATAGAGATATAAAATACAAACTACTAGTACTCCTTAATACAACTGCTACTTCTTCAGTACTTCTACAACAACTACTGAGCACTACTAACCTCCTTCCATCAACATATCACAGGTTATCAAAGCTCACTACAGCCCAACAGGCACTTCCCTCCATTGTCTACCAAAAGTAATTTAGAAAATAAAGCTATGAAAATGAAATTAGATTATATTCATGTTACTTCTTTCCCATTTCATTTCAAGCTCATCAATTGTAAAGCGAAATAAATGTGTAAATACCTGCTGAAACTATGGCAAATACTGTTGCTTGATTGTATATTTATGTACAGTATATATATTTGCATGAGTATGTATTTACTGTATATTAGGGGCGGCAGTCGCTCAGTTGGTAGAGCATTGGCCTTTGGGCCTGAAGCTTCGAATCCAACATGAGACCTACTTCACAACTCCTTCTGATGATCGCTGTTGTTGTGACCTTGGGCAACTTGTGAACTTAACCCCACATTGCCCAAAGCTCCCGCTGAAAGATCAAGGCTCCTGTGGACTCAGCACCTGCAGCAGGATCAGTGAGGAGTTGGTGCTGTGTACTGGGTGCAGCTCTGACTGCCACCCCCACGACCCAGAAATGGAATAAGGGGAAGACAATGGATGGATGGATGTACAGTAGGGACCATAACAATATATTATAGTATTTCTTTGACCTAAAGAATGTAAATATTGCAAATACTTATGACTGTATAGCTTCTGCTCAAAGGAATAAAATCAATCAATCAGCGTGCACTCGGATCAGATCGAAGCTACAGCTGGAGCTTGATGCACAAATGAGAATTTAGAAAGTTCAGGGTGACAAGTGACACTAAAACCTGACCTTTGAGGAAGTTGAATGTCCCTGTGAGCTGAGGACGAGGCTGCAGTAGCACGAGTGGTCCACCATGATATTAACAACACTGCTTTGTATTACTTAGTGACCTTCACTGAGCCACTTTAAATACACAAGTCACCTTTATAGCACACAGCACTTTAAGCATATTTGCACATCAAAAAGAACATTGCACAGAGTTGGTTTTAAAATATTTATTAAACAGGTCTTTCCTTTTTACCATGTTTTTATCCAGAGGTGCTGGCAGGTAATTGGCTGCAGCTGGACCCTGGAGGAAAAAGGAAAACAGTCATTTATTTTAGCCAATCCCTAAATTATGTGCGATAGGTGCAATATCTGTTGAAGAGTGTTTTAAGTGTGTGTGTGTTGGTGTATTTTAAATGGGTTTGGTGAAGATGTATATGTGGGGTGTGTGGTGTGTACTTACTTTTTTCTGTGTCCGGTAGGCAAAAGGGTCCCACCAGGAACGAGCTCCCCCTTTTATGGTTCCGGGCCACAGGACCACATGGATTTTGTATGGGGGAGTTGGAGGGGGGTATTTTAATAGTTAAAATGTTAATATTACTTGGTGTTGGTTTTAGGGCTTTTAGTATAAATGGTATCTGGGTATTTTAGATGAGTTATGGGTTGGGTTTTGTAAATGGAGTTTTAAGTTGTTTTACTAAAGCTAAGCATATTTTAACACCCCTGCTTTTACAACTTGGTTTTACCCAGCAGTCGGCACCAAATAAAAGGACCTGGGAAACATCAGTCTGGGCGCTGCTGCTGGAGAGGAAGCACTCCATTGGCACTCCTGCACTTTATTGCCTGTGTGCACTTTTGTTTGTATTTTTATTGAAAAGCCAAAAAAATAAGTAAAATATGTGGACCACGGCGACCTCTTTGTGGTTTTGATTATTTTAACTGCACTCCAACCCGCTCACGGCCGACCTGCCTCACATTTGGCGTCAGAAGTGTTTCCCACGCTGCAGTTAAAGGTACAGAATGAACACAAGACAAGGAGGAAGAAAAAACGCCTGACGAGCCTGACGACTGTCCTGGATCAACAATGGCTGACCTACAAGGGGCACAGGCAAGTGGTCCACAAGACAAGATGGAAGAAATAGCTGGGATGATGAAGTCTTTGATGTCATCCCAGTACACTAGAGACAAAATGGTGGAGAAAGAACGGACCCGGCAGGAGCAACGCTGGAACGCTATGCAGGATCAAGTCCAGGAACTTCAGCAGCAGCTAATGCGGATGCAGACAGAGTGTTCTGCACATCCAGAACCGACCTCGCGGTCTGTTCAAGTCGAGATGGACACAAGGCAAAGAACCTTGGAGGCACAATCAAATGAAGATGATGACGACATACCTCGTTACCCCCACAGACCATACCGGGAACCAAAACTTCTCCCACTTGGTCCTGAAGATGACATTGAACACTTCCTCACAACGTTTGAGAGAATGGCCCAGTTGTGCCGATGGCCAGAGGAAGAGTGGGCTCTACGCCTGGTACCACTACTAACAGGCAAAGCCCGAAGAGCCTATGTTTTGATGGACATGATTGACACAGAGGACTATGAAAAAGTTAAGGAGGCCATCTTGGAAAAATATGAAATCACTTCTGAAACATACCGCCGCCGCTTCAGATCCCTGAAGATCGAGCCGAACGAGACGCCCAAGGAGCTGTATGTCCGCCTGAAAGAGCTGTTTATGAGATGGATTCAGCCGGAGAGGACAACAATCAAAGCGATGTGTGAGAAGCTAATCCTGGAACAGTTCCTACGTATGGTCAGTCCGGAGCTGGAGATCTGGATCAAGGAGCACGATCCCAACACAGCAGAGGAAGCTGCACGATTGGCCGAGGTCTTCACATCGGCACGGAAAGGGAGCAGACCCACGTCCTACGCCCAAGAACCTCGCCAGCTCATGCCACGTAAGTCCTTTGGGGATGATGGGGGTGGTCCTTCCCAGAGTAGAGCCAATAGCGGTAGGCTAAATGCACCGATGCACCAGTCACGTTCAGTTAAAGAGCCCTTGAGACCACAAGATTTTAGGTGCTACAATTGTAATGAGCCTGGTCACAGTCAGCGCTTTTGCCCAGTCCTTAAAACCAAGCAATCCCTACTGTGTTCTGTACCTAGGCCAGCAACGGCTCAGACAGAGCAGAGGAGGGGGCGCACAACCCCAGTTCTTGTGAATGGCCACTGTGCAGAGGCACTGTTAGATTCTGGGTGTTTTCAGACTGTAGTACGGTCCTCTTTGGTTCCGCTTGAGCGGCAGTCACCTGAAAAAGCTCGGCTCATCTGTATCCATGGGGACGAGCACAACTACCCTACAGGAGAGGTTTATCTTACGGTGGGGGGGCAAACTTACTTGGTTAATGTGGCGTTAGCTAAAAACTTGCCTTTCGCAGTTATCCTAGGAAACGACATCCCGACTCTCCCTGATCTGATTATTCAAGCAGATAGCGGGCACTCAGAAATGTGTTCAGTGATTGCTTCAAACCCCTGCTTTCAATCCCCCCCAGAACCTGCTAAACCCTGTAACATTCTCACCAGAGCTCAGATAGCCAGGGGAATTTGTGAGGAGCTGCCTTTTTGTGACGAGGAGCTTGCTCAACCTTGCAAAGCTAGAAAGCCCAGAGCCCAAAAGAGAAGGGAAAAGTTTGTTGGCTCACAGAAAGAGAAAGAGGAGCTTTCTAAACCCCTGAGTCCGGTGGAATTTTGCATCCCATCAGACATTGGGGCTCTGCAAAAGGAGGACTCTACACTAAAGCCCTGGTTTGACAAAGTGGAAGAACGGGAGGGAGTGAAAACAGGAAAAGGTAGCCAGTTAGATGAAGTCAGCTATGTAATAAAAAATGATTTACTTTACCAGATCAAAGACAAGAGTGAAGCTTTAGCCTTGCCTGACCAATTTCGAATCAAAGTGATGGAGCTGGGTCATTCAGTCCCATGGGCAGGTCACATGGCGTTTCAAAAGACACTAAGACGAATTGGCAACCGCTTTGCATGGCCTGGAATGTTTTCTCAAGTTTCCAAATTTTGCAGTTCCTGTGAGATTTGCCAGCTAACTTCAAAAAGAGGAGTAGCTCAGGCCCAGCTCCAGCCACTTCCGATCATTGAAACTCCTTTTGAAAGAATAGGTATGGACATTGTAGGTCCCCTGGAAAGGAGCTCGGCAGGAAACCGGTACATTTTGGTCATATCAGACTATGCCACACGTTACCCTGAGGCCTTTGCTCTCAAAGCAATTAAAGCTAAACAAGTTGCTAACTGTCTTTTGCAACTCTTCTCAAGAGTAGGAATAGCTAAAGAAATACTCACAGATTGTGGCACAAATTTCCTGTCAAAGCTCCTCTCGCAGGTTTACCAGTTGCTTGGGGTAAAGGGAATTCGGACCACTCCGTATCATCCCCAAACGGACGGTTTGGTGGAGCGATACAACCAGACATTAAAATCTATGCTGCGCAAGTTTGTCTCCTCTACAGGCAAGGACTGGGACCAGTGGCTTCCATATCTGCTCTTTGCTTACCGGGAGATCCCACAATCGTCGACAGGCTTCTCACCTTTCGAGTTGCTGTATGGACGCCAGGTGAGAGGACCCCTGGACTTGCTGAAAGAGCACTGGGAGCGCAAAGAGCCTGAAGGAGACAATGTGGCAGCCTACGTACTCAAGATGAGGGAGAGGCTTGAGTCGATGGCAGCTCTGGCACAAGAGAATCTCAAGGCAGCACAAACCTCCCAGAAAGCCTGGTACGACCGGAAGGCAAGGGACCGAGCCTTTACACCAGGTCAAAAGGTACTGTTACTTTTACCTACCAGTGAAAACAAACTGCTCGCTAAATGGCATGGACCTTATGAAATAACAAAACGGATCAGTAATGTCACATACGAACTGTTTATGCCAGAGAGACTTAAAAAGAAACAGAAATTTCACATTAATCTTCTGAAAGAATTCATTGTCCGCCAGGAGCCTTCTCAGCAGTTTTTGGTGCGTGCTGTGAAAGATGAGGAGATTACAGAAAAGTTCTTCCCTGTCCCTCCCAAAGAGCCAGCTGCCATTGACCTTTCTCACCTCTCTCCCCCTCAGCAGGACGAGATAAAACCTTTCTTGAACCCAGGTCTGTTCCAGGAGACGCCTGGCTTTACGTCACTGGTCCAACATCAGATCCACCTCAAGCAGGAAGCTCCAAAGAGACAGAGGAGCTACAGGATCCCAGAGCGGTTGGTGCCAGTGCTAAAGAAAGAAATTGAACTCATGCTTGATCTGGGAATTATTGAAGTGTCAAATAGTGAATGGTGTAGCCCTGTTGTGCTTGTGCCAAAAAAGGATGGATCTCTGCGTTTTTGTATCGATTTCAGATACCTGAACGCCATCTCGAGCTTTGACCCCTACCCAATGCCCCGCATCGATGAACTTCTGGAGCGCGTGGGCAGAGCAGCCTACATCACCACGCTGGACCTTTCCAGAGGCTACTGGCAGTTGGCACTGGCACCAGAGGCAAGAGAGCTGACGGCCTTCAAAACACCGTTCGGCCTCTATCAGTTCAGAGTCATGCCCTTTGGACTGCAGGGAGCCCCAGCCACATTTCAAAGGCTGATGGACCATGTGCTCCGGGATGTGTCAAAATTTTCAGCCGCATACTTAGATGATGTGGTGATCTACAGTGAATCCTGGGAGGAACATCTCTGCCACCTCCAGGAAGTCCTGCAGAGAATCCAGGCTGCCGGACTGACCATCAACCCCAAAAAGTGTGCAGTGGCCCATAGGGAAGTGGAGTATCTAGGATACACCATTGGATATGGACGGATTACCCCTCAAGTGCAGAAGATGGAGGCCATCCAATCCTTCCCGGTGCCCACGACAAAAAGAAAGGTCAGGGGGTTCATAGGACTGGTTGGATGGTACAGGAAGTTCATTCCCCAGTTTGCGGAGAGAACGGCTATCCTCAATGACCTGACAAAGAACTCTGCCCCAAACAAGGTTCACTGGACTGAGGCTTGCGAAGAAGCCTTTTCTGACCTGAAGGAGGCTATTTGCACCCGTCCAGTCCTCCAAAGCCCTAATTTTGATAAGGCCTTTTGTCCTCCAAACAGATGCTTCTGGGGTGGGACTAGGAGCAGTCCTCCTCCAGGAGAAGGATGGGGAACGAAGGCCTGTTGTCTTCCTGAGTCGGCGGCTGCTGGACCGGGAGACTCGCTACTCGGCAGTGGAGAAGGAATGTTTGGCGATGAAGTGGGCGATTGACTCCCTGCGCTACTACCTGCTTGGAAGGCACTTCATCCTGGAAACAGATCACCGGGCACTTCAGTGGCTACACCGCATGAGAGAGGCAAATACCCGCATCGCTGGATGGTACCTGGCCCTCCAACCCTATAACTTCACGGTCCAATACAGGCCAGGCAAGACAAACATTGTAGCTGATTTCCTGTCTAGACGTGAAGAAGAATAGGCTTTGCCTTCGAGAGGAGGGGGGAAATGTAACAAACTGACTTTGTTACTTAGTGCACCTTCACTGAGCCACTTTAAATACACAAGTCACCTTTATAGCACACAGCACGTTAAGCATATTTGCACATCAAAAAGAACATTGCACAGAGTTGGTTTTAAAATATTTATTAAACAGGTCTTTCCTTTTTACCATGTTTTTATCCAGAGGTGCTGGCAGGTAATTGGCTGCAGCTGGACCCTGGAGGAAAAAGGAAAACAGTCATTTATTTTAGCCAATCCCTAAATTATGTGCGATAGGTGCAATATCTGTTGAAGAGTGTTTTAAGTGTGTGTGTGTTGGTGTATTTTAAATGGGTTTGGTGAAGATGTATATGTGGGGTGTGTGGTGTGTACTTACTTTTTTCTGTGTCCGGTAGGCAAAAGGGTCCCACCAGGAACGAGCTCCCCCTTTTATGGTTCCGGGCCACAGGACCACATGGATTTTGTATGGGGGAGTTGGAGGGGGTATTTTAATAGTTAAAATGTTTAATATTACTTGGTGTTGGTTTTAGGGCTTTTAGTATAAATGGTATCTGGGTATTTTAGATGAGTTATGGGTTGGGTTTTGTAAATGGAGTTTTAAGTTGTTTTACTAAAGCTAAGCATATTTTAACACCCCTGCTTTTACAACTTGGTTTTACCCAGCAGTCGGCACCAAATAAAAGGACCTGGGAAACATCAGTCTGGGCGCTGCTGCTGGAGAGGAAGCACTCCATTGGCACTCCTGCACTTTATTGCCTGTGTGCACTTTTGTTTGTATTTTTATTGAAAAGCCAAAAAAATAAGTAAAATATGTGGACCACGGCGACCTCTTTGTGGTTTTGATTATTTTAACTGCACTCCAACCCGCTCACGGCCGACCTGCCTCACAGTCCACCACCATGTAACTTAAGCTAGCAATACCATATCCAGATAATATAAAACATCCATGCGTTTGTAGGAATTAGGAGAATGATCAAGCTTGTGGAGCTTTCTTTGTCTGCAAGGAAAATCTCCTTTAAACATGTGGTCAAAAACAAAGTGAAATGGTATAGTTTAATCATATTATTCTTAAAGATTAGCCCAGGATGTTATTGTTTTTTTGAGATAACTTTTGTATTCAGAGCAAAAAGTAATCCATCAATTTGCTTCTGTAAATCTCAAAAAGCAACATTGAAAGACATTGTAATTAAAAACATGTCAAAATGCACATCCTTTATGTGAACATCTTTCAGTCTTTTCACGTCAAACTCTAAGCCATCACATGAAGTCAAAGAAAATCTTGCTTTTTAGAATCCCGCAAGTGAAGTGTTCTTTTGTCAGCAAGTTCAAAACAATCACTGTATTAATCAAACACAGACAACAAACAACACTATTATTGATGTTTGCCGCGCTCCGCAGAGGTCACTTACAACTTTCTCCACTGCTGCTAATTCCTGGCCGGCTAATTAAAGCTGTCAGTCAGTCCGTTAGTGCAGTGGCGGCTTTCGGAGCTGTCGTGCGGACGCATACGTGGAGATAATTATGTCGGAATAGTGCAGCGCAAATGAAAGTTAATTTAAGAAACGGGAGGCAGAGGAGCAGCTGCGTCTTTAAACAACAATGAAGAAGAAATGATTGTGGAAAATAATGACAGGAGAATGGAAGACGAAGGAAAAAAACACATTATTTTCGCCAAGCAACATAGGAGCTAATACTAGGAGGCGGAACATTCCAGGAAAAGTACAACGACATCACAAAGTGGACGTTTGAGGCTGGGCTTGTGGCATATTGTCCAATGTTATATAAATCAATGGCCTGTGCTCAGCGGAAGTGATGAATTTTGCCCACTTTTGGTTCTGACCAATCAGAGTAGCACAGATCCGAGCGGAGACACAAGAGCATAAGAGCGCAGAAGTGGGGATTTTTAGAAAACTGATGGAAAAAAGTTCAGGTTGACAAGGGACCTTTGTGAAAGCAGAAAGTTCCCTGTCAGCTGAGGAATAGCAGTCTTCATTATTAATATGTGTCAATCTCTCCATTTTCTGAATTTCTTTGATCGCTTCAATCCAGTTTTTTCCAGTCGTTCTTTGCCGATGCAGTTTCTTGCTGATCTGGGACATTTAAAGAAGCTATACCCGATTTTTTTTCTAAGTAGTTCATAAAAATGCTTTTTACTACATACAAGTTGTATCATAATACATAATTGAATTGAAAACTTGAGGTCATTGATTCCACTGTGTATGAAATTCAGGCAGTGAAAAGTGCTGAGTAGAGTCTGAGCGGGACGTTCTCCTCTAACCTTGCCTGCAAGCTGAATTCTCGCGGTATTTGTGAGTTCACAAACACTCGAGAATACATCTTGTACCGCTCCCGCTTACACTTTTCGAGTCGAACCACTGGGTGTGCGAGCCAATCACGCGCCAGTCTGGGGGTTTAGGGCGGGATATCCGGGTTTGACGAAAGCAAGAAGTGCCGGGCCGAAGCAAAACAAACATGGGACGGACGCAAAGTCAGTTTTAGCAGAATCTCCAATTTCTTTTTTGAAAGATGAACAGCGAGAGGCGCTTTGTACATTTCTGGACGGCAACCTTGGTAGGCGGGCACACAGCGTCACTTCGCCCAATCAGCTTGAAGTATTCTGCTGCTTACCCCTCCTTTCCCCGAAAGGATTCTCCGGGAGAAATCCCAGATTGATATCGCGGAGAACGCGTTAGAGTTCTACACAATCATCAATCTGGCTTTTGCCAGGTTAGTTCTCCTCCACTCACAGAACGAGCAGCGACCAGCCTGCGTCCTCTAGCCCCTACAGCGCTGCTTCCACCAGGGCTTCGACTTCAAAATTCGAATATAATTCTAAAATAAAAAATATATACATATTTGAACAAATATTAGACAACCCTTTTAATTAGAAATGTATTTAATGACTGCAAATAAAATAGTTGGCTCCCAAAGGTTTCACCGGGACGTGCTAGGCAGGTAACAGCTAAGCTAGCTAGCTGTTTCATGGTCACTTCCGGGTTTTTCGCGATCGCTTTTTGTCACTTTAAAACAGTATTTTTATCATGAAAACGTTGACAGCAAATTCTGAAATCGTCCGTGCATGTGTGTTAAGGATGTATATGTATACTGTATTGTCTGATTAACGTTTAATGGTGTTGATTGATAGATATGTATTTGTTTATTGAGCGTGGCTAGCTCCGCTAGCTTCTCTACACAGACAAGTGTGCAGATAAACTGCACAATGTAGTGACAGGCGCTGATAGCTTGTTGTACTTGCAGAGTAATGACAGTATTTTACACACCTGAATTACAAACAGAGATTGCATTGTCAAAGGGCAGAGGTCATTATTGATTTGAGAGTTCTGTTATCAAGAAAAAATGATCGGAAGAATTGCATTCAAGTCAATGGAGTGCTGCTGAGGAGCTGTATAATAAATTATAATTAAATATTAGAATATATTCTAATGTTTAACTTAATACATCCGGACGCGAAACTAATGGTAATCTTTTACTTATATATTGTGTTAGCAGTGCGTTGCTTTAGTGCCATTTAATCACTGATTGTTGTACAGCTTACAAGTTGCGCTAATGCTAATGTTAGCATACGTATCATATCGCAAATAAAACTAGGTGGCTCCGTGTTATGAGAGCGTAGGGGAAATGAGAAGCCTGTGAGCGAGTTGGGGGGCGGTGCTAAACATTCAAACATTGTAGAAACGGGTATAGCGTCTTTAATGGTATGGTATGTTATGTACTTTATATGAACAGGGACAGTGTACAATTAAACATTAACACAAAGGAGAGATGTATTGTACCAGGTTATAGCAAAGATGCTGATTTCCACCTGTAGTCCCTGGGCAGGCTGACGTTTAAGGACATTTATTGACATTTATGTGGTTTTCCCGCTACCTATGGACCAGAAATTCCCATGTGTTATGGTATTATTATCATTTTTTTATTTTTTTTGTTAATATGGACATAACAATAACATTGGACAAACCAGATGCATTGCTGTCAGTGCCAGTTTTCAACACTAGTCCACAGAGATCTAGTGTTGAATTTCCTGTTTTCAAACTGTATTTTTCCTTGGTCTCTTGTTGGAGAATCTTTCACTTTATAAATACATTGATTGAGTTGAATTTGGGAGGATTGGTTGTTGTACTAAGAGTAGGGGCCCAAGTTAGCACTGTACTTGGCATAGTTGAAGTAGCCAGTGCAGGCATCTTGTTGAGGTGACCGGTCCATATGTGGGTCAGGGCAGAGTCGTGGCCGTAGTGTGGATTATCTTTAATAACTGGTCGAGTGCACATTCGGCATGATCTCATGACCTCTCAGTATCCGCTTCATTGGCTCCCTGTTTAAAGTGTGTGTGGTGTGAGCAGGGGGGGGGGGGGGGGGGGTCTATCTGTATGTGGATATGGGGGGGTCCTGGGACGACGACAGCCTGCCACTGATCGAACTTCAACTCATGCTGAAGTTGACCACTACAGCTGGCCCCATCGATTAGTGGTGCGCTCATTGTTACCAGTTTGTGAGATGTGCATTTCTGACAAGGAAAAGCGCTCTCTTTTTGTAGCTGATAATAGAGTTGAAAGAGTCGATTCAGAAGCTGGAAAATACACAGAAAACACTCAATACAAGGAGACGAAGGAGGGTGTTGGAGTCACAGAGGTGCCCCAGTTCAAAGCCTCTGTATGTTTACCACAAGGCTCCTTAGGACTGGACTCACTGCAGGACAGGACTCAGTAAAGGAGGACTAGACTCATTGCAGGACAGGACTCAGTAAAGGAGGACTGGACTCACTGCTGGAGGACTGGACTGCAGGTCAGTGGCTGAGACTATGAAAGCAGGTTTCTTTGTGGAAAGCTAGAGCTATAATTATCTTTATAATGAGCGGGGCAAGACACCTAACCCCACTTTGCCTGAAGCCCCCGCTGAAAGATCAAGGCTCCTGTGGACTCACCACCTGCAGGAGGATCAGTGAGGGGCTGGTGCTATGTACTGGGTGCAGCTCTGACTGCCACCCCCCGACCCAGAAATGGATTAAGGGGAAGAAAATGGATGGATGGATGGCATTATCTTTATACAACATGAGTTTGAATATCATTTTTGGGTTTTTATTCTGGACAAAGTTAAGTTACTGTTCGGATTAAATCAAAACTGCACCAAAAATGAACAGGCCTGAATTCATAGACTGTATAACTTTATCTAAATAAATGGGTTAACATTTTCGAATGGAAAAAATAACATGGTTGTTTTCTTCAGACAAAAAAATGAGGTACAACATGTTAGCCATATTAACAGATCACATCAATGCTGCAAGCGAATCATAATAATTGAAAATCAAGGGCCACTACAGAGGGTCCCGAGGGCCTTGTGCTTGACCCATGTGCTTCAGGGTGAGCCCACGCTGGCCTTTTGTGGTTTAAAATCTGGATGTGTAAAAGGAAAGAACTCTGAACAAGGAGCAACGTCCACTTTGACTCATTTTTATCAATATAGAAACGTCGTCAAATTTAGTTATATTCAAGAGATTCCTGAAGACACACCCTCACCCCGAGACATACAGTATGAAGAAATAAGCACTATGCACATGTCTGCAGGTTTTCCTCCTGGTGCTCCAGTCTCCCATACCACCAAAAACATGTGCGTCAGGTCTGAATTCATGTGTAAGTGAACGGTCTGTCATCGCCGTGAATGGAGATAATAGGAATCACGGACAAAACAAAAGTGTAAAGTGCTTGGTGTGACCTTGGTCTGTGAAATGTGTCATAATAAAGATGAATTACTTACACCATCAGTGAGGTGCGTACGTTAACATACACTGTCCCGACCACATAAACACCAACAGATCACACCTGGTTTTTGGTCCAAGAGCTGCAGCAATCCAGTTAGTCAGTCATTGAGTTATGGATTGGTCATGTACTGATTTTTTTACATCCTTAAATACATATGAAGACAAATGTATGTAGTAACTGACAAAACCATAAGAAGATGTAGACGCAATCATAGAAACACCACAAACCTAACTGTAATTGTAACGCTACAGCTCTACATGGCTCAATGTCGTTATCAACATGGATAATGAAGCTAAACGACTATGTGCTCTGCAGGATTTCTTGGTGATTTCTATCTCTACACGAGCATAAATAACAGCAGACCATTGAATACTTGATCACTGCTCGAATACATGTTTTGAGCATGTATTTGTCTTAGGCTACATCCACTTGTAGTTTCAGAATTGTTTTCTGTGAACACGGAGTCACCTCAGTAAATGTTTGCGTTCACCTAAATTAAGTCAATATTCCTGAACACACTGAGACCTTTTGGTGGCGCTGTGAGCCACATTAATCAATCCAGTGTATGGATTGCATTTAGACCCAAATTTGACTCTGTGTGAACAGGTCCTTTGTCTACATCCACACTAAGTCACAACACTAGTAGTTTCCATCCACATGAATGAAGTCAATGCAATGAACCTATGCCAGGCCTGTTGGTGGCGCTGTGACACAATGGGATCAAGGCCGGTCTTCCGTGAAGGGACTTGATGGCCGTGCTCGGTTGCGCAGAAATGTGTAAATAGACAAAAGGATATTTTGCTTTGTAAGTCAGGGGTCTCAAACCGGTTCCAGAAAGGGCCATGTGGCGTCAGGTTTTACTTCCAACAGTTCCAAACTGAGCAGGAGCACAGATGACTCCACCCATTTCCTCAGGTGAGTCCAGTTTTAAGATGAAGATTTGAGGAAATGGGTGGAGTCATCTGTGCTCCTGCTCAGTTTGGAACTGGTGGAAGTAAAACCTGCAGCCACACTGGCCCTTTCTGGAACCGGTTTGAGACCTCTGGTGTAAGTGGTTTGAGCTTGGCAATCTTTCAATTCAATTTCCAATTCAATTTATTTTTGTATAGCCCGTAATCATAACAGTAGTTACCTCAGAGGACTTTATAAAACCGCACAGTAGTACAAAAAAAAAAAATAGAACACATAGGTATTGGTCCATGGGGTAGAGACCAATGTCCATGAATGTTGATAAATGTCCCGGATCATCACCACAGTCCTTTTTGTTAGACCCTCCTGCATCGGCAAGGAAAAGCTCTTTCCACTCTTCAAAAATGTGTTTTCAGACCCATTAAACGCCGGCTTCAAATGAACGACAGAGTGGATTGATGAAGTATTCGTTGACTGAGCCTTAGACTAAAAAGAAAAACCCCAGATCGGCCCTGACATAAAACCCCAGATCACAATGAGAAGCAACAATCATTTACAACTCTTATTACCATTCCAAAAAATGTTCGGTTTGTACCATTTTGGAACATATCCTATTTGTCTAATTAAACTCCATTTAAACAGACCACTAATCACCTTCGCTTTGATGTAGAGTTCATCCCGGCGAATACAAAAATGACCCTCAGTGTGTCACGAATCCAAAGCACCTCTCAACAGATGCGGCCCTTTCTCCAGAACGTGTGGATGAAAAGGGGGCTCAGGTTGGAGCACAAAGCCCACCAAAAGGCCCCGACAATGGGCCACGGGGAGAGGGGCGTGGGCCACTCTAATTGCAGAGTTGGATGGAGAGACAGGTAGGAGAAGAAAGACGCACAGATGTCACTCGCAGGACGTCTCGGGAGCGTCATGTTTCACACCAGCTTGGCTCCGTGAATGGGAGCGTGGATTTCAATGGTGATTTTGTCGTTTCTCAAGATGTATAGAATAAAAAAAAACTTCCAACACAGATCGGACTTGTAATCTTATCACAATCTTGTATTTGATAGTGTAAAATGTGCCATTATAGAGGTGGATTCTAGCAGTGATGATCCAGGGAATTTATGGCTTCAAAGTGTTAATATTGCATTTCTTGTTTTTAAACGGTTTGATTTTCTGATCTGTTGTTGGCAAATCAACAACTTTACAATACTGATACGGTTGTGATTTAAGGTTATACAAAAAAAGTTGCATTGCATTGAATAATAACACACTTTCAACTTTTAAAATCTCGACATAGATCAGTAAGTAAACAAAAAGGAAAATTACAACAAAGAAGCACATTTTTCAACTTGTGCTGTGACTTTGCAGAATCCTACGAGAACAACAGAGTTTTATATTTCAACAAAGCAAAGAACAGACGTGAATATAGAAAAGTCAAGTTGAGACAAAGTACGTTGTGGTTTTAAATTGTACAAATGGAATGAACTTGAAATGAGGACAACATTTTTTTCAGAGAATGATTCCAGTTTCTGTGAAAGCCGAACGAAAATACAGATAAACTCAAGGAAATGTACAATGTCATTGGCTCAAAGCATTGAAGTGCACTTGTCCCAACATTCATTTGTTTTAACAGTTATTATAAAATGGCTGACGGCGAGGGACGGCACGAAACACACACATATGTACAGACACCCTCTCAAACACACACGTACGAATACTCACACTCGCACACAAACACACTCTCTTTTTTGAAAATGGCACAGACAATTTCTACTGGTCTGAACGGTGACTAATTAAACCTGGTTTAAAATTCCCAGTGGTTTGTCCCATACAAAGTTCTGATCATAGATTGCTTAGAGAAGGAAAAAACCTGTTCGCTCAATGAACCCCAATGGGGAAGTGCTCGTGGAAGAAGTTTTGCACAAACCTCTATTTACTTACATTGAAAAGTAAACTCCTCCAGCTCAGTCTCTATAAACCTGGTGTTTATATTTTGATATTGTCTTTGTCAAACCAGATGTCAGTCATATAATAATGTATCAATCAGATTAGTTCATAATAGAATCAAAACACAAAAAGAAATGTAGAAATTGCAACTGCTAATTTGGAGCCTAAAGGGATAACTTATTTCAAGATATGTGTGTATGCATTTCCTCTCCAGAGTCGGGGTAAGTTGTTCACAATTTTAGCTTTTACTATTATCATTCAACACTTAATATAATACATAATATTTACACTAGATATGTACAAAATACAGATATAAATTTTCAGTAATTTACATTATTTTGACAAAATTCAGTAATTTGAGTCGCAGATTGGAGTACTCCGTTAATGCTGGGTCCTGACACCGCTCCAGTGTTTTAAAGCATGTCTCTTATTGTCAAAAATCCTTTTCCTTGAACCTTCTCTGTAGAACAACATTTCTGAGTGCCTGTTTATCTGTGTGACCAAGACGAATGAGACGAATAATAAGTTAGGTGTTGCGACATCTATGGCCAAAATCCTAGTCACGATTGTTCGGCTCAAATATTAAATCCTTATAAAAACCTGTGCGTCAAATCCAAATATTTACGGCGGAGCTGTGGATCAATAGTTGTAACCCAAAAAAAGCCTGCCCCTCCCAGTCCACTCGAGTCCGGCCCCCTGCTCTCGTCTTCCATTGAACTGTCCCAGCAGTGGTCTGTGTGGGTCATGTTTCTATATGGAAAGTATTGATTAGAGTCCCCTCAATCAGTGTGAGATTAGAGTCCCCTCAATCAGTGTGAGACAGCCCCCAGGCCCCCAGCAGACTTTAACCAGGCTGCCCCAAGCCCCCCTCAGCCAGCGCACACTTTTATGGAGCTTCAAAAGAAAAGGCAGAGACTGTAAAGTGTGGAGTAAACGCAGCAGAGTTGATGTGCATTTGAAGGTACCTCCTCGCTACTGTACAAAGATTGAGAGTTAGAATTATTAACATACTGATGTATTTTTTTTATTTTTGAGTATTCTAAACCACTTTTTGAAAACAGAGGTTTCTCACCACACTTTATACACTTTTCTAAGCACCTGAACGAAGGTCCGAGTGCTGCTGTATCTGTCAAAAGCCGTGCATCCACTGTGAAAATACAGCTGCCACCAAAAGTGTTTAATTGACTTGAGATGAAGGGTAACTGTCATGTTATACTAGCAATAATCTGATGGTATACGATGTACAAAATTGCACACACAAAAGTCTGCGAAACAGCGAGACTGTGAAAGATCAATCATATTACATAACTGGGGAACCTCATTTTTCAGACAAGCAAAAAAGTAATAAAGTCTATCTAACTTGTTCCTCACTCTCAAAACCCTTCTATAACTAGTTTGCGTGTTTTTGAGCCGTGTCACATCTTTAGAACAGATTTTCGGACAAAACAGTCAGTAACAGAAAGGACCCTCGTTCAATTCAATTTCAAATCAGTGTGTTCTTGCATAGCCCTTAATCACAAAAGTAGGTATCTCAGAGTACTTTACACAACCGTTGAATTCTCCAACACAGATCAGAGAATCAAAACGTTCAAACAAAAAATTAAAAAATAGAAAACACGTCGGTATCAGTCCATAAGGAGCAGAAGACCAATGTCCATTAGTGTTGATACATTTCCCGTAAAGGTTAAATGTCGAGTGTCCTGGATCATCACCATTGTCGGCCAATCAGCTCGCAACCCAAACAGTCAAGTAGTAAACAAACACCGAACTCCCTAAAGCTGGATATCATATATGGGAGAAAACCTGGTGGCATTTGAGCATTTATGGATTTTGACTTAAGTTTTTGAAGTGATGTGTTGGCGTTTAGCATCAGTACGGATCCATACAAAAAAAAGCTGGAACTCCATTCATTGCCGACATGGAAGTTAACAGCTAAGGTAAGTAGCATGCTCCGGGTCTGACTAGAAAGAATCCTGGTATTTCGTCTCCGACAGAGGGAAATATTCACTATTTGGTACTAAATGGGACTCTTAACACACACATCTAAATAAGGGTTAAAGTTTGGGGGATAACACATAGCAAGACATAGCAATTTATTGTCTGTTCAAATCCCGGTCAGAACAGGGCCTTTCTGAGTGGAGTTTGCAGTGTAAATGTAGTAATGGATATGGTCAGAGTTCGGGTTAAGCTTGCCATCTTTGGGACCAAATACCAAGATTTTAGTGAGCCCTAGATAATATTAAATGCACCCTGAAAGCTTCTTATGCCATTTCGGTTACATGTACCGTACAATATGAGAATCTGAGGCTTGGATTCAACTGTGCTCTACTCAAGTACTATGTTTATATTCTTTTAAAATGAAACAGGTGCAGCGAATACACAGGGGCTCTCAGACACCCAAGAAATATGGTAATGATGAATGCAATGAGCTGAGCCAAAAATGTTAATCCTGGACCGACTATTTTTAAACTTGCGGATAAAGGCCGACATACCAGGCAGGAGAAGGAGTCGTTCATCCTGTGCAGGAGCGTGTTCTTCTGTAAGATGGTGAACAGGGCGGCGTGGTCGAAGCGGGACGGGGCAGCGGATATGAGGCCTTCTACTCCCTGGCGCTGGGACGGGTCCAAACCTGACACAAAACATGCAAAAACGTGCATAAAACACAACATAAAGAACTGATAGAACTGTGTCCAAATCCCTTCCTGTGTCCTGAGGGATGCTCAATCACAATAACACATACAAGAAAGACATAGCAATTTATTGTCTGTTCAAATCCCGGTCAGAACAGGGCCTTTCTGAGTGAAGTTTGCCTGTTCTCCCTGTGTCTGCGTAGGTTTCCTCCGGGTACTCCGGCTTTCCCTACCACTAAAAATATGTACAATAGGTCTGGCATGCGCCTGCTGTTCGGCGACCTCGCTCCCATCTCTGTGTTGAGTGAGAGGACAAGTGCCCAAAAAATAACAATTTTAAACCGCTTTGAGACTCTGGTCTGTGAAAGGCGGTATATAAATAAAGATTACTTACTTACTTACTTAGATTAAAACCCCCCTCACTACTGCTGCAGCTGTTAAAAGCCGAGCATGCACAGTAAAATACAGCGGCAGAGGAACACACCGCACTGAGGGGCAGGAGCGGGATTGAGGGTAACGGGGTAATTTGTCCTCTGAAGTAATCACTGCGGTGCACGCAAGCCACTAAACGTTTTGTTCTGATTTTAAATAAAAGGATGTTGTATATGATGATGTTGGAGTAAACACCCGGTGCATGAGAAGACAGCTGTCTAAATTTTACAATCTAAAACAGAGCGAGGCCACGACAGGTGAACTTTGTGATAGTGAGGGACCAATGTATCCTGGCCTTAGCCATCCGTACACTCCGGTCAAAAATCATTTCCCTGCACGTAACGTCTGGGTCTGGACCACTGATTCGACCACTGATCCGAATCAGTGGTCGGATGGAATTTATCCGACCACTGATGTCAAGAGTTTGCACCGAACGGGCTGGTTGTGGTTTGGCAATGGTGAAGAATGCGATAGTCAAGTAATCCGGTCTGGTTCTATCAAGAAATTGAAGCCGGAGCAAGAGGAATGTAGAGCAAATGTAATTGCTGGCAAAGACTGTGGCGCTACTCCCCACGGGCTCAGTTAGCGGCAAAGAAGATGGCTAGGCTAAATGCTAAATGCTAACGACTCACTCGGTGCATGACATACGTGACGATAAACTCAGATCCAATCAATTCAATCTGCAAAAGGAGTTAACCCCTCCCACCTGTTAACGGCTCAATGGAGCGCCTCCAGACCTTAGTACGAATTTAATTGTGTACTATGGTGTGGTACGACCAGGCTAGGACCAATGTATTATCTGTACTGTGTCATGATGTTCATGTAATCAAAATGTCTATAGCTTTCTAATATTTTACACTAATAGAGGACATTATCACATGCTTTAATCTTGATCGATTATTTAAAGATAGTGCCATTTTCTTTTCCAATGCAGAACAAAACATCCACTAATCACTTTCTTTTAGGCTCAGAATTATTTATCATAACCTCACAAAAGATCCCTGAACGTGGTTTCTTTCTGTAACATATGATTTTGATGGCTGCGAATACATTTGTTGCCTCGTGCCTCATGTTGTTGTGCAGTGATTTGCATTTTACACATTGATTTGGCTTGGGCCAGGCGCAAGCAATGACCAAATCTGTTTTGTCAGCTTCTCCTCGCAAACAAATAGAAAGCACTTGTTTTCTGCTCCGGATTGACACGTTCAAGTGTCTGAACAGATTTGTGTGCGTCAGGTTGAATGCAGCCGATTTAGAGGTGCAATATAAATGTGTTGGCGCCTCTTTACCAGCGCGGCGGTGAAGTCGAGCGGAAACACACAGCCTCTTGCTCTCGTGGTTAATAGTTCCCACCTCGCTTGGCTGCGGCTTTTCTGTGAAGCTGCAAGTACTACAGAGCGGCGGAGGACCCAAAATGGCCGACGAGTGAATACTGCCAGAATCCTTAAAAGGCGACTTAATTGATTCTGTTCTGTGTTATATGATGAACCTAAGACACCAGTGGCTCATTTATCAAATATAAGGTTCATAGAAATAGTTTATATTGAGTGAAAACGATACTGTAACGTTTGAAGACTGCGTAGGGCTGTACAACGCCGCGGTACTAAGGCACTGTACTACGGTGAGCACTGGTCCTGACGGAAACCTTAGTGGGATCAGGAGGGGTAAAATGCAGAGGACAAATATCCCTGCAGAGGAGGTTTAACCGTTCTCCTCCAGAAAATCTTACTGGTAAGTTATTAAGCAAATAAGTAAGTATAGGTAAGTTCGTACTGGGGCCTCTAACCCAATGTTTGACGCATCCTGAAGCCTCTAATACTCTATCCAGACACTGATCTGTAACTAGGCTTGGTCTGAAAGCGGCATGTTCTTATTACAGGCAAGCCATTGATATCCCTCACTTATCCAGAGTGTGCTATAGATTCAGAAGAAAAGGTTTCAATAGTAAGTTCTCTCCTTTAAACGGTTTATCTGCAGAAAAGAAATGTGAATTAAACATCTTCTCGACATAACAGTTATTCAGCCGGACAGTATTGCAACCGGTTTAGAGCTGAACACCCATTGAAAGCTGTCAAAAGTGCCCTCATTGGGGGCGATCTGTCTTGGTAACCATCTCCGCACGCAGGAAGAGGCCTCCCGCACTGTACGTTTGACACTCCAGCCCTTTTTGCAGCTGATCACGCCGCCACTGCGAGGTCAACGAAGAAAGGAACAGCCGAAAAGCGGGAACGAAATAAAAGGCCGAAGTGGCACGGGTCTTCGCTTGAGCAAACCTGGGTTCATTTCAAGCCCTTTCAGCTCCTCCTGTTAATGGCCCCACCAAATGAAAAGCCTAACACTCTCCACTCTGCGCACATTGTGGAGCTACATTTGGCGCTGGGAAGTTGGACCAGGGTGACACATGGTCCAACAAAAGGCGAAGAATACCGGCTCGGCTTTCCCTCGCTTTCGGCGCCTGCGGCTTCGGACCCGAGACGAGCATTAGCCATCGCTTTTTATCAACGCTGCCATTTATTTTTTTTGTTACCCCACCAAGAGCCCGCCGGGATACTCTCAGACGTCGGTGTAGTCTGGCCCCCCCTCCCTCTCGCTCCCAGATCTTTTCTTTGTCCAGACAGCAAAAGTGAAATCTTTACAATCAACTTCCAATCGACCTTGCATCTCGCCTCAGAGTTTCCATTCTTATCGGTGCCCTGCTTTTTTTTTTTCCTCTCCTGGACGCCACGGTCTCATTCCGATGTAGGTCAGCTTGCAATCGTTACCAACCAAACTTTTTCATAATGATATTTGTTGACCAATCCAAGATGAGTGGAAAGCAGAGGAGACAAAGGGGTGGAGACTGGTTCTGATAATAAGGGGAGGGGGCCTAGGGCTGTATTGATTGGGAGACGCACAAAGAAAGGATGCGAGTGCAACTTTGAGGCTTAATGCGCTGGACTGGGGGTGTGTGGAGAGCTGGCTGCCGGCACAGATGGCAAAAGAATCCGTAGATCACGTTCACTTCCATTTCTGACATTCGGAAAGGAGTCGTATTAGTCATTTTCTAAATTCATCGACCCAGCTGTGGATTTGTTTTGAAGAGGTTATGTCAAGAGGCCATGCTCCCGTTCGCAGATAAAGGCTGAAAGCTGAACTCCAGGGCTCCGCTCTTGAGATGAGAAAAAGCTATTGAAAATTACAGCGAGACTTTTGTGGAACGAGGACATTCAGAGTGTTTACGTTTGTGATTGCCTTCATTCAGCTAAAATCTAATAGCGTTTGAGGATATTACAAACAAAGGCGTTTAGGAGACCAAAGGCATGTAAGAATTGCTTTTGATATTATTTGAAAATAAAATCAAAACGGAGCGCTCCAATTACAGTACTTGATGATCGCATAATATCCCTTGCTCTGACATGCATACACCATATTTATTCATTTATTTATTCACCCAGATGTCAATTTAACAAACTGTATGATTTGCAGAAAACATTGCATTATCAATCAATCAAGATGTTTCAATTTATTTTTATCTTAATCACAACAGCGGCGACTTTACAAAGTTGTCGATTCACCAACAACAGATCATTGGTCCACAAGGAGTGGGAGGACCAATGTCCCTAAATGTTGATAAATGTTAATAAATGTCCCAAATCGTCACGGTCCTTAGACCCTCCTGCATCGGCAAGGAACCACTCAAACAGAACAACAATAGGAAAAACTGTAGCAGCTCTTTGTTTTAAGGCTGTAAAACCCCTCGCCACACACTTTATACACTTTTCTAACCCCCTGAACTCAAGACTGCAGCTGTCAAAAGCCGTGCATACACTGTCAAATACAGCTGACACTGCGCTGAGGGGCAGGAGCAGGACTGAGAGCTACAGGAAGACAGTGGTCGTCCTCTGAACTAATCACTGCGGTGCACACAAGACACACAATATTTCTTCTGTCTTTAAATGAAGATAACTGTTGTGTTACACTTGTGCAGACGTGGGAACAGTGCGGCCTGGGGGCCATGTTTCTATGAGGCCCTCGGCCCTTTTTCCATCAGCAAACTTTTATTGTGTCCGCCTATTTAAATGGATAGGAATCAATACCCAATGCAACTTCAGTTCTACAATGGCATGTTATACCTCGTAGTAATTAATACAAAACATTCATCCATCCACAATAATTAGCCTTCTTTAGCTTTAGTGCAGATTTGGTTTAATTCAAGCAAACATTTTAAGCTTAAAACAAAAAAATACAACACAATATAAAATGTACCTACAATATACTATTGGTTAAGCCATCGCAATATACACAAAGTGAACATTGGATATCTTCAAGTTTCCATCTAATTCTGTCAATTGTTTTTCAAATATATACATTATCATCTGAAGTAGCTTACACGCAATTATGTTTTAAATTAAATAAAATGGTAACCGCATGAAAACGCACACAAAAATATCTGCGAAACAGCGAGGTGGAAAAAGGTGAAGTGGGTTATGGCGAAGGACCACTGTATAATACAGGCTGAACGTCTCTCTACAGTTCACGCTGCGGCCGTCGTGTTCAATAAGAGACCCAAAAACCCTACGAAATTAAATCAATAACAATTACTCTTTCTATTATGTTTACTCCGCAGGTGTTGAATGTTGTAATTAAAATCGAGGAAGGTACAGCTATGTGCAATGTCTTTTGTGAAGTTGAATGAAAAGCCATTTTTTCAGAGAGCGAAAGACGAGAAATGACTGCACAAACTAACTGCTCAACATTGTTTGCAGCAGCAGAAAATGTAAGGAATTTGACTGTTACAAGGACTTTACTGAAAGCAATCTACTGAAAATGGCAGCAGACTTGATATGGCTAAGATTACAGTGGTGGTAATGAAATGGTGTCGAGCTGTCAAAACAACATCACGGCAAAAGTACGGCTGTTTTTTTAATGCGAGAGATGCGTCAATAATAGTCAAACATTCAACTGATTTATTATCCATTAACATTAACGAGTGATAAAAATGTATAGTACTTATATGGCGCTTTTCTTGACTCTCAAAGAGGCTTCACTAAAGACTCATTCTACAGACTTACTATAGCATTTCCTGTGCTCCGTTTGATTCTCTAATCTGTTGTTGGTAGATCGACAACTTGTGAATGCTGTTGTGATTGATAGGATTATATACATTTAACATGAATTCAATTGACTTAAACTGCTTTGATGAGTCGTCAAAGTACAACAACAACGGACAGTATGGTATTGCTCATGATTGAATTTTAGTTTCACTTTAGGTCCGCCGGCTGTCTATTGGTAAAAAAAGATTAAACACTACCTTCCCCTTAACTCACCATCCTTTTAATTAGACATTTACCGATACTAGAAACCTCACTCTGGTTTCCCCTACCACTAAAAACATGTACAATAAATCCGACATGATCTATTATATCTATGCTTCATTGTGGAAAAACCGGAGCACCTGGAGGAATCCTACGCAGATATTGGGAGAACACTCTTACTCCACTCAGAAAGTCCCTGTTCCAACCGGGATTCAAACCCAGGATCTTCATGACAAGAAGCGAGAGTACTAACCCCTCAGACTTGTTTTTTACATCATCAGGGCTGACTCCATACAAGTTTAGTTGCTATAGGACGCAAGTCTATTGTCGCTGAGACTCACTACAGAACTTTAAATCACTTCTCAAAACCCACCTGCCTTTCCTTTATTTAGTTTTTTTATTTTAAGTTTGAGTGTTCAAAAAAGCGCTATATAAGTTTGATGTATTATTATCATTATTTGTGGAACATGGGTTTCCTCCTCAAAGCTGATTGTGTTTTTTTACAGAAGTTTGATCATTATGAGTCGACAGTGCGTTAAAACAAATCAAGTTATGCCCAGTTAAAACGGTCCATCGGCTTTGGTTCCGTCAGCTGTTGGTTAAGTTTGGCCGATATGTGGACAAATGTACTTTCTTTTCAAATGTAGCTGGTGGGGTTTATACATTTGCGCTTACTTGTCCAATCCACTTTATCTCTATAGCACATTTTATAAAACACATTTCCAAAGTGCTGTACAGACAAAAGTCCAGCAAGTATAGTAAAAAGATCTATAAGAGACCGTGACAGCACAGACTGAAAAATGTGACATCACCAAACACATTGTAATATCGATATGAAGATTGGCCTTCTCTGCATGTCGCTCCTTCTCTTGCGTACGGTGCTTGAAAACCACTGATTAGAGGCATTATACCGGTAAACACGGCCCCCTCCTGCACCTAAAGTCTGAATCCGAGCTCAATCTGTTCATATCTGGCTCATGTGTGCTTCATTGGCATCGTCACGGCGACAGTCACATCCTTCTGACAGGGCGCGCTGAAGACGATGGCAGGTTATCGACACGGACGGCCACGCTCTGCCTGTCCGAGCGGAGACGACAGGTCAGGACGCAAATACACCGGGACAGAGCCATCCAACGAGAGACCCACTGAACGGGGAACAGAGCATTTATGCAACACCGAAGGAGGTGCAATGCTGTAGGGCTGCCCGTCTGTCGTCGTTTAGATAAAGTAACCGGTCGATGGCTGCTTATTTGACCAATTATTGACTGTTCGATTGCAAGAATTACTGTGTGAAAACGGCAAAAAGGTGATGTGGAAGATAGGGAAAGATGGAGGAAAGATAAGGTGCAAGATAAGGTTGCCATTTATTAATATTTAGACTGATCAAACTCCCAATTTCATCAATTTTTGTATCCATACTGCTGTACAACCAGTCACCGCAGACTTACACTTTATTTGCTTTGTCCTTGTATATATTGTATATTCCCAGATGTTTAGTTTTTCTCACAATATTATCGTATTATATAATGTTTATTTTCAGTCTTAATTTAATGCTGTTTTTATTTGTTTTATGTGAAATATGCAAGCTACTGTGACAACGCAATTTCCCTTGTCTGTCTAAGTCTAAGCCTTAAGTATTAATTGTTAATTATTTCTGTGATTTTTATTCCTAGATAGTTTTGTGAGTGGTTAGGGCCAGGTACCTATCATATTTATAACATCTGCCACATCCCCTTTATAGTAAATCATTTTAATTTGATTTTGGTACAATTTAATTCAGTATGGCCCTTAAATCAAAACAGCGGTTGTCTTGGAGGACTTAACAAAGTTCTTGATTTGCCAACATCGGAGAATCAAACAGTTTGAAACAGAAAAAGCAAAAATAACAAACACATACAGTAGGAGCCTGTGGTCTAGAGAGTGGGATGACCAATGTCTGTAAATATTAATAAATGTGTATAAATGTCCATAATAGTCCTAGATCTTCACTGTCTTTAGACTCTCCTACACCAGCAAGGAATGACGCATAAAAAAACCCAGTGGGGGGAATTTTTAAAAACTATTTATTGTTTAATATTGATCAAACAGCACTGAGGGAAGTTGTCTTAACTTGGTGCAGAGTGACTTTGAGAGGTAAAGGAAGCAGACAGACTGTCAAACTCTGTACAAGCCCATCCACAAACACAACTGACAGCTGTAAACATGTGCGGACACCTCAGGTCCGAGTCGAGACCTGGACTGAGACCTGGACCGCCACTAGACCAACAGCACCGGAGGACATCCGTCGCCTCCACGTCCTCCTCGTCCTCCTCTTTCAACTTTGATTACTGTTTGGCTGTATGGTCCATCATGATAGGGATCCCTGCTTCCTACTATACAACAAAGTCTGCAAACATCATTCACACTGTTTAAAATCATCTAATTGACAGGTGCATTGTTCACATTTCCACAGATAAAAATCAAGATCAATCTTTTTTTATTATTGTTCATCCGTTATCCCATTGTATCATGGTGTGATAATGGGTCCCCTGAATGATGGGAACCTGGACCTATGAACTGGTCGCCCCCCCCCCTGTCTGGATTAGTGGTCTGCACCGCTCTCTCCCTGCTTGGGAACTTCTTCAGTCCAGGATATACAGACTCCTCAGTCCTGGATCTACAGCCTGTTCGTCCGTGGGAGTAGTAGTAGCAGTCGTGTAGTTGTAGAGGTTCGGTAGGGGTAGAGGTAATGGTAGTAGTTGAAGCAGCAGTAGCCGTAGTAACAGTAGTAGTAATAGTAGCAGCAGAAGTAGTAGTAACAAGAGTAGTAGTAGTAGATTCAGATTCATTTATTTGCCATTTGCAGTAAAACCACATTGGAAAAACTGTGCAAGACTACCCCAGTGTGCACCAGTAGTGGAAGCAGCAAAAGCAGTAGTAGTAGTAGTAGTAGCAGCAGTAGTAATAGTAGTAGTAGTAGCAGCAGCAAAAGTAGTAGTAGTAGTAGTAATAGTAGTTGTAGCAGCAGCAATAGTAGTAGCAGTGGACTTTTATTTAACCTGGAAAATCCCATAGAGATTTATTTTCCATGGGGGTCCCGGCCAAGAGCCTTTCACTACACTACCAATACATTCTGCTACTAGAAATAATAACAGAAGTGGTAGGCGTATCTAGGGGTACTCATCATCCAGTCAACTAAGAAGTTCCATCTTTCCCTCTGCCCTTTTTGACTGCATCGATTGCTTTGATGAAAATGTCTGCCATCCGACGCGAGCCGAGGCGCGCTGCGTGGCCGTGAGCGACGAGTCTACCTATTGTGGTTAAGTGTTAAGTGACAATCTCTGGCGTGACATCTGTGTGAAAAGACAAAACAAAAACATCTTGATTCCCTCTAAAAGCCGCTGGATGTGCCGGTCCGCTTTGTGATCGGAGTCGCTTTAGAAACGCTCTGAGCCGGAGACAAAGGTCCGACCGAATGCTCTCCTTGTCTCACCGGTTTCCAGCGCTTTATTAACCTTCAAAACGTGACAAGAACAAGTCATTGAAACACTTCACGCTATTTACTAAGATGACGACTGTAGTCAATCAATGAATCAATCAACTTTTCTCTGTAGAGCGCCTTCCCTACACAAAGCAACACAAAGCGACTTACAGTATATCACATAAGGCAAAAATCATAAACATTCAAATCTACATAAACGGTACAAAATATGATTAAAAATGAGCACATTAAGATCACAAGAAATATTAAAAGCATCCAAAATAAAATCAATAAACATAATACATTAAAAGAGTACAGATAAAATCCTTCAGTTGTATATACAGCTAAACAGACCTGTTTATGACCTGGATCATCTTCAACAAAGTAACTGCTTTCATTTTTATACAATAGGACCAGGAGTCAACAACCATGGGAGCTACCAGTGGCTCACCACATCCCCTCTGGTAGCTCCCCAAAGGATTTAGACATTAACAAATCTAATAATGTGCTGAATGTTATATATTTCCAAATGTGTTATTCACTTTCTCACAACTATTGTAAACGTAAACTTACTTTGTGCAGTAGTAACAAATATGTGATAAATGACTATTGATAGTAACCAAATCTCAGGCTTTCACCAATTTATCAACTAATTTTTAAGGGAGTAGCTCTCTGCCATTTTTGTTGCAAGAAAGTGGCTCTCCGGGGAGAAAAGGTTGGCTGCAATAGACGGTATATGTGAAGGTGACGCCTGCAAAGTGCGAGCTTTAATGCGGAAAATGCAGATTTGAACATAAGCTAGCTGTAGCTAATTTCCTTATATACTGACATAACTTTGCATCATACCAGGAGCAGCCATCTTATTAAGACCTTTGCTATGGCAAGCAGGCGTTTCCCCCACGAATGAAGATTGGTAAAATCCTTATATGGCTCATATGTGGATTTACAAAGACAATAATATATATATATATACACATAACATATAAATACCAGAATAACAGAGAACGCTGAAACACAGAATTTTTTATCCTGAAATGGTGAGTGTGACACAAACGGGGCGAGAGGAGTATACTTTTCAGCGTAAGTCAGCAGCAGCCAGTTGAAGCAAAACTTTGTCCATGAGCACTTCCCTAATGGGCTTCATTGAGCTAGTGGGTTAGCGCTGTCCATCCATACACAGTCTATGCTTACGCCCCGTAAAGTGAACTTAATTCTGTGAAAAATGACAAAACAAAAACTGCTATGACCGTTTTGTGATTGACATCTCTTTAGAAAAGCCCCTGAGCTGGAGAAAAAGACCCGACCAAATCAATGGTTTCAAGCGCATTATTAACCTTCAAACATGACACAAGAACAAACGCTCTTTACCGCGAGTCAATATGGCCTCTGTGTTAATTTCCACCATGGCACTGCTTTCATTTGTATACACAGTTACACACGCAGCCGGCAGCAATAAAACCTGCTCCCTTTGCATGTTTATTCCTGTCATTTTTGTTAGCAAAGAGCACGGCGCAACGCAAGTTCAAACCGTATCACGAGCGGCGACACTTAGCATCCAGTTAAGAGCTATTTCAGGGACGAGTCGTGTTTCCTGCGGCAAAACAGCGTGTCAGCACCTCTCTGCTATTAGCGCTTCAGTCTGGGCCATTAGCGGCTAACGAGCGGCTAATGAGAACGGGCCGCGGCAAATGGCACAAATGTGGAGGTAATCGGCTCCCGGAGAGGGGTACTTGACGACGCAGCGGAGGAGCGCCGGTCCTTCACGCCGATAATGAAGGAGAGTTTTAAAAATGGTAGGCGAGGTGAGGCTGAACAGGAAGCCGGGAGAGGCGGAAAGGCGCTAAAGTGAAGATGAGTTTGATCAGAGGCAGAAGTGACAGAATTATAGACCTGTAGGAATAGAAACAAGGAAAAGTATGCATGCGTGATGTTGGGAAATAACAGTGATTTTGGTTCATTGCATTTATAATGAAATTTGGACTTGCATTAACCTCGTTTAATAACTTTTTTTTTTAAAGCAAGGGACAAGACATTTTCATATTAACAAGATGGTGGTATTCAAGATTTGATTGAAAGTCTTAAATCAGCGAATGTACATAGGGTAATTGTATTTCCTGGTTGGAAACGAGTAGGTTTAATGTAGCATAAACACAACACATTGGTTGTGAATTCACAAAGATAGAAATATAAGAAAATACTGGTAGAAACTCTTACCTGACACTCGTAATCAAAAGGCCAATCCTGTTCTTGTGTCAAGTCACAATCCTCTGTTACTTTAAACGGTATTTTAACTGCATTTTAACAACATTTCAACAGTTTTCTAGCGGTAATTTAACAGTGTTTCAACTTTATTTTTACACTATTTTAAACTGTATTTTTAACTGTACTTTATCAGTATTCTTGTATTTTAACAGTATTTTAACTTGTAATATAATGGTATTTTCACTTATATTTTAACAGTATTTTTACTTGTACTTAACAGTATTTTTAACGATATTTCAACTGTATTTTAACAGAATTTTTAATTGTACTTTATCAGTATTTCAACTTATATTTTAACAGTATTTTAACTTGTATTTTAACTGTAATTTTAACAGTATTTTAACAGTATTTTTAACAATATGTTAACAGTATTTCAACAGCATTTTCAAATGTATTTTATCAGTTTTTTTATCAGTATTTTAACTGTATTTTAACTTGATAATTTTTACTTGAGATATAAGGCGACCTTGAGTATCTAAAAAGTTTGAGACTGGCTGGGACAGGTGCTTCACTTACTGATGGGGGACGTGGTCTTCTGGTTGATCCCTCTGCAGTTCAGGCTCTTGTTTTGGAGCGGGGGCACAGGTTTGTAGGACTGTCCCGTGGCTCGATACATGGCCTGGACCCACAGCACCCGGTCCTGCTCGTCGTCACAGGCGAACATCACCAGCTCGCCCTCCCGCACCGCGTTGAAGAACACCCGGCCTCCCTGCAGACCTGCGCCGGAAACAAAACCATACTTGGTCAATGAGGACAAGTATTAGCAATCTTTATTCATATACTGTAGCGCCTTTCACAGACCAGAGTCACAAAGCACTTTACAATTGTGGGCATTTGTCTCTCACCCCACACAGAGAGAAGGGAGTGAGATACAGTACAGGAGGCGCATGCCAGACTAATTGTGCGTGTTTTTAGTGGTAGGGGAAACCGGAGCACCTGGAGGAAACCTACACAGACACAGGGAGAAGAAGAAGTGACACACCACTCAGAAAGACCCTGTTCCGACCGGGATTCAAACCCAGGACCATCTTAATGAGAAGGGAGTGCTATCCACTCAGCTACCGTGCAGAGTCAGAGAAGACACTAAAATCATCATCATCTGCACAGAAAAGTGGCTCTCTTTGGTCGGCTGAAGTAAAAACTGATTTTATAATTCGAAAAATATACAAACATTAACAAGTTCAAAGTACAGGAGCTCAATGTTGGCAAAAATCTACTTTATAAAATCATAATTGTTTTGCTATGTTTTTTTATATGAAGTAGGGGCATCAAAATAGTAGAAAGGGCCGGCGTGGTTGCAAGTTTTCATTCCAACCAAGCAGGAATAATAATAGACTCGACCCATTTCCTCAGGTCTCCAGTTTAAAGTAACTTGAGAAAATGGGTGGAGTCTGGTGTGCTCCTGCTTGGTTGGAATGAAAACCTGCATCAACACATGCCATTTGAGGAACGGTTATGACCCCTGGTTTAGAGATTATTTAGAGAGATCTGTTCAGCTACAATCAAGACACATTTCAGTCCTGGTAATTAGAGTCAGTATTCTAGTCTAGTGTTGACCGAGCGTCACTTCAAACACTTACCTTTTCTGTTGACGTTTCTACTTGCCATAAATGATGTCGAAACTGCTCAGGAGCTCAGGAGCTTATGAGAAATGTATTGTCAGTGAGGTATAAGTGTGAGGTTTTGTTTATGTTATTGTAGTGTATCGGTATTGTATCGTTTTGTGTGTGTGCATGTAACCAGGGACTGCCGACAGATAATAGCGCTGTAGCTATAATCTGGGGGAGACCATACCTGTCTTTGAGCTTAATGTTACTGTCCCTTTAGAATGAAGACTGAGCTGACAATGAGCAACAAATACTACAGTTACAGTACTTTCTGGACTTTCGACAGCACCAGCCAAATTTCAAAAGAACGTAATTTTTTTCCACATATAGGCCGCAGGTTTTCATGTCCAGCTGATAGACTACTGTTTAAACTGGAGACAAGGTGACTTTTAACTCAAACAAAGTACTCTGGTAAATCCAGTCTATTTGGAGAATATAGTCCCTACTAAAATGTTTGTAATAATAAAAAGTCCATATACTCTGATTTAACAATAGTTCCCTGATTTCACTGAGCTCTTTCTCTTTCTGAGCTCTGGAGGTCAACAGCTGGAGGTAGAGTTGTGTCCAAAAAATTTAAAATGACATTACCCGTATCTCTAAATAGGCCCCAGATTTCTAAGAACTTGAAACAGGTAGCGGCTTATAGTCCACCATGTAATGTGTTTTTCTCATGAGATTTCCAGAGTATTTGAGTATCCAGTTTCAACACAAAAATTGCTATTATAAAAGTGTTTCAACTATAGTAGTAGATGATTACTTTTTGTTTTGTTTTTGGGTACAGATTTTAGTTTTTGGTCCTGCCCTGGTCCTGTGTGTGTGTGTGTGTGTGCATGTGTCTTTTCTTTTGTTCCAATGATTTCAAAATTTAAAAAGTTACCGGGCTGAGGGTCGCAGTAGTCCACGGTGTAGCCCTCCAGCTGCATCAGCTCCTGCGGTTCAGCCTTCTTCTCTCTGTAGCTGCACATGGCGAAGGTGTACTGGCTGACCTGACGGGAGAAAACAAACGATCCAGGTTTAAGGCTATGGAGCTCAACCAAACTGTGTGTAAATCATAGACTGTAAAAGAGAATGGACAGAGTCACGCCTATCTCCGCTGTTCTAACTAATGGGCCAAAAAATTTGCTCTACTGGAGCTATCCAAAATGGCCGCGAGTGGTCCCGCCCACAAGAAAATTGTGAAAAAACGCATCTGCGCATGCGTCAGCCGGTGCAACTCCATTCATTTGAACGAGAGACTTCCAAAATTCACAGCGAGTAAACTAGAGTGGTCCAAAAAAATCCACCCCCCTCAGCATTGACACACATGTGGAACGGAGCTTTGGGCCAAGAACCAACTTTTGGACCATCCTGTAAAGACGTTTTTGAGCGGTCACCTAATGCTATATGTTAGCATTGGCTAATTCTACTTCTGGGTCCACCCCCATCGACCCGGGGTGGTATTGCAAGCATGTCAGCGCACGTCATTTTGGCCACATTTGAGCCGGGACCAGCCTCCACTGGTGTAAATGCATGTTTAAACTAGTGATAGAACTGTTTTGAGAGCGATAAAAACTTTCTACTTTTATTGGAAGATTTTTCCCAGCACCATTTTTATTTTTCATTATTGTTATATTTGCTTCTCATATTGGAGTACGTAATTTTGCAGTCAACTATGTCATTAAATCCATGCTCACAAAACGGTTTTGTTCTGTGTGTGTTTTGTATGTACAGATTTTTCAGAGAGAAACCCAAAAAAGAGAGTACCCTCACTCCGCCAATCAGCTCACAGGATGTAAAGGATAAAGTTTATTATTTCAAGACAAAGACATCGTGTTGTGGGCTCATTTGTTATTTCAAAGTTACTTACGGACGACACATTCTGTTGAGGTAACCAACTAGTCCCAAAAAAAGTTTGGTCGTCCATCTTTAAGCTTCTAGTACCATCAAATATAAAGAAATAAACAACTACACACACTATACAAAGTTCCATGTAAGAATATAGGGCCTCTACCAAGTGTGTTGCCATACAGTTGAGAAATGATAATAATTTTAAAAAGTTTTGACAGTAAAATTCTCTCTAAAAGAAGCAAAATTGGCTCTGAACTCACCACGGTCACAGTAAATAATTAGAAAGTTTGAAGAGGGGAGAAGTGTATTGGGACCACTGACATTGAACTAGTTTTTGGCAATTACAAGACGGCAAAAGTCGATAGAGAAATGTGGATACAATTTTCTTACGCTTACCATATCACAATGACAAAGGGAAAATACAAAGGCAAAAAATAATTCAATAATGAAGCTAGAGTGAAGGTTCAGACTGGAAGACTGACAACTTTGCGTGTGCACAAATTATAACTTTATTTCATGTTCAGGGTTCAATATTGAGTAAGTAAGTGCACCTACATTACTTGCAATGAATGACTTACTTAATATCTCTAAAGAGCATTTTTACAGATCAAAGTCTCCAATCAACACCATCCATTCACTCACTCAATACATTCAGGACCTATTGTTCATGTATTTTAGTGGTGAGAACGTGCAAACTCCACTCAGAAAGGCCGAGATTCAAACCCAGGACCTTCTTTGCTATTCATTCAGCCAATAGAAATCATTCTTGTATACCCATGTCTTTAGAGTCTCAATTAAAGACTAATTGATGGAGTAGAGAGTAATATGCATTTTCCAACCATTAAATAACATATTTTGTTTTAAGCAAGAGGGAGAGCGGTGAGTAGTGGGTTGGGTTTGCGAGTCATGTGTCGTCTGGATCCCGGGGCAAAAAGCTCGACTTGAAGGGAAAGAAGAGACGCTACTTACTTTATAATATTAATAATAATGCATTGGTTTTATATAGTGCTTTTTTGATACTTAAAGACGCTTCATATGTCATTATTTACTCACGGTGGTGATAAATTACTACTGTAGTGACGAGGCAACCACTAAATGCCGTCGGCCCCTCCGACCACCACCAACCGTTCACAAACACCAGACCCATGCTAGGGTGTTGATGAAGTGTCTTGCCTAAGGACACAACTGCAGTTTGGCAGTTGTTTTCGCCCCACTGTGGCACCTGGTGTTCCCAGAGGTTAATTGTCTCACTACAGAAGACATCAGTGGGAGTCTGTGGAGAAAGTCTTGTGATGGGCTCGAACCCACAACCTTCAGGCTCCAAGGCCAATGTTCTACCAACAGAGCCACTGTCGCCCTTTAAAGGAAAAATCCTTTATCGTCACGGGACAATATGTAATATGATAATAAAGGGTTTTTACTTCAAAGTCAGTTGTGGCTCCAAACTCTTTTGTCCGTTGAGTCTCTCTGGACTGAAAAAATACCAGTACATTCGAAAGCAAATGATTAGTAAAGCGCTAATGTCAAACCAAAATCACTTATACTTCACATTTACAGATCGAGTCAAATGGACGCACCTGCACAAGAACAAAATATCTTCGTTTCCAACGTTTCCAAACCCGCTGACCGAGCGCATAGAGGTATCTGTGAAGGAAAATCACAGTCAGGACCTGTTTAAGCAACAACAGTGAACTTTCCACATCGTTTCATTGCATTTTACTTCAAGACCGATTTAGTTGAACTCTGTTATGTTCAGGACATTTCTAGGTTTGCTCTGTTTTCTTTTGAAACTGAACAGAACAAATAATTCCAGACAAACACATTATGCGTTTGTCTATTTCAGTGTAATTGAGCAAATTGGAAAAACAAGTTAGTGTTTTTTGAGAGTTGCCATGGAGATTTTTGGAAACACCTAAAAATGAACTGTTCCTCCACATTCAAACATTTAATAAGCGGCTTTTTACTAATGAGCGATTGTTAAAACAGCTGCTAAGATGTAGTTTCAGACTGTCCTCCCATTATAGCACGACATAAAGAATGAACAAAACTTTTTGGCTTCGACCTGAACCTGTAGACTGGTCGCCTTCCTTCCCCACCTGGGAGTCCTGGATCTGCAACCCTAGTCCTGGATCTACAGCCTCAGTCCTGGATCTACAGCCTCAGTCCTGGATCTACAGCCTCAGTCCTGGATCTACAGCCTCAGTCCTGCATCTACAGCCTCGGTCCTGGATCTACAGCCTCAGTCCTGGAACTACAGCCTCGGTCCTGGATCTACAGCCTCAGTCCTGGATCTACAGCCTCAGTCCTGGATCTACAGCCTCGGTCCTGGATCTACAGCCTCAGTCCTGGAACTACAGCCTCGGTCCTGGATCTACAGCCTCGGTCCTGGATCTACAGCCTCGGTCCTGGATCTACAGCCTCGGTCCTGGATCTACAGCCTCGGTCCTGGATCTACAGCCTCAGTCCTTGATCTACAGCCTCAGTCCTGGATCCACAGCCTCAGTCCTGGATCCACAGCCTGAGTCCTGGGTCTACAGTCCGAGTCCTGGGTCTACAGTCCGAGTCCTGGGTCTACAGCCAAACCTGTTGTGAGAGTGGATCGCTCTCTCAATACAGGCCTACCTGAAGTCCCACTTTTTTGTTGTCGTTCCTTGCTCTGTAAAGTCCTTGAGACAAGATGACTGATAGGGCAATACAAAAACAGATTGAACTGATAATCTTGCAATAATCAGAAATAACTGTCACTAAAAGACAAATCTATTATAAAGTTTGGATGATCAGTGAGCTGTCAGTAATATAAAGTAAAACATTATTCAACAGACAAAAACTTACAGTATAATAATGAAGAAAATTAACTTGATCTAATTGTAGCGGGTTTTACAATATAAATAATTATATTACCGACACATTATTTGGCCATGACATTTAAAACATTTTTTTATTTAATATATAGCTTGATAATAGGTTAGTTGCAGTGTGCTCTCCAGTTGTATTATACAGAATACGCATGGCTTTTGACAGCCGCAGCAGCCGTGAGTTCGGGTGGTTAGAAAGAGTATAAAGTGTGTGGTGAGGGGTTTTACAGCCTTAAACCATACACAGCTGCTAATTCATGGATTTTGGTCATTGCGGGTTATTTTTAGAACGTAACCCATGCAATAAGCGAGGGACCACTGTATCGGTGGTGCTGAAGTTGGCTAGATGACACTGTGAAAGTGCCTCAATGGCCACGTAAAATGACACAGCTGTCTGCATTTGTCCCGTGGGCCTGAGTTTGGACATGGCAGGTTTAAGAGGTCACTACACAAATCCAATCTCAATTCAACAAAAAAAAAAAAAAATCCTGCCTCTTCTCCCTTGACCCACTGTTGCATTGACAGCCAACCTTGAATCTTGCCCCTCTCAAATGCTCCCAAGTAAAAAAGCACAAAGCGGATGGTCAGTGCGGATGAATGGGAGCTTGGAGAATGACCAGCGTCGGCCTTTCCCAATCAATGCGTGCTCCGGGCGGCTGCAGAAGCGTGGGACACACACAAGTGCAAGTGAAGAAAATCAATGTTCCTCAGCCCTATTGCCCGGACGCACACAGGACGGGCCCAGTCAAGGCTGTCAGGGAGAGGGGAGGAGCGGGGACCGGTGTGCACGGCCTTATCATGGAGGAAAACAGCTCTCAGCTTGGTATGGGCAATCTAAATGTATATATAGTAACAGTTTTCTTATTTTTAATGACAAAATTCAGATTTGAATGTTTGGTTGTATGTGTTTTGCCTCTCACCATTTTCTTTTTTTGATTAACCCTGACTCAAACATCAAAAGGACAGCATTGATAAAGTTTTTGCACAACTCACAAGTTTGCATATTATCATTTAGTACTAGTTTCTTTTGCAAATACACGGGGAAGATGCCTGAAGTCTCAAATTTAAAATAGTTTAACTTACAAAAGGCAGTTACTTTGGTTGAAAAATTTTGACAGTTGGAAAAATTTTCTGTGAAATTTTAATCATACATTTTCACAAAGTTCACAAGTATGTGGTTTTCTATCAGCATTTATTTAATTCCTAAAAAGAGTGTTCAATCATTTTAGAATCTGTAATATGAATATTTTGCTATGAGTCAATGCGGGAATTTGAGCAGAGATTAAAGGCGCTATACCCGTTTCTGCAATGTTTGAATGTTTAGCACCGCCCCCCAACTCGCTCAATGGCTTCTCATTTCCCCTACGCTCTCATAACACAGAGCCACCTAGTTTTATTTGCGATCTGATACATATGTTAACATTAGCATTAGCGCAACTTCTTGTAAGCTGTGCAACAATCACCGATGAAATGGTACTAAAGCAACGCACTGCTAACACAATATATAAGTAAAAGAATACCGCTAGTTTCGCATCCGAATGTATTAATTTAAAACCTTAGAATATATTCTAATATTTAATTATAATTTGTTATAGAGCTCCTCAAAGCAGCAGCAGCAATTCTTCCGATCATGTTTTCTTGATAACAGAACTCTCAAACCAATAATGACCGAAGCCCCAATGCAACCTCTGTTTGTAATTCAGGTGTGTAAAATACTGCCATTACTTTGCAAGTACAACAAGCTATCAGCACCTGTCACTACATTGTGCAGTTTTTCTGCACACTTGTCTGTGTAGAGAAGCCAACGGAGCTAGCGGAGCTAGCCACGCTCAATAAACAACTACATATCTATCAATCAACACCATTAAACGTCAATCGGACAATACAGTACACATATACATCCTTAACACACATGCACGGATGATTTCAGAATTTGATGTTAAAGTTTTCATGACAAAAATACTGTTTCAATGTGAGAAAAAGCGATTGCGAAAAACCCGGAAGTTACCATGAAACAACTAGCTAGCTTAGCTGTTACCTGCCTAGCACGTCCCGGTGAAACCTTTGGGAGCTATTTTATTTGCAGTCATTAAATACATTTCGAATTACAAGGGTTGTCTAATATTTGTTCACATTTTTTTATTCAATTATTTTGTTCATCATTTTTTATTTTAGAATTATATTCGAATTTTGAAGTCGAAGCCCTGGTGTTAAGCAGCGCTGTAGAGACTAGAGGACGCAGGCTGGTCTCTGCTCGTTCTGTGAGCGGAGGAGAAAGAGCGGCCCGCTCAGACTCTACTCAGCACTTTTCACTGCTTGTAATTCTTACACAGCTGAATCAATGACCTCAAGTTTTCAATTAAATGATGTATTATGATACAACTTGTATGTAGTAAAAAGCATTTTTATGAACTACTTAGAAAAAAAATCGGGTATAGCTTCTTTAAGAGAATTTAAGCAGGCTCTCTCCCTCACTGTCAACAGGACGTATTACATGGCACTTTACCAGTATCCATGCCGTATAAACAAGATTATGCCGGTAAGAAAATATGGAAAATTCTGCATTTTCAAAAACCTACCAGTTCTTACCATTACCTGTACATTATAGATTTGCACTAATAATAATGATAATGACAATAATTATTAATAATAAGAATAATAATGCATTTGTTTTAAAAAGCACTTTTCAGGGCACTCAAAGATGCTACACATGTCAATCTTTCACCACATAAACAGTGGTGATAAACTACAACTGTAGCCCCAGCTGCCCTGGGGCACACTGACAGAAGTGAGGCAACAAGTATGTGCCACCAGCCCCTCCGACCACCACCAACCATTCACACACGAGACTCATTCAAATGTGGGTGAAGTGACACAATGACATTTTGGCACTGTGGCATCTGCTGTTCCCAGAGGTCTCCCATCACAGTACTAACCAAGCTCTGCCCTGCACAGCTTCAGAGGCACTGTGTTAAGCCTTAAGAGTCAAAACAGAAACGTGTGAATGAGGAGGTTAAATCTAGTTCCCCTGGCAGGTGGGTCAAATCTGCTTTTGCGTCTGCTCAGTTTTTGGTTCATAATAACATTTCAAATAAAGTGCTCGATATAATAACACGTAAAGCTCTGTCTTAGATACAGTCTCTCCTCCATGGCCTTGGACCAATTCTGATCCGAACCGAAGATGAGTCTCGTATGAACAAACAGGGACTCTGAAGAGCACAGGGACGGCCCTTCTGCTGGTGCGAGAGTCAGGACTAAACGTGGGGAGGCCGCATTTCAGATTTATGCAGCTGAAATCTAGAGCAGTCTTCCTGAAAATGGGAGACGGACTTCTACTCTGAAAATGTTCTAATCCAAAAAAAAACTGTTCTGTTTAGCTGTGCAGACAACTGAAAATGTTTTACCTTCACTCTTGTTAATGCTCTGTGATTATTTATGTGAGACAGGCCTCCTCTCTGACAATGTTTAAAACCAGGTTAAAGACAGTTCTGTTTAGCTGTGCATACAACTGAGGGATTTTATATTTTTAGCTTTCTTTTTAATGTTCTGTGATTATTTATGATTTTAATGCTTTCTTGTTTTGTTCAGCACTTTGAATTGCCTTGTGTATGAATTGTGCTATATAAATAAACTTGCCTTGCCATTGATTGAGAATATATTTTTAACCTATACCATGTTTGCAAACTTCCTGTCTTTGTACACAATCTGAGTGATACTATCTATGCAAAATGTGACAGAGCAGAGAGACCAGAGAGAGACCAGAGAGAGAGAGAGACCAGAGAGAGAGAGACCCGATAGAGACCAGAGAGAGAGACCAAAGAGAGACCCAGAGAGAGAGACCAGCAAGAGAGACCAGCGAGAGAGACCAGAGAGAAAGACCAGCAAGATAGAGACCAGAGAGAGAGAGACCAGCGACAGAGAGACCATGGAGTACATTTCTCCCATTGTGAGATCAATAAAGTTTTTTCCTATCTTATCTAACCATCTTGTTTTGTTCAGTTTGAGTTGTCTTGTGTTTGAACGGTGCTTTACACCTGCCTTGCTTTATCGTTCCCATGATAACACATTTTCTCTGCAAAGATTCGGTTTGGAACCTCCACATTCGATGACCCCAGAGCAGCTTTTACCCGTCTTTGCTCGTATTTACCAGTCCCCACAGTGTTATGCTAACTCCACTTGTGCTAAAATGGGCCGTGTGGGTCTGTCACAGATGGTGGTGGCACCTGGAGCAGGTAAATGGCAGAATGTGACTTTCTTTCTTGTTACATAGATATCTTCATACAGTTAATGTCTGCTGCCACTAGACCTGTGCAAGTGATGTCCAACACTGACCCCTAGTGGAGGAGAGAACAGCCGCTCATCACAACACAATATGATGGAGACTCAGACATCACGGTACAGTGGATGCATTTGAGAAGAGACTGGATGTGCAGCTGGAAGAGCCTTAAAAACACTTTCTGAGAGTGAAACTTTATCATTTTATACTTTGTTATTATGCCTTGTTCTATTCACTACTTTTGACTTGTTTGCACGTCTGTGACTCACTTACATGGCAATAAGAATGATTCGGATTCCGACCTGCATCATTCCACTCCAATAGACAGCTAAAACCATACTTGAAATATCTTTGAATTCATATAGTCAATGAATCATTAATTTACATGATGCACTTCGCTATTATCTATGAACCATAATCTGCAAACAATTAATATAGTGTATTATTGACGTGTCTGGGGTCAGATTCCCATCCAGGAGATTTAAGTGAAATTTAGGTCCTCCACATTTCAATGTCTTCTCCGTCAAAATAGTGGGGGCCTGTTACGGTGAGGCTGAGGACATGGCTCAAAGGTAATCAGGTGTGAAATCATTATGCAAATAGTAAATACTTGTGTGTAGTCTATATTGTGTCTCTTTGTGATTAAGGGGGTTACATTTGACTTGTATTTAAAATGCTAGCTGCAGTAGTCTATTCTATGCATGTATCCAGTAAACCTGCTGTCACTTTCTCTCTGTCCAGGGACTACGAATGAAAATTGGCTCCTACCTCTGTCCAGTCTGTACAATAAATGTTTTGTGCAATGTCCTTGTCAACTAAATGAATAAATACACATCTATTCTTTGCTCTGGGAAACAAAACCATGGTTCCCAACCGTGCTGTCAGTCACCAGCCAAGAAAACCAGCCTTTGGCGCCATCTCCTGGTGGATACGATGAACTGACTGAAAACCAGACGACTCAAACATAAGATTTGTCTTAAAATAAAACTCATGTTTATCCTGAAGAGTATATTTTTAGATTCAAAATAATGAGTGTCCTGATCAATATCTCAATCAATATAGGAAATAGACCAATAATCCAGAATAACTAATCAATAATCAATAATCAAATACATTTGCAATAAACTCCTTACACAATAAAAGTCATTTCGATTCAAACAAACAAAGAAAAAGTGATATAATTATATCTTGTCCTAAATTAGTTTTGATCTCCTCGTTCACCAAAAGAGGGCGCTGTCGGTCCATAAACAGACATGGTCCTCTCACAAGATTCACTACTAGCTCCTTGAACACCAAACAGAACAAGAAAACCACAATGTAAGATGTCTTTTGATTAACTGATCTGTTGTTTTCAGTCTCATACTTTTGAAAGGGCACAGCAACAAAGAGAAGATATGTTTTTCACCAGATTAAAGCGAGAAAGCTAGTTTCCATCTGCAGTACCTGTTTACATGGAAAAAAATACAGTAACATCTAAAATCTAAATAGAACAGTGATACATCTTCATGCTCCGTCTAAAATGTGGGATTAAAATCTGATCAAATCCAAGTAAAAAACTATTTGGTTTAGCTGCGCATACAACTGAAAGATTTTACCTTCACTCTTGTTAATGCATTGAGGCTATTTAAATCATTAGTAAAATCTGCTATTTGTTCACTTAAAAATTAATCACAAAAATGAATGACACACTTTGGTTTCATGGTTTGTGGCTTTTCTCCCAGTGTCATGTGGTCTGTTTCATGGAGTGATGATGATGAGACTTTTGAATCCAGCCTCTTTCATATGCACCTGCGGACTGGTCTCCCCCGGCCCGGACTTGTGAGCTGCACCCCCCTCCCTGCCTGGTAGCCGTCTCTGTCCTGGATCTACAGCCTCAGTCCTGGACCTACAGCCTCAGTCCTGGATCTACAGCCTCAGTCTTGGATCTACAGCCTCAGTCTTGGATCTACAGCCTCAGTCCTGGATCTACAGCCTCAGTCTTGGATCTACAGCCTCAGTCCTGGATCTACAGCCTCAGTCCTGGATCTGCAGCCTCAGTCCTGGATCTACAGCCTCAGTCTTGGATCTATTGTTTGTTCGTCTGTGGGAGCAGACGGACAGACGGGGAGTAAGGCCTCCCCAAGGGTTTTCTAGTTCTTGTTCTTTGCAAATGCAGGAGGGCCTATATGGATAATGAGCCGGGACATTTCTGGACATTTATTAACATTTATCAACATTGGTTAATCTGCTATGTGTTTGTAACTATTGCATTTCCTATGTTTCAACGACAACATTGTAAAGTCCTCAGAGACTACTGCTGTTGTGATTCAGTGCAATACAAAAATGAATTAAATTGAATTCCTTCCATTCAATGTAAAAATACTGCTTCCACTGACCCACTGTGCTTCATGTTGGGAGGCTTGTCCATTCGAACGGCCAGTTTGATCTTCAGCTCTGTGTCCTGACTGTTTTTTGGGACAACCATCCGGTGAAACTCTGCCTGTTTGGGTCCGTTTGTGGTGGGGTTCAGCACCACCTGTGGAGAGGCGTCAGAGAGAAGGGAGCATCTCAGACAGGAACACATTCACTTTCACACATACATACACTCTTATGTAGCCTCAGAGTTTTCCAGCACAATACAACTGAACATTTGTCTTTGCCCCCAAACATTTATTGTCTGTTTCAGAGTAGTTGACAGATAGTAAGTCGCTTTTCAGAATACAGATAGACAGACACATGACTAATTAGACATAAACAGACAGACTACATGATGCTGGTCCTCGAATGGCTTGTGTGACTGCAGGCTTGAGAAAACCTGGAGCCACACCAACACTTTTGAACCTGCCTGAAGACAAGCAACATATAACAAGAAAGCACCCTGCTATGACTTGGGCAAAGAAGCAATAATTCTGTTTTTTGACTCAAATTTGTCACCAGTCAACTGTCTAAATTGCACGCCATGCTGTCCTTTTCATCACTTGAATTGCAAAATGGTTAGTGTGACAAAAACCGTTACCGAGCTTCCACGAGTTTGCCCTACTCGGCCCTGCTCTACTCAGCTCTACCTGGTTGTGTTTCCATTACGCTTTAGTATCTGCTACAGTAGCAAAGCAACCGACCAACTACTACTCAAGGAAATTCCTTGGCAACCATGGCTTCCTGCAGCACTCTTGACTCACCTCTGTCAGTTAGAAAACTTTAGTATCAGCTCGGCCTGGATATAGAACCAGGGCCAAGAGGGACTAAAAAAGGTCCTGGTACTGGTTAAACAGGGCCGGTGGAACCACTAACAAACAGGGAATAAAGTGGAGTAGAACTGGTGGAAACTAAGGTTTAAGGCAATAGGGTGAGAATAGAATTGGAGCAAAACTTCGTCCATGAGCACTTCCTCATCGAGTTAGCGGTGTCCATCTGTGTGCAGTCTATGGTGAGGAGAAGGGTGTAGGCAGGCGGAGCACTGACCCGCCCGAGCTCCTTGTCCTCCAGCGCCAGGACCCCGGTGCTCTCCGTAAACAGCTTCACTTTGACTGAAGGCAGCGGATGAGTGGTTACAAAGTCCCCCTGTGTCCCCCACCTGCAAACACACACACACGCACACACGCACACACACAAGCATATGTAAACAGATGACCCACACTATACTTTTTAGCTGTGTTGAGAAGAACTAGGCTTAGGAGCAATTTTGCAGAAGCAGAATTGTCATTTTAAGAATAATATATATTTGATATCTTTTTTGCCTTATATTGTATTTTGGCCTCTGTCACATTTTTACATCAGCTTTTTCCGACAGACAAGAGAAAAAGAGAGGACCTCCCTCAGCCAATCAGCTCTCACCCAAAGAGTCAGATATTGCACTGAAACCGTTTTAGTCGCTCGATTTCACAGTGTCAATTGTTTATCGGATTGACACTCAGAGGTCTTTTTGACGGATATGCAAAAGACAGTTTCCCAATAAGGAATGAAGACAGCATGTGGCGGCCTCATTTGTTCACAGCATTTTACATTTAAAAGAATATAAACCACACCAGCTAAACTTAAAAAAAAAAAAGAAAAATTTTGTCCAGATATAGGCCGCACTTGAATATAAGCTGCGGGATTTCACGTCGTAATGTAACACTTCAGCTGATGGAGCAAAACAAAACATCGACAACTGTTTAAACACGACACAACAATGTGTGTAACTGCTCTTTGCTGTTTCTATTTGTTGCGTTGAAAAAATGGCTCTGGTGTGTACTATCGTCTGTCTAGTGCACAATGGGGTAGTCTTGCACAGTTTTTCCAATGTGGTTTTACTGCAAATGGCAAATACATTCTTGAATCTTGCACATGATTTAATGACGAGATGTTTAATGCACGGTTGACTTGTTACAAAGCTTTGAAAATAACACAAAGTCTGGGGAGGCAAACGTTCACTGCTAGCTTCCGCATCTATTTTGACACAAAAGGTGCATCCTAAAGCTACTAAACCTGGATGGAGAGGGGAAAAAAATAGTCCAACTGAATTCAGACAAGCCTGATCACATACAGTCCCATGTATTTTGCTAATTTTCTCGGGTCGTCTCTCCCTACTGTTCACATAAACATAGGAGATTCTCTAACCACAATAAAAATACATACATTGGCTGCATAACTATTTACATGCAGCTTAGAGAACTTGAAAAACTAGTTGAATTGATAGATAGATACTTTATTGATCCCTGTAGGAGAAATTCAGGTGTCCAGTAGCAGCAAAAATAGAAAATAAAATTGATCATTCTAAAAAGTTAAAAATAGTAATAATCAGCAACAGCCCTTCAGGTCACAGAAGCAGAGGTGGAGTAGCCTCTGGGTGGAGTAGGACGGGTCACAGCAGCAGAGATGGAGTAGCCTCTGGGTGGAGTAGGACGGGTCACAGCAGCAGAGGTGGAGTAGCCTCTGGGTGGAGCAGGACGGGTCACAGCAGCAGAGATGGAGTAGCCTCTGGGTGGAGCAGGACGGGTCACAGCAGCAGAGGTGGAGTAGCCTCTGGGTGGAGCAGGACGGGTCACAGCAGCAGAGATGGAGTAGCCGCTTGGTGGATATTACTAGTGTCCCTGATAGAGATTCAGTCACGTTGAAATATCAAGGATATGATTGATAAAAAAACTACTCCACCTCAGTCACTAAACACGTCAATATAAAATAATTCAATTAAAAAAAGATCCAAACACCAGCTGCGTGATCCTGAAGACGCTTGATTCCGTAGTTGCACTGCAGGCCTCATGGGGTCTGTTTGTAATGAGGCTGGCCTTTCACACGCTCCACCTTCACACCATCAGTCTGTTTTATGAGGCGTGAATGGTTAAAACACGTCCAATTATCTTCTCAGCCGTTCACCTGCCGACACCAGCTCCAGGTTCCCTCCGACCTTCGCTGCAATTATCCCGCACCGTGACTCTTCACTTCGGGAGCGCGGTTACAGATTGCAAGGACTGCTGCTGATTAAGGAGCACTGGAGGACATTAATTAACTTCAGATTTGCTTTGAAACAATCAAGCAATTAAGAAGGATACGAGGGTACAAGGTGTGGGTCTGCTGCTGTGGTAGGTGCTGAAAACCTTTTTTTCCTCCCGTTCGGTCTAGTCCTTTTGAGCTCTATATAGCACTCAATGTAGCCCTGTCTGTTTTGATGTATCAACTGTAGGTATTGCTGTGAGTGCCAGTAATCAATCTTAACAATTGGCGAAAATGACAACGTCTGGGATCGGGTCTTTAGTTCAGACAGAAGACATGTTTTATTGTCGATGGTAGACAGCACGGACAAAAATGTTACAGAATGCACGTGATATTATACAGCATGGAGGAATGGGGACCGTCCAATCAGCTTTCGGCACGATGCCAGTAGCTTGGTCTTAAGAAAACCAAAACAAGTAGCGGAAAAAAGTATTGCCTCGTGCATATTGTTAGACTGATGAGTTAGAACTTTAACTACAGTTGCTTCAAAGTGTCAGGAAATATCCAAACAATCTCCAATAAAATAAAAAAATCACACAGTACATTATACTTGCCCCTTTTTGTTCCAAATGTTAAAATTGTTAAACTTCTTTATTGTGTGTAAGACAGAGATTTAATACTTGTTTCTTGGATGCTAGAGTTAGAGATTTTTTTAAATTATAATTAGTATAGTTATCGTTCACTTATCTTGTTCTGTGTGCTCCTCATTCCAACAATTCTGTAACTTGTAATGCTACACTGAAATTTCCCCGCTGTGGGACGAATAAGTGTGCAAGGAGTCCAACAAGGAATCAAGCATTTCACGTGAACTAAACTGCAATTTTAGCTATAAATCTTAAGCCCCATTCCCATATCGTCTTCAATTAAACACAATTGCATTCGCTTGACAGAACTGGTCACAATAGCAGCCATCGTCAATTTTCCCCTTCCTTCACCCACTCTCTCCAGCAGCCCAGCGGCGGCAGATATTTCTGTAAATAAAAGCGATCATCATGTAAAGTCTGTCATCTCCGGACCATTAGCATGTCGGCCGAGGCGGGTGGTGTCACCGGGGGCAACGGGAGAGACGCACCTTGGGGGTTGTTACTGTGGAAAAAAATGAGGAGGCGTGGCGACGAGGAACCCGAGAAGTGACTTGTTGCTCACAGAACGGTTGGTTGTCGTGTGGTGGGGGAGAGACATTCTTAATTGATGTTATGAGGAAAGTAAAGTCTAGTTATTTTAGTAGTAAGCTGCCCTGGCTTAGCTGTTGCGGACGGTGCCTTCATGGAAACACGACCATCTCCAGATCTTGATGTCCAACTGGAACGGGGCTGGAGGGATGTATCTATTGCACATGTTTTTAGTGGTTTCAACCAGTTTAAAGCAGAGCAGGTCAGCGAGGAGCACATGCAAACTCCACTCAGAAAGGCCCTGTAGCATGTCCAAGATTCGAACCCAGGACCTTCTTACTGAAATGCGAGGGTGCCAACCACTCAGCCACCGGGATAAAAAGAAATTACCGCCTCAGATGTGTAATGTGTTGAGAAGGATATTGCATATTATATATATCTCCTCAACCTGGTCCAGACCCCTGACTTGTTCCGATCTAGTTTATAATCAGTTAAAGCTGGGGTACCTCACTTTTGAACCGCAAACAATGCAATACAATCTAACCTAGCGCTTGAGATTTTTGGTTCAATCGCTAGTTTCCACATGCATTTGTTTTTACAGTAGTAAGCTAACACGTGCAGTAGAATCATCACTGAGAATATTTGAGTATTTCAGATGTATCTACATATTCATACTTTGATTCATACACCAAATATTCAGAGTTAACTTTACATGTATACATACACTTATATATTCCTTATGTATATTAGTAGAATAGGTTAATACTTTATATGGCTGTACTTTTTATACATATTTAGGATAAAGATTTAATTTATTTTTCAAGTGTAGAGTGATATTACTTATTCACGTATTGTGTTTTTCCTAAAGCACTCTAACCTGTGATGCACCACTGACATTTCCCCACTGTGGCATGAATACAGTGTCTCCATATGAAATACCAAACAAATTAATGAGACCTGAAATAAGCTTGTTCAGGTTCATGTTGCTCGGAAAAAGTGTCAGAATTCAATGAGTGTTATTGCGCCTGTAGGTCCAGACCACATCTTGTCGCGCTCTCAGTCCTTTCTCGTCTCAAGCAGGGTCTCGAGTGCCTCCAGTCTCTCACTCTGCGCTTGTGCTGTACAGGTGTTTCTTTGAAATTGTGGAGCTGACAAAGAGTTACATGCGGCCAATTACATCCATTATATTTTCTTGTTCGATACTGATTCCTACAATTCACGGGACTTGCTGGCCTATTAAGTGCACCTGTATATACACCGCACCAGCGACCTCTGAAAAGAAAGTTAATTTTATCCACGAAGAGGCCGCAGTTGTGTATGAACCTCAAGTTTTCATGTTGAAATGTGAGTTCTAACCAACAGCAGATGGAGCGAAAAAAGAGCATGAAAATCCAGGACACTTCTTATACAGCAACCTGGCTCCTCCAAAAACATTTCTCTACATCTTTTTCTTGTATTATATTTCTGTTACTAGTTATAGTCTAGTATAGTCAAAACCTCTTTTTAAAGCGGTGGAAAAAGGCTGCAAGTCCAAAGTAGCTCTGAAACAGTTGTTTTGTGCTTTATAATTTTTTATTTTTCTTGCTTTTTTCTGCCTGAGATGTTGGTGCAGTGTTCATGGATTTACACTAGGTCCAGTGTAAAACAGCGAATCAGGTGAAAATCCAATGGAGGAATGATAACTTTTTGAAAAATGCTAGAGAAGCATTTAGCATTTTACTTTGGACCAGAGCATAGAAAATGGTCCAAACCAAGCGGCTACTCCACCTCTGCTGCTGTGACCCGTCCTGCTCCACCCAGAGGCTACTCCACCTCTGCTGCTGTGACCCGTCCTGCTCCACCCAGAGGCTACTCCACCTCTGCTGCTGTGACCCGTCCTGCTCCACCCAGAGGCTACTCCACCTCTGCTGCTGTGACCCGTCCTGCTCCACCCAGAGGCTACTCTATCTTTGCTGGTGGGACCTGAAGGCCTGTGGCTGATTAATACTATAATTAGCTTTTTAGAGTGATCAATTTTATTTTTGCTGCTACTAGACAACTGAATTTCTCCTACGGGGATCAATAAAGTATTTATCTATAGTACTCCTCCAAGTTTCAGCGCTCCATATTTTGTCCGTTTCACATCCAATTTCTGTTGCCTAAAAGGGTTAACCTAGCTGTGTTTATTAAACATTATTTATTAAACAAACATCTGTATATATTGCAATCATGTTCAATACTGAGAAAACTGACTCTACCCATAGTATATTTAACATTTTTATTCATATATCTAGATACATTTAATGCTCTTTTGGTGTATTACAGGCCTATACTTCAGCCCCTAAAGCCAAAATTAAGAAGCATTTACAGCTAGTTATCCATGTATAATTTGTGTGCTCCTTGTGTGCTTACTACTGTCCTGTAAAGGCACTGCAACACAGAAATTCCCTCCAGATTTCATCCAGTTTTTCTCACCAACACATTCTCACAGGTTACAAGGCTGAAGGAATCCCAGACCCATGAAATGTTATGAGTTAGTAAACCATCTGCTTCATGTATCCCAATCCAAAGTGCACTCACTGTGGTCTGGAGGCTTCGGCCTGGTCCGTCTGCAGCTTCTCTCCTCCCTCCACCTCCATCGTGCAGTAAACAATTCTGTTTGGAGCCATCGACTTCAGGCCCTGCACTTCTATGATCACTATCTGTGGGCAACAGCAGCAACAACAAGGATCAAACAAGTTTAGATATCGCATCAAGGTGGAATGCCAACAGAAATACATTTATTCATTCGACAAGTGGTCCTTTGTTTATTGCAGGGGTTACGTTCAAAAATAAACCCAAAGTAAGCTAAATCCGCAAAATAGCAGCTCTATGCTTTAACCCTTTAACATTCACTCCTTGAAGAAAGCAATGTCACTTTTTCTTTTTGGGATAATTCTAAGATGTAGGAGCACAAACAATACAAACAAAAAACAATGTTAACTTTTTTTTTTTTTACCCCTATTTTTTTTAATTATTGGCCTTTACCAAATGGTTGAGATGCAGTTTGATGGTAAAAGTGCCTCAAACCAAGTTAGATGGTTAGGATAGGTATATTTCAGTTCCAAACTTGCTTAAAGTAGATATATTGACCCAAAAGGTGATATACCAAATGGATATGGCTGTAAACCCTCACACACACTTTATACACTTTTCTAACCACCTGAACTCACGACTGCTGGAGTGCAATTGCAGAGATATGAAACCTATTCTTTGTAGGTCTGAACGCTGCTGCAGCTGTCAAAAGCCGTGCATAACTGTGAAATACAGCTGCAGAGGACACCGCACTGAGGACTACGGAAAGACTGCGATAGTCGTCTGAACTACTCACAGAAGTGCATACGAGCCACTTCTGTTTTCTTCTGACTTTCTCACTAGCGGTTGTACTAGCAGTTGTTATGAATTGTTATATATGATGCTCTGGAGTACACGCGTCACATATACTGCAGGACAAAATATACACGGGACAAATACGTGACGCATGGGAGTCTAGTTGTAGATTAAAAAAAACAGCGAGGCAACGAAAGGTGAGCTGTGAGATAGCGAGGGACCATTGAACATGATTCTTTCCAGGAGCTAAGTTAAAATGACTCTTACTGATGAAACTTAGAGCAGGAGCCATTTGAGCCGTGTTAACCATAAATCAGGCCAATTAAGTTCAAATGCAAGTTCTAATCATGTAAAGTTGAAAGTAGTGTAAATGCAGTTGTTTTAATAGACATGCATAAATAAATTGACCAATTGAGAATAAAATCAGCCCCCGATTATTGCCTGTATATAAAACTGGTTCCAGAAAGAGCAACCAAACTCCACTCCATTCACTTCCTCAGGTCTACAGATTAACACTGGAATCACTTGTACGTCATTAGAAGCGAGAGCGAGTTGGAGGCAAACTTCGTCCATGAGCACTTCCCTATCAGGCATCATTGAGCTTGGGGGTTAGCATTGTCTAAATTGTCTATACGACTAATTGTAATACAGTCTATGCCTCCAGCTCAGTAGGGATTCTTGCCCAGTAGTTTTCCACAAATGACACTATATTATTTTTTATTTTTTCATATAATACAATTTTTTTTCCAATGTTCTTCCATTCACCTCGATGTTAAAAGACAGCACCACGTCTGACTTGGACAGGATGTCGCCCTCGTCGCCCATGTCCAGGAACGAGTTGTTGAGGGAGGAGCGCTTGAGTTTCTGCTTGAAGTCCGGTCCCCCTTTAGAGACCGGGAGACTCTCCAGATTGGCCATGAGCAGATTCACCGAGGACCTGAGCTCCTCCACGTACAGGGCCTCCATGTCGGGGGACAGCAGCTTGGGGTACCTCCGCTCCTGCACACACACACACACACACAGACATACACACACACACACGCACACACACACACACAGACACACACACACACACACACACAAACAGACAGAGACACGCACACACAGACATACACATACACACACACAGGCAGAGACAGACACAGACACACGCACACACATAGAGACAGAAAAACACAGACACAAACACACACACACACAAACAGGCAGAGACGCAAACACAACAACACACACAGAGACACATAAACACACACATACAAAGAGACAGACACACACAGACACATAGACACAGAGACACACACACACACAAACAGACAGACAGACATAAACAGACAGAAACGCACACACAACACACACACACACATAAACAGACAGACGCACACACAACAACACACACACAGAGACACAGACAGGGACGCACACTCAGACAGAGACGCACACAAGCACACACAGAGAGACGGAGACACAGAGAGACACACAAACAGTGAACATACATTTATGTAAATCGCAACAGTCTAAAGCAGAGAGCTCACAATGAACCAATTATCAACATTTGTGATCAGATGCAGAGAAAACATTTGCATCAAAAATTACAAATATTACAGACAAACAAACATTTCAGTCATAAAAATAATATATATTACAGATGGAAGGACTCCTACTGGAAAATTACGAGTTTGTGAGTAGCAATTAAAAACAATAAGTGTTTTGTAAATGCAATGTACAGGGAGAAAGAATTACCAAAATCACCCAAAAATATAGGGATTTTAATTTGTAAGAATTTCATAAACTCTGGATTAATGGCTCAACTTTAGAGAAAGAAAATAGTCTGAAAGTGTTGCTGACGATTGCAAGTGACAAAGCAATCTTTTTTGTATGGCGCATTTCACAGACTGAGTAAAAATTGTTGTTGGCCGATGGCTCCTGCTAGACCTATTGTGCATGATATTAGTGGAAGGGGCAACCGGAGCACACGGAGGAAACCTACACAGACACAGGAAGAACAATACCCAGCAAAATACACCAAACAAAAACACATATTTTCCCTAAAATCCTAAATTTATATTTTTGTCTCATTAAAACTAATGGGACTGAATCTTGATTACACACAGCACTGCCAGAAGCGTGTGTAAGTGGCTAAATGTGCTTAATTAGTTTGAGTATATTTTGCATTCTAAAAGATCCTCCATGTCTCTTGTTGTCATTACGACGCTAATGCAGTCCCTGAGCTTTCTCGTGAATAACATTTATTGTAATACCGCCGCCACTACACACACAAATGGAGAAGTGAGATATGAGGCAGTCATTGTTAGCCAGGGCTCTCAAAGTCAATGTGTCTGGGGGCCGTATGAGGTGTGAAGCTAGGCCACATTAAGAGGTATTTATTTAATCAGGTGTTTGTGTAATCGGGGCAAATGCAGAGTTAGAATCAAACCACTAAAATCATACACACTATTTCACTTTGCACTCGCAGTTAAAGTAGCAATATGTACGATTTTTATGTCAAGTCACCAATAAATGGCCATAATCAGTCAAAAGGCATTAATAAACCATGCTCTTCTCGAATACTTCTTTAATTGATAAATCTTGTTAATGTTTTCATTTCGTTGCCCCGCCCTCCACCGCTTTACCAATCAGGAAGTCTGAGATCTGGGTTGCCAGAACTCACTGCGTCGAGCTAATCTCACTGGTAAAGTAACATGAGGCTGCAGAACTAAAAAAGGTTATGATTCTCAAATCATTAACGACAAAACAGGGAGTAAAACGAGTATTTCTATCGGGGCCTTTGTGAAAAAGGTGTTGGTTATAGATTTGTTGGTTACAAAATATCTTGTCTATTCAGATACTATGGTCCCAGCTGGATTCGTCTACATATCTGGCAACCTGAGTCAGGAGAGTGGGAGCGGTTGCAGTACTACTTTTGGCCAGATTTTTTACATACTGCTTCTTTAAATATACCGCTACATTTCAAAATGTGCATCTTCTCATTCTTTAACATCAACAGTAGAGAAAGTATAAATGTTTGGGCTTGAAACAGACAAAAACTGGAAAAAGTCAAGCGTTTGTGGAAAGTTTCATGGTTAATAGTTTGTATCCATGACATTTTAAAATCATTGTGTTTGGACCAAATAATTACTTGTATTGAATATGATTTTCATAATTTGTATATATTTCCAAGAATAAAATGAGTCCAGCTGCTGACTGACTGAAAACAAAACTGGATGAAACGCAATGAGGCTTTGTATTGAAGACCGGGTTTAACACCGTTTACTTTGAATTATTGCTTATAGCATTCAGGCTTCAGTGTTTATGGTAAAAGAAATGATGCGGTTGATTTCTTAATTAAAAAAATGAGCTTTAAAACGATGTTAAAAAACCGCCATATTTGCACTGATTCATTGGGGGGAGATTAAAGTCGGATGTTCACTGTTATTCTGTGATTAAAAAGAGAAAACGTGTCCAATCCTTAAAGCTGCACTAACTGACTTTATTTTCGTATTCATTACAAAAGTGCTATCCATGTCCATGCAGTGCATTGGGATATACGTCCTTTTGAAGAAAAAGTAGCGCAGATTTGTGCTGGCGTGACATTATATTTTAGATCGAGTTTTGATGAAACAAGGAAGAGAATGTGTTTCGGGTCGCAGATTGTGACCAATCACAACGGACCACTAGCCCCCACTTTCGTGAGAAATCTACAGGTCCCTCGTTAGCACAGACGGCTGAGTTAGCACAACAAGCCGAGGAGCTAACCTGAAGCTTCGTGTCTTCGTCACCGGTTACTGCTTACACAGCGAAACAGCCATCCAAAAGAAAGTCCCGTTCCTCCGCGCTTCCCGGTTCTATCGTTCTATGGTCACGGCATCCACGTGAAAATCCATATCCATGTATTATCCATATTGGAAGACGCTAGCTCCGTCCCAACAGTGGGTGTGTGTGGGGGGCGATAGCTTCGTGGGTGCGGGGAGGGGAGCAGAAAGAGCGAGGCCAGCGAGTCCGCGGCTTCAAAATCCCAAAGTCAGTTAGTGCAGCTTTAATGCGGTGAAAGCAACATGATGCTTCAATGTTAGTCTTTGTAAACGGCAAAAAGTGATTGTAAAATGTCACATGAGGGTCCTTTGAAGTCTACTCACCTTACTGTAAATGACAGCATCAAGCAGCGACTTTGTTCCTTCAACCCTGCAGTCTATAGAGCCAACGTACTGTACTTTATGGACTATTAAGCGCACCTGTATATAAGCCGCACCAGCATCATTTAAACAGCCTAACCGCGTACTCATTCACCAGTCTATTTTGACATCGCTACTGTGTCCTATAGCTCCTAAAACTCTGTGATCGAAGTTTATGGATTTTTATTATTGACACATATTGGCCGCATCGCGATATACAGTATAAGACGCAGGGTTCAAACAACTAGTAATGAAGAGATGCATGGCTTGTTTTAATGTGATTAGGGCTGTTGTCAGAGCAGAGTTTATGGACTTATTAATTGTTTTTAATTAAAACTGGCAGATTTGTATATTTTAATCTTCGATCTGTGCAGCACTTTGGAAACGTGTTTTATAAAATCTGCTATCTAAATAAAGTGGATTGGATAGGATTATTATTTTGTTTCAGTAGCTGTAGGACACACAACGAGTATTATCTGTTTATTGTCAAGCTAGTTTGTTAAATGAGGCCTGACGTGGAAGCTAACTGTTACTGTATGGTAAGCATGCTAACCTGAGTGAATATTTGTATCCTCAGATTTTATAGTCAACAGTGCGTTTTTTTTCTTGAATTTAGTTTGTCAAGATTTTTTTCACTAGTTTTAAGATAATAATACTTTATAATACTTATTAGAGAAAAAAGTGTGTTTTTGACGCTTGAAATATTAGTTTTTATACTAGAATCAAGTCAATTGGGGCAAGTATCATTTTCTTATTTTCAGAAATCCTGTCAGTCATATTTTCTTGTTCTTTTGGCAGATATTTTTTCTTATTTCAAGCAGTATTTTACTTATTTTCATATATTTTGTTTTGTTTTTTTCAAGAGATTTTCTCCAGTGTAAGTTACATTGCAACCTTAAATATGACCTTTCTGTGAACAAGTAGAGTGTGGTTTGTATACAGGTGAAACATCTGTGCGTCCACTCTTGGGTTGTGGTCCTGGTCTTACCCTGTTGATCTTCTCCGCCAGCTGCAGCCTCCCGTCCAGCTCTCGCCGGATCTGCGCCGCCTGCTCGTCCACGTTATCCAACTGAGAAAGACAGCAGCGGTCAGTCGATACTGCTCTTCATCCAGACACATCAGGTACGTCTCCTCCTGGTCCGGTCAATGCTAAGTACTGACCAATCAGAGGCTAACAACTGGGATCACACCATAGTTTATACCAGTGTCACAATACAGTAATCAAGCAAAAATACAAACACACTTGGATCTACAGAGTCTGACTATCACATCTCAAATTGATTAAAAATGGATTTAAAGTAGAAATATTTCACATAATACTTAAAAATATAATTGAGGCTATTTATTTACTCATATAATGTTTTAGAATCTGAAATAATATCTTCAGTAGGAAATAAAATATATGAATAAACAAGTATGAAGCCTTATCCCCGTGCTACCACCAGAGGGAGAGGTAGATTTTTTCTTTTTCTTTTTCAATTTCAAGATGCTATTGTAAAAGAATATAATTTTATATAAGTATTGACCAAAACTAATATATGGACGACGCTTTTGTTGTAAAAGGCAAAACACTGACGTGATTTGGTAAACAATTTGTTCCAACAATCATGACCAATAATGACCAACTACCAACGTAAGAAACAATTCAAAATCAAATGAATACAAACCATGCTGGGATTTAATTCATAAATAAAAACTGACGCACTTTGGTCGAAGGTGTCAAACCTGTCATGCACTAATTATTAATCACCCGCTCTAATTGGTTTGTTGTTTTGTAGGCAAGATATAGTCACAGTCAATTACAGATCATGCTCATCATAAACAATGCAATTCTTTCACTAATGCAATTAATAATAAGCTTTCAACTGAGACAGATACAGTATCTCATCCAAGAAATAGAATGAGCTCAGACCACAAAACGCATTGACTTTACAAGCCTTATTTAATGCATCAAATTGCATTATTCATTGATGGCATTGCATTGTGGTAGAAAAACTACTGCTGGAGCCACCGCTTCTAATGTGTACCATAATTCTTGGGGTGTTCGATAAAATGCTGGAACTTCCTTTCTTGCGGACATAGAAGCTAACAGCTAAGGTAAGCAGTTTAATCTAGGTCTTTCAAGAATCTTGGTATTTAGTCTCTGGCAGAAGAAATCTTTTTGGTGACTTTTAAAACACATTAGAAAAAAGAGTTAAGGTTTTGAGCAGGCACCAAAACTGTAATTGGGATAAGGTCAGGGTTTTAGGGATAGGTTTGCCTCCTGCCGGACCAAATACCAAGACTTTAGTGAGCCTTACAGATTAATAAGGACTTCCTCAGACCTTTTTGTGTAATTTATATCTTACAACATGAAACCTGGCTTGCATTCAACTGCGTTCCATTCCTGTACAAAGTTTCTTTTCTTTTCAAGTGTGACTGGTGTGGGGAATACACAGGTGCGCTCAAACACCGAGATGTACGGTAATCTGTTTATTATACCTCGAGCAACTCTGCACAAAAAGCTGATATTCACAGCTGTCAGCGGTGAGAGTTGCAGAGAAAGAGACAGCCCGACGAGCCAACTGGAACGCACCCTTCTGATTGACTGCTAATTGTTGATTCCGTTTGACAAATGCGACGTCTCCATTTCAGATAAAGACATGCGGAACATCCTGGAAGAGACAGGGGCTGACGGCGAGATAAGGAACGGCTGCAGATTAAAAATGTAGCTGTATTTAACATGTCAAAGTGGGCCGTGCTCTATAGATGGACTGTTTGGATCCAATTAATTTCTATTTAAAGAGGATGGGAGGTTTTCATTCATTGGGGTTGTCACACAGTCTCCACATGTCATTAGAGACCGGACGAGACAGATTTCCTGAAGTGATGGGGTCAGGGATAAAGACAGCTTTTGCACTTGTCGGACTGCTCTATAGTTGGGGAAATAGCTGAACTTTAAGAAAAGATCCTCAGGTGACTTGGAAAGTTTCTCGTACAAAATTGAGCAGTCTCGGTGGCTGTGTGAAGGGATCTGAAAGTAATATTATTTGGACCAAGCTCCCTCCATGTAATTTAAAAAAAGTGTTGCACCGTTATTGCACCCAAGGTCAGTCCTAATACAAGATCTGTGTTTCATACATCACTGAATACAGGTAAAACTCGGAAACTTTGAATATTGTTCAAACATTTCTATCCTCTTAACACCCACCGGCGTGCCGGCGTGCCGTTTTGATGTTTTTAAATGTTCTGCTGGCAATAGCAGATGTATTTTGAACACCAAACCCCAAAAGCTGTATATCATTTTAAAGCTTATTTTCTTATCTACATTTATTAACTACAACAGACTTTGCATTCAAAAGATATAACACATAATGTGGGCACAAAATAAATAAATTCCGAAATAGTTTTTTACCTTTGGGCTTGTGCTGTACAAATAAATCAGCTCTACTCCCAGCTTGCAATACATCATTCTCTCTGGAACAGTCCAAAGGAAAATTATATCCACTTGTATTACCCAAAGTAAAATCCATTCTGCAGAAATAATCCAAAAATGTGCATTTATCTTTAGAGAAAAAAAAGAGCACAGATGTTGCTCTTTCACTTTTAACGGACTTTTAGCTTTGTTTTTCACCCAAACATCTGGTATCTACGTGTTCCTTAGCTCCTTATCTTTCAAATGAGACTACTCCCAAAAAGCTAGACACATTTTTGGGTCTGCAAGAGGTCCCGTGAGTACAGCTAGCGCTTCTGTTTGCGCATGGATCACTGATCTTTGTTGTTGTCCCTTCTTGTTTGCTTCTATTTCCGGGATTTTTGATTGACATGTCCGTGTAGCCAATGAGGAAAGCTCTCGAGCAAGGGGTGGGACAATGGTGTCCTGTCTTATGTTGTGCCTGTAGAATTGTGCGTAATGGCAGCCAAAAGACGCTCTCGAAGCTGCAATGAATTTACACTCATAAAAAAATAACTTTGACATTTAAAAAAAAAAACACACATAGATTAGTAACTTATAAGTACCAATAATAAAAAATATTGTTTTTATGATGATTAAATGTCAGTGAAGATATTTAGATAATGTGCACTACTTGATGAAAAGGAGAAACTGCATAAAAACTATAAAACTTAGAAGTCTGAAACTTTAGACAGTTGTTGTCAACAACACAATGACCACAGGGTTTGAATATTGTGAACTTACAATGAAGTATGCCTTTTTTAGGGCCTTTAGAAATTGAAAATGTTAGGCGAGGCTAAAAATATGTTTTTTTTCCCCCAAACTTTAAAGGATGCAGAGGAAAATAGGAATGACAAACATTATTGTAGTGTTTTTTTTACATAAACTAGAAGGCTCAAGCTTTAAAATGATGCATCACACAAGCATGTGAGATGTAAGATGTGTTTTTAAATAAGCAAAGACATTTGGGTATGCCCAACTTTTGTGCATAAGCCAAAATGAGGCGGGTGTTAAGAGGTCAATAAGCTATTCACTGCAACAACAAAAACGATAAAAAAAAGGGAAAAAAATGCTTGAATTGAGTGGTTTTTGTCTTGATTTGAGCACATTCTGACTGTGTTAAAACATGATTTGCCAATGGGACAAAGCCGTTTAGTCTTATTTCAAGGACTGTTGCTTTATTTGATTTCTTTTATCTTCATAAAACAAGATAATTGTGCTCGTCTTGTCCAAATAATAATAATGCATTATTTTTATACAGAGCTTTTTTGGACACCCAAAGACACTTGTCATACATGTCATTATTCTTCATCTCCATACCCAGTGGTGATAAACTAATACTGTAGCCACAGCTGCCCTGGGGCACATTGACAGAAGCGAAGCAACCAGATTGTACAATCTGCTCCTCCGACCACCACCAACCATTCACACACTCACACACACACGACTCATTTTTGGCAATGTGGATTAAGTGTTTTGCTCAAGGACGACAATTTAGCACTTTACACCTACAGCCGCCCCACTGTGGTACCTTAGTACTGTGAGGTCTCCCATCACAGTACTAACCAGGCCCTACCCTGCCCAGCTTCAGAGGTCAGATGAGACTTGGCTGCAAGTATGGCCACGGTATAGGCAGTCCACGTGTGCTCAAATAATGATACATTTTGTCAAATTTGAGCAATTTTTGTCTTTATGTGCCTGAATGTAACTATCTACTTAACCTGCCAGATATGTAAATAATATTACAGATGGAGAGAATAAAGCTTCTCTTATCTTATTTTTATCACTTTTAGCAGTGTTATAACAATGCAAATACAGGCTTGAAATAGTCCCTCACTATACTGCGGCCCACCTCTCGCATCCTCACATATATATATTTTTTTACGCCACTCTTATTGCTCGTAACCATAAACATAGTTCCAACATAGTCCAGCAGCGCGTGTCTTTTACAATCGCTGACTTGTAAATTCTATAAATGTCTTGTGGGATCAGACGCCTTACACTTCAGACTGAATAATGTTCTGAAGTGGAACCGAAGACGTGCAGTGACGTGGCTCGCTGAGTCGGCTGTTTTACATATAAGTGATGAACTTCTGAAGTCACAGTGACAGATAAAAGCGGACGTGTCAGGAAGAGAACCGCCCGCAGCCACAAACGCCGCTGAGATAAGAGGAGGGCTGATAAGACCCTACAAAGTCACTCCTCATCAAGAGCCCGAGACCAGCGAGAACTTCAGAGTTAGTGTTGGATGGACCACTGCCGAGAGGAATCAAAATAGATCCAGGCAGAACCGGACTGCTAAAAGTAGAGATTGCTTTAAAGGTGTATAATGTGGGTGTTATGAGGGTTGCCCCCTGCTGGTCATGATGGAGAAATTATATTGGCGTAATTACCGGACTCTAAGCCGTTACTTTTTGGATCTTTTATGACACTTTTGATGCAATTGAAGATGGATAAAGATAAATAAAGGTCTATCCCTCCATCTATGTATCAATATATCTATGTATCTGATTATGTTAACGCTTTCCACTTTTGAAGGTAGGACCGAAGCTAACACATAAATTGGAGCTGAGAGGAGTGTCCGTGTTTTTTCTGTATAAAATCACATCCACGCTGAGAAAATAATGTGGTCTTTTGCCAACAATAAAATGTCTTCTGTTGTGACATGATGGCTTTTAGTTGTTAAAATAGATTATATTGGCGTAATTATCAGACTCAAAGCCGCTACTTTTTGGATCTTTTATATCACTTTTGATGCAATTGAAGATCCGTGGATAGACCTTTATATATCTTTATCAATCTATCTATACATCTATCTGATTATGTTAAAACTTTCCACTTGATTTTTTGGATATCTGAAGGTAGCCCTGAAGTTAACATATCAATTGGTGCCATGGCAGATGCTGAGAGGAGCGTCCTTGTTTTGTCTGAATAAAATCAGTTCCACGCTGAGAAAACGCTGTCTTTTGCCAACAATTAAATATCTGCTGCTTTGACACGACCCCAGTCCTCTGCATCTTGTGTCATTTTCTTCAGATTGGTAAAGGAATCAAGGAAGCCAACAGTTAAGGTATGCAAGCTAACGTGAGCAAATGTTTTTATCCTCAGCTTTAATTTTTTTTTATTTACCAACTTAGTCCAAAACAAGTCCAGTACAATTTAATCCTGTTGTGTCCAATTAAAACAGTCATCTAAGGCTTTATTTTCTATATTCAAGAATGGTTAGGACTAGTACCTAAACCTCACCAAGGCCACCCCTCCTATTGTGTGTGAACTCATTACAAAGCGATATTCACATG